CAGCATGGTGAAGCTATCCATAGCCTCTGCATCCTGGGGCAGCCAGAGAGATACCCACATGGCGCAGCAGACCTCTCCTGCCTCGCCCGCTGCTCCCCTCAGCAGTGTATTTCAGTCAGTCTGCCTGTTGTGTTCCCCACTCTGTCTCTGGTGAATCCTCTCACCCCCCCCCACACCTCTGACCTGTACCCCAGTTCTTATATGCATACATAAATAAATCTTTTTAAAAAATAAACTCCAGAGGTACTCTAAAATATTATCTTAATTTTTTTTTCCTAGGCTTTGGGAAGATGTCCAGAGCAGTCCCTATTTTATTTCTGAAGTCTACAAATTTCTTCTCAAAAGGACCAGATAGTAAATATTTTAGGCTTTGTGGGCAATGTAAGAGTTCTAGCACATATTCTCCTTCTCTTCATTTTGTTTTGTTTTCACAACCTATTAACAAAGTAAAAACCAATCTTAGCTAGTGGAGCTATACAAAACCAGGCTGATTTTGACCTGCAGGCCTGTTAAGAACTCATACTCTGTTGGGTTCCAACACCATGTCAGGTTTTAGTTACAGCCATTCATTATAAACACACACACACACACACACACACACACAAATGAGTTACTGGTTAGTTAGGCAAAGAAATGCTATGGGTTAATTTTTATCCTAACAGCAAAACAGGATTTTCAAGTAAATAGTGTGAGTCAAGTTTGTATTTTGGATTATGTTTAGCTTCTGAATGAAACTGGTCTGTTCAACCAGGGACAGAGACAATGTTTTAGATAACTGCCTGGTTGTGGGACAATTCACAGTAGATAAAATATAGGATTTAAATATTCAGGATAGGACACAGGGGCTGATTGCTGAGTTCAAGCAACTGTTGAGTAGGAAGGAATTTTTCTAAATGTATCGTCATTTCTAACAGAACATGGGCTTAATGACACTTTTCACCTGTCTTTACTCTGAACAAGGTTGCACTAATGTCAGATTCCAAAAGTTATCTAAACATACTGTGCCACTGAGAGCATGAGGAAATAGAAACTCCTACATTGCTGGTGATAGTATAAATTGATACTTCCTCTTTGAAGTGTGATTTGGCAATACTTATTAACATTAAAAATATACCTACTTTCTGTCCCAGTTCTTTTACTTCTGGGAACTTTCCCACTGAGTACAAATCATGCAACTAAATATTTAGTCATTGCAGCATTGTTTCTAGAGCCACAGAGAGATAAAATAACTTGCTCAGAGACACAAGAATCTGGTAATAATGGTTATTGTACTTCTAGAGGGAGGGCCTGAAGGCCTGAAGGTCAGAGGAGGAAGACTTAATTTTCATTGTACATCTTTTTTATTGGTGTGTGTGTGTGTGTGGTTTGCTATGTTTATGAATTACTTTAAGTTTTGGCTTTAAAAGTTTATTTGTACCATTGGGAAAATGGGTAAAAGACTATCAAGAACATACTATTTTACAAGATAGTCCATCTCACTAAAGTTTAAAGATATGCGAACTAAAAATAGTTTCGATTAGCTTCAAAAAGATTAGAAAGATTGATAAGACCTGAAGTTGGGGTATGTGAGGAAATGGACACTCTTACATATTATTACTAGGAAGATAATGGTACTCTTTGGGAGAGAAGCCTAATAATGGGTTGTACTAGTTTGCTAGGACTGCCAGAACGAAGTACCACAAACTGGGGGGGAGGGAGGGCTTAAAAAACAGAAATTTATTATTTCACAGTTCTGGAAGCTAGAAGTCCTAATTCAAGATTCAATAGATTTAGTTTCATTTGAGGCCTGTGAGGAAATATCTGCTCCAAGCCATTCACCTGGATTCTGATGGTTTGCTGGCAATATTTAATTTTTTAAAGATTTATTTATTTATGCATACCAGAACTGGGGTACAGGCCAGAGGTATGGGGGGGGGGTGGGAAGATTCACCAGAGACAGAGTGGGGAACAGAACAGGCAGACTGACTGAAATACACTGCTCAGGGGAGCAGCAGGCGAGGCAGGAGATGTCTGCTGCGTCATGTGGGTCACCTCCCTGGCGGGGGGGATCTAACTCGTGCTGCATATGGCCTCATAGGTTGCGTCCTAACCCCTTGCACCACCAGTGAGGCCCTTGCTGGCAATAGTTAGCTTTTCTTGGCTAGTAGATGCACCACCGTGATCTCTGCTTCATTTTCACATGGTTTTCTGGGTGTGTTTCCAAATTCTATCTTTTCATAGGGACACAGTCCCATACTATATTAGGACCCACCCTAATGATCTCATTTTAACTTTGTTAAAAACCCTGTCTCCAGGGCCTCCCTGGTGGCACAGGTGGTTGAGACCAGCACTGTGAAACTGTCCGCAGCCTCTGAAGTGTGGGTTCAATTCTGGCCGGCCGGGAAGAATCCCACATGGCGCAGCAGACCTCTCTTGTCCAGCCCGCTGTTCCCCTCAGCAATGAATTTCGATTGTCTGCCTGTTCTGCTTCCTTCTCTGTCTCTGGTGAATCCTCTCACCCTCCCGCTCATCTGGCCTGTACCCTGGTTCTTGTATAAATAAATAAATCTTAAAAAAAAAAAGGACCATATGTCCATATAAAGTCACATTCTGAGATTCTGGGGTTCAAGAACTTCAAAATACGAATTTGGGGAGGATACAATTCGACCCACAATTCAACATGGGTATCAAAGTTTTAAATATGCATAACCTCTGACTTAGTAATGCCACCATTGGCATTAAAAAAGAATCTGAAAGTCTGCACACATATTCTTAGAAGGGTATTCACCATACCACATGACATTATTATTTTTTTTTGTGTGTGGGACCCTCGCCAGCAGCTGGGGAACGAACCTGCGCTGCAGAGGCTGCGGGCAGCCTCTCAGCCCAGCACTTAACCACTGCGCCACCAGGGGAGGCCCACCACATGACATTATTGGAATCAACTGAAATATGAATAAGGGATTGGCTAAATAATCCTGTGCCTATATAATAGAATACTCTATTTCCATTGTTAAAGATGATGTGGATCTATATATATTAACATATCCAGAATATATTAAGCGTAAAAAGCACATTTACTGAACAGAGTTCCTATTATTATCCTTGTTGTATTTGCTAAAAGATAAACAAAATTTTGGAATAATACATTCAAAAAATTAATGTTTTGGAGAATGCTACCCAGGCCTTTCATCTCATTAAACCTTACATATAATTGGGCCTCCCCGGTGGCTCAGTGGTTGAGCGCTGGGTTGCGAAGCTGCCCGCGCCCTCCATGGCGCCGGTTCGATCCCTGGCTGCTCCCCGGCCACCGAAGGAGGGTCCCACATGGCGCGCAGAACCCTCCTGCTGCCCGCTGCTCCCCTCAGCAGTGTACTTCGGTCCTTCTGCCTGCTCTGCTCCCCGCTCTGGCTCTGGTGAATTCTCTCACCCTCCCTCCCGCACTTCTGACTGTACCCAGTGCATGTATAAACAAAACAAACAAACAAACCAGCAAACAGATAAATAAAGCATGCCTCTATTGAAAAAAAAAAATTAAAAAAAAAATTTGAAAGTGAACTTTAAAAGTGAACTTTAAAAAACAAAATCTCAATGCAATTTCCATGTTTAACAAAATAACAATTCTTCGCTTGTTTGGTATCATAATACTGGACCATAACCTAATTTCCCAAATTGCCTCAAACATGTCTTTTATAGTTAAATTGTTTAAATAAGCTTCACACACACATTACACTTGGTTAATATGTGTCTACGCTTTTTAAATTCGAGCAAGACACCCTCACTAAAAACAAACAAACAAACAAACAAACCCATTATCTTAGTGCGGAACAGACTCAATTGCTACACTCACACACTGACCGAAACCAGACCCTCGAAAGGAACCCAACACTGTATATTCTGAGGTTCCGAAATCTAGTTTTATTTAGAAATACTGCAAGTGGTTAAAAAGACACAGTATTTCTAAATGCGTATAAACCACACACCGCTCCATCCTTGTAAAACCTCCCCCCATCACAAAGTAGCGAACCACGATCTGGTCACAGAAGACAAGTTGTCTACACGGGAGGGGAGGGCGGGGTGGGTAGGCGGCCCCTTCCAACGCTGTGCTGAGGAAAGGGTTTTCAAGTTTTTTTTTTTTTTTTTTTTTAAGGTTTATTTTTATGCATACAGGAGCTGGGTACAGGCCATAGGTGTAGGGGGTGAGAGAATTCACCAGAGACAGAGTGGGGAACAGAACAGGTAGATCTACTGAAGTACACTGCTGAGGGGAGCAGCGGGCGAGGCAGGAGAGGTCTGCCAAGCCATGGGGGTAGCTCCCTGGGCGGGGGATCGAACTCGTGCTGCAGAGGCAGCAAACAGCTTCACAGGTTGCATCTTAACCCCCTGCGCCACCAGGGCGGCCTGAAAAGGGTTTTCAAGTTTTAGAAACAAAGGTGACCAAATGAAAAAGTTTCCTGAGCCCCGCGCCAAGGGTGAGTCCCCGAGCACGCGGTGCTGAGGGCAGCGGACACCGACCCCCACACCCCGGCCGCACGGGCAGCTGGAGGAGCAGCGAGGCCGCGGCGCTCCCGGAGAGAGGCCGAAACCCGCCCGGCCGCCCCTCCCGGAGCGCGGAGAGGATCGGGGATGCTCCGGGCGGGTGGAGCCGAGCGAGGGGCCGGGGCACAACTCAGGGGGTGCCTCCGGGCGTGCGGAGGGCAGTGCTGGGGGCGGCCTCCCCGGGGCTGGCGCCCTGCGGGGCAAGGATACCCGGCGCGGAGCCGCGCGGCCAGGCCAGCCCGGAGCCCACGGCGCCCCGAGCCGGGCCGGAGACGCCCGGGCCGCGCCCCTCCAGGTGACTCGGAGGCGGGGCGTGACGCGTCACACCTCGCACCTCCGCTGCGGGAAGTAGTCCCCGGCCGCGCCGGCTCCGTAGGGAGCGGAAGCCCGGGGCCCTCGGAGGTTAATCCCGGGAGCGGCGGCCGCGCAGCCAATCCCTGCGCAGCAGGGCGTGGCTGCCTTGGGCCCCGCGGATCCCTCCGCCCGCCCCGGCTGTGCTGAGGCCGACGGAGCCGCCATCTTGGGTGCGGAGCTGTGATTCCTCGGCCCGTCTCTGCCGGTGGTGCGCCTGCTCGCGCGGGTGAGTGCGGCGGCCTCGGCGTCCGGGGCCTTGGCTTTTCTCCCTGTTGCGCTTCCGACGGGGACGCTCTCCACTGGGGCTAGCGATCGGGGTTCAGGCCGCCCCCGGTGGCTAGTGAAAGAAAGGGGTGGGGGACGTGGGGCCAGGTCGGCGGGCCGCGGCGGGGCTGGAGTCCGGGGCGGGCGGGGCGCGGCGGCCGAGACCCTGGCGCTGTCGGCCCCGCTCCGGGGCGTCTCTCCCCGGGGGCGGAGGCGCCGCTGCTCGGGCCCCGGCGCCGGTCGGTGACTGAGCCCGGCCTCCTCCTGCGGCGGCGACACCCCTGCCCCGCGTCTCCGGCCCGGAGAGACTTCTGGAGGCCGGGGCCTCCGGGCCCCCCCGGATCTGCGCGCCGCCCCCGGCTCCCGAGCCGGGTTCTGAGCCGCCTGGACGCGGGCCCAGGTCGGCTGGAGGCAGTTTCTGCCCATTCCTCTCGCCGAAGCAGGCGGCGGCCTCTGCCTTTTTCCAGACCCTTGCTGGGCTGCCGGGACGTCTCGAGGGGCGCCCGAGGCCCCGGCCCGAGCCCGTCCCTCTTCGGGGTGCTGGAGGCGAGGACTTGCCACTCGACCTGCAGAAAGTTTTCCGGGGCCCGGGATCCGGAGCGTTGGTTTAATGACAGGTGGAGGCGAGAGACGGCCGCTCTCTCCTGTAGCAGTAACTACTGACAGTTGGTCCCAAGGCTCTTGGGGAGTCGTCATTTTTTTCCTGTTACGCTTATGTTTGTACCCACAAGCCAAAGTGCATGGAGAATCTTGATTCTGTGGTTTTCTAGAAACCCTCTAGGATGGGAGGACTTGGTGATACCCTTCTGTGAGAGTGTAAGGATGTCGTGCCATCTCAGCGGTAGTGTTACATTTTAAAGTCACCCACTTACCTCGTTTAGTTATTGTTCTATCCGAATTAGTTGCTTTCATTCTTTTTCTCTTTTTTTTTTTTTTTTTTTTTGCCGCTGGTTTCTAAATGTTCAGAATCCCCAACTTCAGTCTACTTTATTTAAGTTCTCTTTCCTTTAAAGTCACCAGAATCAAGTCCCAATTACATGTAGTCTCTTCTGACTTCAAAAGAAAAAGACAAAACAAAACCGGGTAATTTAATAAAAATAACTGAGAATGCAGAAAAATTAGTATGCACATGAATACTAATGTCAGCATTGTTTATATGATACAGTTGTCAAAAGGTTTGGGAATTAATAAAAAGATTATTACTAGGAAATTTTAGATGGTTATAATTAAAAGATGGTTAAAAAGACTATACCAGCTATTAAGTGATAAAATGATTCAATAGCGCTCAACGTCCATTATTACAACTTTAAAGATATGCCTGAAGAAGCATTTTTAGTAAAAAGTAGAACTTGTGAATTTCAGTTATGTTTTATACATTAATTTTATTGAAAAACAAAGATACTTTAATAATGCCCACACATTTCAGTGTTTCTAATCTCTTCAAGAAAACCTCTGAATTCTAGAACCTGTACTTGTGCATTGTACTTGATGCTTTTGGTCTTTCATTAAGTTTTCTGTCTTGATTAGTTTCATCCATGAGTATCTGACTACAGTTTATTGTGTGAAAATACAGTAAACTTGGCAGTCTATAAGTGATTTTAAGAATTTGACTATATTGCTTTGGAAATGCCTTCTAGATTGTTTCTACTCATGTCATGTCTTCATAACTGCAATATGGTAGTCATACCTAAATCTGTTCATATCACTTATTTTGTAAGAAAAAAATATTCAAGGTCTGCAGAGGCAAGCCAGAATCTAATCTGGAGGGCCTCTAACTTTGAGATGGCTTTGCCAACCTCTGCGTCTGCTCTGCCAGCAGGCAACAACATCCCAGAAGGGGAAGAAAGATGGATGTCTCCCACTGCAGATAAACCTCAAAGAGAACAGTCTGCCAGTGAGAGGGACCCAAATAAGAACGTGCAGGGCTTTTGCCTCATTCCAAGTCTTGCAAAACTTGATGCGCTGAGGTTGATCTCAGGAGCTTGATGGCATTAACCTGATGGCCAAGATTTCATGACTCGCTGGCATGTCAGGATGACAACCCAGTCCTTCATCAAACATAAGACTATTCACGCTGGGAAGAAAGTAGTTGGTGCCCATGAGCTTGTTGAAAAGTGCTTTGGGCCAACTGGCAGATATGTGTTACAAGGGAGTGTACCTTATACTCTGAAGAGTGTTAGCTGAGTGGCTGTTGTACACCAAAACGTAGCTTCTCTCATTGACCAGGAGGGAGGACAAGGATAAAAAGTATAAAAGTATATCGCCTTCTATGCTAATATTTTGTTTAAATGGGTTTCTAGGTTTGTACCTGGTGCCAGGTACAGCAAGGCTGATCCAGGCCAATGCCACAAGCCAGTTAAACCTTTCAGCAAGTTGTTTGGCATGGCAGAAAACCTTCACCTTTATGCTCCCAAATGGGACAGTAGCTGAGAATACCTACTGTGTTTATTCATGCTTGGCAACATTGCTTACCTACATCACCAGATCATTGGTATAGACATGAATGAGGGGTCATCTGTCGTGTCATCAGGTTGGATGTGATACTGATTCAGGATTCATGCGCTTCAGAATGGAAGTAATGTTCACTAGAGCCTCCTGGGTCATTGCTACCACCTAGAAGAAGGAGGTTGATAGCACCTAACAGGCCAGGATACCATGCAGTGTTGTAACCAAACATCTGCCACCACAGCCTCCCTGGTATAACCCTTGAAATGAGGTGCCGCATGGTGTATTATAGTACAACCCATTGCTCAGGTTGTATTATAACGATTGTATAATTCTAACACCCAAGCTTAGGACTGTAGTTTCACAGTACATATACCTTCTTGGAAAAAAAATAAAATTTCAAGATAAAATAAATTTCAGATACAAAAATTTCCCAGTATATGAGTATCATTCTAGCCACTATTGACTATTTTCTTCTCTCTTCACTTGGTACTACTGGAGGTACAAACTCTAAAGCTGATTTCTTAGGACCTTAGGGTTTTTTTATTTTGTTGTTGTTTAGCTACTTTAGGTAGACTTTTCAGGATCTCTACTTTTGGGCATCTTACACAGTTACGAGAAATGCATTGTTAAGCAATTTTGTTCTTGTGTGAATGTCCAACTGTGCTTATACAAACCTGGATATTAATAGCCTACTACACGTTCAGGCTATGTATAGAGACTCTAGTCATGTATAAGGCCCATAGTTGGCTAAAATGTCATAGGCAGCACATGACTGTATTTTGGGCAGCAGTCCTGAGCAGTTCCCTCCTCCCTTAATGTGAATAACGTCTGTATCTATGGTTTTTACATGTTCTCTTACCCAGAATGGAGAGATGATTCAGTTTTAGAAGACTCATCCATTTGAGTGATAAGCAAGGAACTAGATGAGTTTGTTGGTGCCAATATTAAGGGTTTTGGTAAAGTGAGGGATTGGAAAGATCCAAGAAGGGCACGTGAAGCTTCTGAACAATGTGTGACATAATGGTCTTACACTAGTAAAAATAGCTGTAGTTCAGTAAATGTCAACAAGATAGGACACTGAGAAGTAGAATTGCAATCACTAGTTCTTAATCCTTTTACAGGGTTTATGTTGTAATTGTTGTTGCTCTTATAGTTATTTTTTATGTTACTTGTCCTCATTCTTTTTTTTAAATTTTTTTTAGATTTATTTATGCATATAAGAGCTGGGGCACAGGCCAGAGATGCAAGGGGGTGAGAGGATCCACCAGAGACAGTGGGGAGCAGAATAGGCACACTGACCGAAACAGACTGCTGAGGAGAGCAGCAGGCGAGACAGGAGAGGTCTGCTTTGCCATGTGGGTTTCTCTCTGGCCTGCTGGGGATTGAATTCATGCTGCAGAGGCTGTGTTTTGCGTCATAGTGCGGTGCTTAACCCCTTGCGTCACCAGGGAGGCCCTACTTGTCCTCATTCTGTGCAGCCACTCTGGAAAACAGTATGAAGGTTCCTCAATTAAAAACAACTTCCACTTTTAAGTGAGTGATTAGCTAAAGAAAGCAAAAACATTAACTCTGAAAGATACATGTACCCCCATGATCACTGAAATATTATTTACAATAGCCAGGATATAGAAAACAGGACCTAAGTGTCCATTGGTGAATGGGTGGGAAAAGAAAATGTGTATATATACAATGGAATATTTCTCACCATGAAAAAGAATTCAATCTTTCCATTTGCAACAGTATGGATGGACCTTGAGGGCATTATGCTTGAGTGAAATACATACTTTTACAGAGAAAGACATACTTTTATGATTTCACTTACATATGGAATCTTAAAAAAAAAAAAAAAAAGGCCAGGCTAATAAATAAAAAAAGTAGGACCTCCCTGGTGGTGCAAGGGGTTAAGTCTCAGCACTGTGAAGCTATCTGCAGCAGGTGCAGCATGAGTTTGATCCCCAGCCAGGGAGCTGACCCACATGGCGCAGCAGACCTCCTGTCTCGTCCACTGCTCCCCTCAGCAGTGTATTTCAGTCAGTCTGCCTGTTCTGCTCCCCACTCAGTCTCTGGTGAATCCTCTCACCCTCCTGCACCTCTTGCCTGTACCCCAGTTCTTGTATGCATAAATAAATGAATCTTTAAAAAAAATAAATACAAAGAGCACATTGGTTGCTGCCAGGAGGAGGAGAGGGCTGACATAAGGGGTGGGTGATGGGGTGAAGAGAGTCAAAAAGTACAGACTTTCACCTATAAGTCATGGGGATGTAATGTAGAGACTAGTGACTATTGTTAACCTGTACTAATATTTGAAACCTGCTGAGAGAGTAAACCTAAAAATTCTCATCAGGAAAATTTTGTAATTATGCATGGTGATGGATTTTAGTGATTATTTTTATAATATATACAAATAACAGATCGTTTTGATGAAAAAAATCTTGGTATTTTCCTGTCATGACTTGTGACTCTATTAGACCACTCAATATTGTTATATTTTATCTTTGTGACAATATCCAAACCTGGCTGAAGAGGACAAATAATAAATCCCTAAGCACCATTTTTTTCTTTGTGGCACTTAACCCCAGTTGCTTTTTTTTTTTTGTAGTTACTGTTGTGAGTAACTTTCTCTAACTAGACTATAAACTTGGTGAGGGCAGTAATTATGTCTTTTTTCCCTTACCATTATATTTCTAGGGCCTATCTCAATGTAGTAGGCAGTAAAATATATCTGTTCAAGGGTGTTAAACTATATATATATATATATATATATATATAGTGTTAGGGTTTTTATTTTTAAAGATTTATTTATTTATACAAGAACCGGGGTACAGGTCAGTGCGGGAGGGTGAGAGGATTCACCAGAGACAGAGTGGGGAACAGAACAGGCAGACTGACGAAATACACTGCTGAGGGGAGCAGTGGGCGAGAAAGGAGAGGTCTGCCGTGCCATGTGGGATTCTCGCTGGCTGGCTGGGATTGCACCTGCACTACAGAGGCTGTGGACAGCTTCACAGTGCAGAGCTCAACTGCTTGCGCCACCAGGGAGGCCAGGGAGGCCCTTGTTATGGTTTTTTTTTTTTTTTTTTTTGTGGGACCCTCGCCAGCGGCGGCTGGGGAATGAACCGGCACTGAAGAGGCTGCAGGCAGCCTCGCAGCCCAGCGCTCAACCGCTGCACCACCAGGGGAGGTCCTTGTTATGGTTTTTAAAGGCAAAATCATATAGTAGTATGTGATTAAGATGTCCTCTTGGGGGTAAAAATCACTTCTGTTTGAGAATCACTTTAGAATTTTAGTCTTTGCCAAAAAGTACTGTAGTTACCACTTTTTTTTCAATATAATATATCCTTTTGGGGGCAAGGATTGTGCCTTTTTAGGTCCAATATATACCCAGTGTCTGACATGGAGATACCCAGTAAATATTTACTGAATGGATAAACATAATTCAGTATAATGAATCCAGATATTGTGTGTCACACATACAAGCCCCATTGCAAACTGGGTTACATTAAATGTAGGATAAAGTCTTCTGAAGATAATTTCACTAAAGGAAAATAGTCTGCCTTTTCTGTTTATGCGTACGTGTACCAGTGTTCCTAGTATTGTTCTTCAACTTACATAAATTTTGTTTTCCTGTTCCATGGTACTTTGTTAGACCTAGCTTTTATTTGGACACTATATGATCTGAAGTTCAAATCCAGAATTGAGAGAAATAGAAATTGTCCAGAATTGAGAGAAAAAGAAATTGTGCATCTTGAAATGGAATGCACAGTGGTCAGTACACAATGGTATACACTAAAGTGTTGTGGGTGAGGGGGTGGTTTTGTTGACTGTTCAGTGAAAACTTCGGTAAATAGTCTGTTGTTGGATTTTATAGTGTGCCCCCCCCCCCCCCCGCTTTGGCCTTTTCACCCTTTGTTTCTCTCTCATAATTTTAAACTCTTTTTTTTGTTAGTGTTGTTTTTTAAAATTGAGGTGTAATGTTGGTTAATAAAATGATTCAAAGGTACAGGTTCATGCCTCGTCAAATGTGTTACCATACCACAGCTACCACCAGGGCACCATTGGTTGGCCACCTTAGTCCATTGGACTTCTCTCCCTTTAGAGTCCCCTGTATCTCTGCACATAAGATGTTAATGTTATTTCTGTGATCTCGGGCAACACCTTTTTCCCATAGGCTGAGACTTGATAGGAGGATTTGAGGAATTGTGAGAATATGCTTGAATTTGAATCTAATTTTGATCGCATCACTACTCCTGATGAGATTTTTGGGGTAGTTAGACCACTTTTATACCAATACATAGATACTCATTTTTCATTCATCACCAGGTTCTTTCAGCTGTGCCTTCAAAATAGATCTCAAGTTTAATCACTTCAGTTACCATTACTACTAATTACCCCAGTCTGAGTTATTTCCATCTCTTCTGTGGTCTATAGGAAGAGTCGTCTTGGTCCTGCTTCCATTATTATCTATTATCCCCCAATTAGTTATCCACACAACAGCCTAAATGATCCTTTAAAATGTGAATTAGGTCATGTCATTTGCCAGATCATGTCTTAATATCAGAATGGCATTAGGAAACCATTCTGGTTTATAGTGTCAAATAATCTATTTTTAAACTGTTTTTAGTTTCTGAACTAAGTGTAACTTGAAAATTGTCACTGTGCTTATCTTTTTCCAGGAGGAACAGCACAGCATGCTGGGCTCTGGATTTAAAGCTGAGCGTTTACGAGTCAATTTGAGATTAGTCATAAATCGTCTCAAACTGCTGGAGAAAAAAAAAAGTAAGTACTGCGTGATTGTCTTATATTTTCTTTCCTAAAATATGCCATTGGAGTCTAGCACCCCAATATTTGCTCATTCAGTCTAGTACTGTAAAGTTTTAGGGATCCCATAGCTTTTTAAGACTTAAATACATTTCTGCCCCACTCTGTGAGTAAGACCGAATCACTTTATTTCAGGGAAAGGGGCATATTCTGGTGCTGTGGAGTAAATAATATGGTGGAAGTTTTTGGCTACACAAATAATAGTGTTACCTAGACAAAGTAGCAAGGTAAAGACTAGATGGGATAGGATTAGATTTGCTCAGGGAGCCTGAGCAAGGATGTAGTAGGAATATCTCCTCCTCTCTGTGGGGGTGGCGGTCTATGTGTAGACCAGGGCGCAGTGTACTGCTGCTGCATGACTGTCATTGGACTTGTGCCTTAGCGGAACTGGCCCAGAAAGCAAGAAAAGAGATTGCCGACTACCTGGCTGCTGGGAAAGATGAACGAGCCCGGATCCGAGTGGAGCACATTATCCGAGAAGACTACCTCGTGGAGGCCATGGAGATCCTGGAGTTGTATTGTGACCTGCTGCTGGCTCGGTTTGGCCTCATTCAGTCTATGAAGTAAGATAAAGTGTATGAAGTAAGATAAAGCTCTATTGAGCTTTAAAAATTATACCTCCACTGAGGTATAATTGACAGAGAAAAAACTATACATATTTTAATATATCGTTTGATGAGTTTGGACATGTGCATACACCTGTCTACCATCCCCACAATCAAGGTAATAAACATTTATCATCTCCAACCTTTGCCAGTTTCCACCTGGTTTCCTTTGCCAGTCCCCACCTTTTTTTTTTGGTAAGAGCACTTAACATGAGCTCTAGCCTGTCAGCAGCTTTTAAGTGCATAATATATTGTTGTTTACTTGAGGCATAATATAATACAGCAGATGTCTGGCATTTAGTCATCTTGTATAACTTTAATGAAGTGAGCTATTTTGAGTCAACAATCTAATTGGAGAAAAAGGGAAGGTAACACTAAGGGGCTTTACAGACCACCTTATTTCTTACTATTTGCTTGAAGGCCTGATCTTAACATAGACAACTGTTGAAAACAAAATACAGAATCTGAAATCAGAGACTTAGGTTTGGGTATTGACACATATGTTTTCTGAATTTTAACCTTGGACTCATCCCTTAGTTTGAGATTCCCCAAAAGTAAAATAGGATGATGAGAATGACTGGAAGACTAGAGTTATTGTGAGAATTCTGTGAGATTTGTGAGGTGGCTTTAGAGGCTATCAAGCATATAATACAGATGCTAGGGTTTTGTTGGTTTGTTTTAAAGAATGTTAAATTTTATTTTTACCCTTTAGGGAGCTAGATCCTGGTCTGGCTGAATCTGTGTCTACATTGATCTGGGCTGCTCCTCGACTCCAGTCAGAAGTGGCGGAGTTGAAAATAGTGAGTACATATGGTTTCAGTGATGGATATAGTTTTTCATTTTGTTAAAAAGCTTGGTTGTCATAAATCATTTCTAATTACTTGACCAGATGCGTTGTGCCCTTCTCAAGTTGCCTTTGAAATAGATTTTGAATATTTGCTTTTTCTTCCTTTTCGGGCCTTTTATTATAAAATAATGTTTTGTAAACTTGAATAATTTTTTTAAGGAGCAAACTTTCATGTGCCCCCCAAGTACATATTCCATAATTTCTTTTTTTTTTTAAAGAATTTTTTTTATAGAGGCATGTTTTTATTTATTTGTTTGTTTGTTTGTTTTTGTTTATACACGCACTGGGTACAGTCAGAAGCGCGGGAGGGTGAGAGAATTCACCAGAGCCAGAGCGGGGAGCAGAGCAGGCAGAAGGACCGAAGTACACTGCTGAGGGGAGCAGCGGGCGGCAGGAGAGGGCGCGCCATGTGGGGCCCTCCTCCGGTGGCCGGGGAGCAGCCGGGGATCGAACCGGCGCTGTAGAGGCTGCAGGCAGCTTCGCAACCCAGCGCTCAACCGCTGCGCCACCGGGGAGGCCCCATAATTTCTTTACTGTCATCCATCGATGGGCATTTAGGTTGATTCCATGACTGGACTGTTGTGAATTCTGTTGCTGTGAACATGAGAGTACTTAAGTGGTCTCACATTTACAGTTTTCATATTTTTATGTAAATCCTAAAAGTGGTATTGCTGGATCATATGGTATATTCATTTTTATTTTTTTGAGTAATCTCCATACCATTTTCTGTAGAGACTGCTCCAGTTTATATTTCCACCAACAGTGGATGAATGAATGTTCCTTTTTCTCTACATCATTTCTTGCTAGCACTTGTTTCTAGTCTTTTTGATCTAGGTCATTCTCACAGGGGTGAGATGATATAGTTCATGGCTTTGACATGCATTTTCTTTTTTTTTTTTTTAAGATTTATTTATGTATACAATAACTGGGGTACAAGCCAGAGGTATGGGGGGAGGGTGCGAGGACCCACCAGAGACAGAGAGGGGAACAGAACAGGCGGATTGACTGAAATATACTGCTGAGGGGAGCAGTGGGCGAGTCAGGAGAGGTCTGCTGTGCCATATGGGTCAGTTCCCTGGCCAGGGATCGAACTCATGCTACAGTGGCTATGGATAGCTTCATAGGTTGCAGCTTAACCCCTTGTGACACCAGGGAGTCCCTGATATGCATTTTCCTTATAATTGATGTTGAGCATTTCTTCCATGTCTGTGGGCCATCTGTATGTCTTTTTGGGGAGTGTCTATTTAGGTCTTTTGCCTGTTTTGAGTGGATCTTTTGGTATTGTTACTGAGTTCTTCATATAGTTTGGTAAATAGCCCTTCCTTGGATGTTTGATGTGCAAATATCTTCTTCCAGTTCATAGGGAAGGCATCTAATTCTTTTTTTCTTTTCTTTTGGCATCTAATTCTTATATAAACTTCTAAATTCATTCTCATTTTCAGTTCTCTTATACTACTTTATACAAAGTTAATTCCAGATGAAACCAAAATTTACATGTTATTTATTTTTAAGATTTATTTTTATCTATTTATGCATATAAGAACTGGGGTGTAGACCAGAGGTGCTGGGGGTGGGGTGGGGGGGAGGAGGTGTTTGTGTGTGAAAGGATTCACCAGAGACAAGAGTGGGGAGCGGAACAGGTGGATCTACTGCTGAGGGGAGCAGCAGGCGAGACAGAGGTCTGCTGCGCCATATGTGGGTTAGCTGTCAGGCCGCAGTGGTGATAGTAGAGACTTAACCCCTGGGCCACCAGGAACCTCCCCTTACCCCCCTTATTTTAAAGCTCTTTAGTAGCTTTCTGTTGTTTCTGTGATAGAAAGGAGACGCCTAACATGGTAGGTATACCACCACCCTACCTTACTCTCCCTGCCACATTCCTCCCTCAGGCTCTGCATCAGAGTCTTTATTTTGGCTTGATGATTGGCCCTTTTTTTCAGCCAGAGGCCTTTTAATATGCTCTTGTCTTTTTCAAGGAGTGCTCATCATTCCCCTCCTTTATCCTTTCCATTTTGGTGAAGTATCACTGTTCCATAAACCTCAGCTGACTTTTCTGATCAGATCTGATTCTTCTGCTATAAACCATTAATAGCATGTTTTACTTTTCCTTGGTTGCACTTAACCACAGTGTCATTCTGTTTGTACCATTAGTTGTATGATTTAATAGTGACTTTTCCACAGAGACTGTAAAAGACTATATAATATTTTGAGTGCGTATTATAATGATCATAATAGCTTTGGTACATAGTTGTGGCTCCATAGGTTGAGAAATATCTGAATTGAAAGCTTGAGGCATTCTCTAGGCACAGCTTCCACGTTTATTTACTGTTCCTTTTTCTCTATAGGTTGCTGATCAGCTCTGTGCCAAGTACAGCAAGGAATATGGAAAGTTATGTAGGACCAACCAGATTGGAACTGTGAATGACCGGGTAACAAACATACTTGTTAAACATGAACAGTGGGCAGGGTGAAGGCAGGTTATTTTTCTTGCCTGCAGTGATTCTAGGGGGTGCCACTACCGTGGCGGAGTTAGTCTAGGCTGCACATTTCATAGTGAGAGTGAGATGGTGGCTCTCTGGGGCAGTGCAGTCAACTTAACCCCTGTCCCGTACCTCTGATTGTGAGGTCCTCTGTGTCCCTTGTGATTTGTGGTGAAAAGAAATATTTAACTGGTATGAGCCTCATGTTTTCCCACCATTTACCTAAAAATGAGAGGAGCGAAGTAAGACATATTAGGCTTAACCTGGTTGGTATAGCTTCATATTAACTGTGGGTCTTTTACTTACACAGCTAATGCACAAACTGAGTGTGGAAGCCCCACCCAAAATCCTGGTGGAAAGATACCTGATTGAAATTGCCAAGAACTACAATGTGCCCTATGAGCCTGACTCTGTGGTCATGGTAAGTCCAGTCTTTCAGACTGGAAAATGCCCATATTCTAACCCAAGTTTGTGTGGGAGTTTATGTCTTGCATATTTGTATTTTTGTTTGGGTGACTGAAAGAACTCTGAAAAAGTACAAACTTGAGTCAAATACAAAGCAATTCATTATTGCTGTTCTTCCATGAAGTTCAAGGAATTGAGAATCTCCCTTATATTTCTAACAAGAAATACCCCAAGTCCAAATGAGATCCTGAAACTTATTGGGTCCCAGCCATGTGTCAGACATTGCACAAAAAGTTGCCAGTACAAAGACACATAATAATGAGGGCTTTTCTGCAGAGGCTCACAGTGTAAGGAGGCCGGATGAGCAAAAAAATAATCAAGCAGCAGTTAAGGTTGATGGGATGCTCTGGTTTGCTGCTCAGGCACCTTTCCCCCACTGTAAACACACGCATTCTTTAGGACAGCAGCATTATTTCCCGAACTTCTGGGAGTGTTGGTGACTAGTGGCTCATTCACAGCTGAGTGTCCAGCAGGGCGGGGGTCAAGGACAACTGCAGCAGGTACAACCTAGCTTCTCCCTCCACCCAGCCTTGCCTCATTCACTTCTCCACAGGTCTTTGTCCCATGACACCTTCCTGGGGAACCTGGCCTGAAGTGTGGTTTTACAGTGTGGGTTTCTTTCTCTTTCTCAGGCAGAAGCTCCTCCTGGGGTAGAGACAGATCTTATTGATGTTGGATTCACAGATTATGTGAAGAAAGGGGGCTCTGGAAGAGGAGGAGGAGGGGGCGGATTCACAGCACCAGTTGGTGGACCTGATGGAACAGTGCCAATGCCAATGCCAATGCCAATGCCATCTCCAAATACTCCTTTCTCGTACCCACTTCCAAAGGGACCGGTAAGTACACATGTAAATCAGTACAGGTGTAAAGTATAGAAAATGTAACAGATGACGAGTTGGTTCTGTAAATATATTTAGGAATTGTAGGTTGTCAAGAGGATTTAACAGTAAGAACATTTGGTATTAGAACTTAGTACTGATTGGGATTGACAGGAAATCTTTTGGTTCAACTGTAGTTAATGAAGTGGGGAAAATCTGGAGAGATGGTGCTACGAAAAATCCATAGGTTCCCTGGACATCTTTGGGATCTGTTATGGGAACACTAATAGCTTTTTCTGAAAAGTGAGTAACAACCACTTATTACTAGATAGAAAAGCTTCCTTTGTAGAAAAGCTAATGATCATTGCTACTACAAATGTCTGAATAGAGTTTTTCCCTTTTAGACAGAGGAGCAATTGATTTAATAATTTAAAAAATTTTTAAAAATCTAGATTCCTTCTGATCATATGTAAAGACCAAATATAATCTGAAGCATTCCAGATTTTTAAAAATGTCTTCCTATATATAATATATTCTATATATTATATATGTATTTCTCCTGTCCATACACAAACCTTAGAAATTACAAGTCGGGGGCAGTATTTCTGATATTGCCTTTCTCCTCTTGCAGTCAGATTTCAATGGATTGCCAATGGGGACTTTTCCCAATATTCATCCACCTCAGATACCAGCAACTCCCCCATCATATGAATCTGTAAGTGCCCCAGCCTCTTTTATAAGCAGCAGGAGAGTGAATCCCGTGAAGAGAGCAAAATGATGGCTACAGGGAAGGCAAAATTTTGATCAACTTCTAGTACCAACAATCCTTTTGCTTTGGATTCTTATGTTGCTTAACCATTACCCTGGAAATGTGGAGTGGTGATGGGGGCAGCATTATTGGTGGCAATGCTTTGTCTGCAGTTAAGCCAGGAATCAGAGGGGTGCTGCAGATCTCCTAGAAAATTCCAGTAGGGTACTTAACTTTTTCTTTTTCTTTCTTGGAATGACTAGACAGAAACACAGTAAGCTGGTGTTTATATTTTAATCTTGTAGTTAAAACTGACTATATACAGCTAATATGGAAGTGATGTCTTGAACTGTAGGTGATTATAACAGCTTTGGTTTATAATTAGATGACTTGTTTTCTTCCAGCCTTGTTTCCTCAGCTAATGTGTGCCTTTTGAGACCTGCTCCATCTGATCAATTTACTGAGAAAACAAACTAGGCACATGCTGTGGACATTACATACAGAGATGCCCTGAACATAGCAATGTTCCTGAACTTGCTTATTAGTGTTTCCTTTGATTTTTATCTTGGACCTGAAAGTTTATGTTTTGGTTTTCAACATGTTGTAGGATTGTCCACAACTATTTGTAGGAATGAGGTGTAAGATAATCAACATTTGAGTACTCGGTTCTTGGAGTGGTTTAATTCTTTCTCTCTGGATGGAAGGTGAAGGTGCCAAATTTAAGAGAGGTGTGATGGTGCTATAAGCTTTTTCTTTGCTTGGCAGTTAAGAATTCAGCATGGTATCTCTCTGGTTGGAATATCAGAGAAAAGTACAAGGGATGGAAGGATGTTTTCTTTGTAGCAGGTTCTGTTGCTTCTGCTGAGCTGCTTGGCTTTTGAAAAACATAGGGACATTTGGTACTGGTATTTTTCCCAGTGATACCATTCTCCTGTGGTAACAATCTTTGTGTTTCAGGTTGATGACAATGCTGATATGAATGTCTCTTCTGCACAGATTGTTGGTAAGTGTCAGTCAGAAACCTTCAAGGGTCATAGCTGAACTCTCTGCTGCTGTTTTCTCATTACTGTTCCCCCCTCAGGATGGTTTTCTTGTTCTTGGCATTCTCCCCACACACCCTGTCCTCTTCCCCCTGCAGTATGGCAGAACAGAACTCAGGATTACCCTCTTCCACAAAGAAGAGACTTTTCTCGGTCTTCGCCCTGCCCCCGCAAGTCCCAAGTCTCCTGTTTATATTAGCAGCATCACTCTAGTTTTCAGTCACGCTCAAGTTCTTTATGCTCCCGCTGCTTCAGCCTCCATTATGTCAGGAAATACCTCTTTTTTAAATGGGACCGTTAAAGAGGAGAAGTAGGCAAAAATCATAAATGAACATAGCTCAATGACTTCACAAAAATCCACTCAAAATAAAACACTTCCAGAGGGGAGATAAAATTGGAGGCAGTTTTGAGATACAAAAGTCTGTTTTTTTTTTTTTTTTTATAGAGGCATGCTTTATTTATTTATTTATTTATTTATTTATTTATTTTGTTTGTTTGTTTTGTTTATACATGCACTGGGTACAGTCAGAAGCGCGGGAGGGTGAGAGAATTCACCAGAGCCAGAGCGGGGAGCAGAGCAGGCAGAAGGACTGAAGTACACTGCTGAGGGGAGCAGCGGGCGGCAGGAGAGGTCTGCGCGCCATGTGGGACCCTCCTCCGGAGGCTGGGAGCAGCCGGGGATCGAACCGGTACCGCAGAGGTTGCGGGCAGCTTCGCAACCGAGTGCTCAACCGCTGCGCCACCGGGGAGGCCCCAAAAGTCTGTTTTTAAGAACCTAAGCAAAACATAACAAAAGCAGATCCTTGAATGACGTTTCATTCAACACTTGCCAAGCTCTAACATAGGCAATTAGATCATCGTAATGAGATGGCATTATTTGCGGACTTGCTATATATATGTGTGTATGTGTATATACCCTGTAACTGCCACCGTAGGAAAGGTAGAGAGTATTTCCATCACCCCAAAAAGCCACCTCCAAAGGTAAGCACTTCTATTTTCTAAAACTATAGTTTAGGTTTTCCTGTTCTAGACCTTACATAGAAATGGGAATGCACAGTATATAGAGGGGAATGATTTTAACTTGTAAAATATAGAAAGCCAGAAATACATATCATATCCTGTGAAAGGGAACCATTTATTTAAATGTATCCCTGTGTACCAAGTCTTAAGCACTATAATTCTTAAGAGAAAGTGAAACTTTTTCCTCACCAATAGGAAATAAAGCAGCTAGGAGTCAGTTCCAGTTAGAGAATGTAGCTCTTAACTGTCCTGCAGATTTGACCTTTAAAAATTAATGTTTCTGCCAAAGGGGTTTGTGGGCTTTGAGGATCTGAGACACTTCTCTGGTGTTTGTAACTCTGCTTCTTACCCTAAATTAATTAGGTCCTGGACCCAAACCAGAAGCCTCTACAAAGCCCCCTCCTAGACCTGTGGACGTATCTTATGACAACTTTGTGCTACCAGAGTTGCCATCTGTGCCAGACACACTACCAACTGCGTCGGCTGGTGCCAATACCTCAGCATCTGAGGACATTGACTTTGATGATCTTTCCCGGAGATTTGAAGAGTTGAAAAAGAAAACATAGGCCTCTTAAACCAGACAGTGTCCAAGTTCTGGGAGTTGAGACTGAGCAGTTTTTCCTTGTAACAAAGAATCTCCATGAAATTCTGTTTCATCTCTTAACCATCACTGAGCACACTCCTTCTGGGCTCTCTTCCTGCTCTACCAGATTCTGCTGCTTTCCAGTTCTTTGTTGCTCCTAAGAGACTATCGGTTGGACACTCTGAGGCTGGAGCAGCCAGCTCCTGGCGCCTGTGCTTGTCCATTTCCCGTCCATGTGGTCCCAGGTTCTCTCCTTGCCCATCCCGCCACCCGTCCAGAAGGGTGTGAGAAGGTGTAAGCACTGTGGGGAGAGCTTGCAAGGTGGCTGGGCAACGAAGAAGAGCACTTCATGAGTCTCAGCCCTGTGCTGAGATTCTAGACCTAGAAACAAACCGCTCTATTGAGTGGGATTCATGGTTAGTGAGAATCAAGGCCAAGTTGTGTATTTTCTCACTCGAATAGGAATGGGAGAGAAAATGACTCAGGAAGCCATTGTCACAGTTCTTGGAAGCTGGGTCCTCTCACTGACATATACACTACTCCTTGCTGCAGGGCACTGTCCCACCTGGATCCAGTGGCAAAAGTTTATTTGGAAAGTTGAAGGCCTCTCTTAGTTCTACTGGATTCTCAGGGAGCCCTCTGTGGCCTTTTGCTTTATTTTGAGTGCTGTTTTCCTTTTACCACAGGACAGCACTGTAAATTCCTGTTTTTCCCTATAGCGTGTTCTGTTGGATTACTGGCAAAGGAAGGTCAGGCCACATACTGGACAGAAGTCACCATTCAAGATTAAGGTGGGCTTCCAGTTGCCTTAATAGAAGTACTCAAGTTTCTTGGGTAGTGAGCTGGAAAGCCTACAGGAGAAGAGGGGTTCCTGTTTTCATTTGAAAACTTTATAATTAAGAGAACCTTTAAAAATTGATCTCAGATACGATTTCGGTGCCCATGTGGCTGTAGTAGTTCATTGCTTTCCTGGATAGAAGAGACTTACTGTTACCTACATGCTCCTCTGCCCCCGTAGCTGAGACCATCCTTCACAGGGATGGCTTTGGGATTGGAAGGTAAGACTTTGGCTCCTGTGTAGCATATCTGTACACTTCAAGCAACTTTAATGTTTTTGATTGGTTTGTATCTCTAGCTCAGTAGGTGACAATAAAAGTAAAGATTCTGTGCTCTGCTTTCTCTACTGCATTTTCAAATGATGAGGTATCAATTTGGGTTTTAGTGGAGAGTATTTTATTTAATTTTTTTTTTTTAAGAGGCATGTATTTTTATTTATTTGTTTGTTTGTTTATACATGCACTGGGTACAGTCAGAAGCGCGGGAGGGTGAGAGAATCCACCAGAGCCAGAGCAGGGAGCAGAGCAGGCAGAAGGACCGAAGTACACTGCTGAGGGGAGCAGCGGGCGGCAGGAGAGGTCTGCGCGCCAGGTGGGACCCTCCTCTGGTGGCCAGGGAGCAGCCAGGGATCGAACCGGCGCTGCAGAGGCTGTGGGCAGCTTCGCAACCCAGTGCTCAACCGCTGCGCCACTGGGGAGGCCCCAGTGGAGAGTATTTTAAACAAAAGACCATGCTAGCACAAGCCAGAGCCAGACCTCACCGTTGGCTCCCTAGGTAATGCAGAGGCCTGCAGTAATAAGAAGCCCATTTCCATTGCTTTCTCCATCGTGTATTTATGCCTGATGTCATCTGTGAGTTTGCTTGGTTACTGTTACAGGTAACAGCCCTAGTATAGGACTCCCTATCAGCCAAATCTCAGGCTTTTTATCTTTTATTTTTAATAAGCTGCAGTGAGGTCACATCTGACTCATTCTTGGAACATAGGTGGTGAGTGTTCTTTGGCAGCAGAGGTGGTTGATCTTGTATCACTCTTGCAGCTTTAACCTTTTCCTAATAGTGCCAAGTACTTGTTGCCAAGGGGATTTTGACTCCTTGCTAACAATTAAAACTTCTAAGTTAGATCATGCAAAGATAAGTAGTAAGCCAGACTAAGTAAATTAGAATAGTTCACCTTTTAAAACTTCATTGTGTTCTGTTGCACTGGATTCCTAACAAACTCGAGAGCTTCTGTAGCAGCACGTTTATCAGTGTAGCTTCTTTCCGAGTCTGTTTGAAAGCAAAAAGGTAAGGAATTGTTGCTAATGTTAGAGAAAAGTACCAAAGATACAAAGAAATTGTAAATATAAATAGTGAAGATACTATTTTGTTTAATTTACTGTCAGGCATTGGAATGATAGGTTTTGCTACCTAGTGGTTGAGGGCAAGCTCTTTAGAGGATAGTGGCTAGAGCACTTGGCAATTTGGGTTTCCCCAGAAAATGGTTGGCAGAGCAATGATGACAAATAAAAAGGGATATGCTGATAAGCTACATGGTCAGCCTATAATCTAACAGCAGTATAGTTGAGCTTTTCCAGTGATAAAGCATCATGATATAATTTATTTTGCAATTACCAAGTTAGAGAATTACCTACCTTAAGGGACTTTCTTTCTTTACCAAAAGTCATTAGAATGGCAGAAACAAAAAGGTTAATGATCACAAGTCCCATCAAGATCACACTGGTGAGGATCAGGAAGACACCCAGGACTGGGTCTAAAGCAATAACCTGGAAAGACAATAAAACACTTTTGAGTTTAAACACTGACAAATTAATTCTACTTAAAAAAGGTAAGTTAACGTGCTAATGTTTGGATATACTCACATAAAATAAACTGGTGGTAACCAAGGAGAAAAGCAAAAATATTAAGAAAAATACTTTTGAGTGGACAGAAGAACAAGAAGGATAACTAAGGGTATAAAAATGTGATTTCAGGGCTTTCAAAAGAAAACAGGTGAGTTGCAATGGAATTATAAATGATTTGCAGCCCATGTAAATTTAGGCAATTCTGGAAAATACAAACTAAATGTGGAAGCTTCAAAGAGTGAATTCAAGAATAAATACATGCCAGAAATGATAATGAAAACTCTGCCATACCAGGAACCTTCTATTCTAAACAGAGAAACATTCCAATAAAATCTTAACAGGTTAGCTAGAGAAAACAGGCCTTTACTATGGGTTTAAAAAGTTTTGTTTTGTTTTTCCATTTTATTTTTAGAAGTGTCTGAATTTGGCCTTTTTTTTTTTTTTTTTTTTTGCTTTTCAGCATAAGGTCTTTCAAATTTAGGGCTTATTAAAATTAAGTTTCCTTAACATTCTTTTTACATTTAATAAATGGTGTTTAAAATTTGTTAGCTTATCCAATTAATTACCTTTCGAGTCTAGGTTATCAGAATAAGCCTTGATAAAAATCTTGCTAATTTTATAAATTTGAACTGTGTTTTTGTTCCCCTGATCAAAACTATTCAATATATGTGCTAGTGTTTGGGCTCCAAACCTTAGGAGATTCCTAGCTTTACCTTTTTTTTTTTTTTTTAAAGATTTATTTATGCATACAAGAACTAAGGTACAGGCCAGAGGTGCAGGGGGGTGGTTTGCGGGGAGGGTAGAGTGGGGCGAGAGGATTCACCAGAGACAGAGTTGGGAACAGAACAGGCAGACTGACTGAAATACACTGCTGAGGGGAGCAGCAGGCAAGTCAGGAGAGGTCTGCTGCACCATGTGGGTAGCTCCCTGGCTGGCTGGGGATTGAACTGGTGCTGCAGAGGCTGCAGACAGCTTCACAGTGCTTTGCTTAACCCCTTGCGCCACCAGGGAGGCCCCACCTAAATTTACCTTTTAAGTTGGAAGGCTGAGGTGTATATTGGTAGTCCTTTGGGGAAAAGAATCCACTCTATGAAATAAGTATATATTGATTATAAACAGAGTTCAACCTAGAACTATACCTCCCTATTTTTTAAAGTCAAACTTCTATTGTACACTTGAAAGGGCCATAGAGAAAGAAGCAGCAAATCATGTTAATCTGGTCAGATAAGAGGGTGCCAGTTAGGTTCCGTGTCCATGACAATAAGGTTAAGGATGTGAGCAGTGAATGTGGGACTCCGTACTTACAAATGGACAGATGTATAAAAGTAACAACCACTCAAAAACTATACTTAGGTGGTACATAAAACTGAATGGCAAAAAAAAAAAAACAAAAAAAAAACTGAATGGCAAAGGATCTATCTCCTTTTTTAGTGTGCAGCAATGCAGCAGGGGTGGATTTAGAAGCAATTCTCCTTCCTAGTTAGATTAAACCAAATAGAATTGTATTGGGTCTTTCACCTCCTTGTGTGGAGTGATTCCCATCAGGAGGCCAACAACAGTCACTGCTGAACTGAAAAAAGTTCTGTAGTCAGAGATGCTCCATCCAAATAGCAGGTTAAACTGAAAAGGAGAAAGTCCAGTGAGAGGGTGTGGAGAGGAGGGGAGCCCATCTGCAGTTCTGTGCGGAGGTAATGGATGACAAGGCCAATGTAGAAGGCATGGGCTAGAGGCCATTTAAATCACTGTGTCTAGGTGGGGGGGGTCCAGTGGGTCATTACCAGGGCCTTGCTGGTGGATGTGGTAAAGTAACATACATTTGTGGAGGTGTAAACCTGTACCCCTAAGGCATATATTGTGGTGTAAACATTACCTCAATAAATACAGTTTTTACAAAAATTGCTATGCCTAATAAGTTCCTTCGTATTGTGTATTGTTAAGTACTGCATTTTGCTGTTTTCATGTAAATTAGATCTTTATCCTCATTTTAGAGATGAGTTTAATTATAGTTAAGTATGAATTTATAACTAAAACCAGTTTTTTACTCCACTGCCTTTTCTCCAACACTCATTGTCCACTTGCACTGATGGTTTTCCACACAGTGACTTAAGTAGTGTGATTACAAGACTCTAGTATACAAAGGAAAACAAAGACACTGGGAGCGGGGGCTTACAGCAATGGCATAGCCTGTCAGCAGGATCAAGAGGACCAGCAAGAAGCCCACCACCTCGTCCCAGGATCGGCTCAGTGTTCTGCCAATAACCTGCAGCCTGGGATTATGATGTAGCAGGTTCCACAGCTGAAGTGTTGCCAGTAGAACCAAGAATCCCACAAGGTAGGTGACAGCTGAGTTTACTTTTATCACCTCGTAGAAGCTGATGAACCTGTACCAAGGAAGGCTGACAGTTACTCAGTGTGAACTGTATGCCATCATCAGTTCCTCATGGCAGTTTCTCCAGCATGCCCACTGCTGAAATGCAGCTGCTCTCAGGCCTTTAGGTCAAAAACCGATATATGAATGATTTGTGTGGCCGCATACCTTGTGGATGTGAGAGTAATGGCAAAAGGCTGCATTGTTTGGCTGGCAAGTGTGTCATTGAATTCATCTTGGAACTCAAGACCAGCCCCCACTACGCTGGTGTGTTTTCTGTTGCACTCTGCATTGTTCTGTGGCAGTAGCCATCCATGTAATAGGCTCAACAGCACTGAGTGAAAGATCATAAACTCGGGGTGAATGAGGAGTGTTAACAATTAAATTTTGTTATATGCGAGAGGCATTTTTAGTTTTCTGCTTTATCAACTAGGTTACTTGGAAAGACACACTCCCCAAGCCACCACCTCCCATTATGAGCAATTTGGTACTCAATCACAGTTCTTTTATTGTTTAAGACGGAGGCAATGCCAAAGAGCAGGCTGGATGGACCTCAGCTGCCAACCCCCACACAGAACCACTGTCCCTATATTAAGAACCCTCTATAAAACGACCTGGGACGCTGCCTCAGGAAAAGTTTTAAATGGATTAGTGGTGCAGCATGTTGGCCACTAGAAAGATTATACTTGGTCTGGGAAATAGCTTTTCCCTATGGGAAACATCAGAGAAAGTGCCCATTGGGTACCTGAATTTATCTTGGTATGAATGAACATCCCCACCAGAAACCAACCCCATTCGGATTTAAAGGACGGGTTTGTTAGGGTTTTATTTAAGAAATTTTAGCTACATGATGCTTAGGCTTTATTCCTTGGCTACATTGTAAAATGACCAATTCTAGATTCCTGGTGTGTGAAATTTAAATGCTTAAGCCTTGATGAGCACTTACCTGGAATACAGTGAAGGCAGAACGTTTTTTAACCTGATGAGTGGTATAAATGGTTTCTAGTTAATTGTTTTCTCTCCTGTGTGCATTAGTCTGAGTTTTGTCCCAGATCTAGTAGGGGAGTAGAGGTGGAAGGGGAGTTTGCGAGAATACTTGTTTGTAAACAGTAGACTTTTGACACTGAGTAGGAATACCTTGTACCCCTCAGACTCCTTACCTGTCCCGGTCATAGCGGTATTGTGCCATGTTTTTCTTAAGAAGAGAAAAAAGCTTCATGTTAAGTCCCAAGCTGATAAAACTAATGAGGATTATGCTCATGTCCAGAACATTTCTTTTTCTAGTGAAGAATCTCCATCTCTGCTGTTTTAGTCGGCGACCCTAAACACACACACACACACACACACACCAGTCACTACTGCTCATAGAAATGTTAGAAACACCAGCAAAGCATTCATCTGGACACTTGTCATATTTAACCTGAACCCAATGGGTTATGCTCTGTGCTCTGTAATTACCCAGCTGCTGCTTCTGGAAAAGTTGGCCTCTAATACAGCTTTAATTAGTCACATTCTTTTGTTGCTTAAATTTAATCAAACTTCTAAATTAGTTATTAAGCCTGAAAACAAAATATTGTGTTTATCTTAAAATATATTCTTTGGGTGCAGTCATCTGTATTTTTTTGGTTAGTATTTGCTGTATTTTCAACCTCTTGCTATTACCTTATATAGGGGTAATACAGCTGTACAAATGTATTCATTTAGAGAATTAATGCTACAGAAAATCAAAAGAACCACTAGGTAGAAAATAAGTTCTTTAACTGTATTCAGGTTCTAGAAAAGTCCTAGTAATAGCTCATTGTAGAGTTTCCCAAATAACACCTGGCAGTCTTGAGAACTTACACCTAACATTTTCAATTCACCTGTATGAAGGCATGGTAACAGATGAGTAGATAATAGATGACTTGTGAGGTGACAGACCAGACAAAATCCTTCTTCGATGTCTGAAGGAAAGTTAAACTGTCCAGTCTTACAGAAGTAAAGAAGGCACCTGAGAATAACAAAACACCTGGAGTCAAGAGTCCTTACAACTTTTGCCCTCTTCCCTTCAAATTGTCTCTGAAATAACCCCAAGAGGTCGTCATACCCACATTGTTGGACTCCACAACCAGAGTCACTGCACAGAACAGGTTTACGTTAGCATTGAAGACCACAAATTCCACAAAAAGGCTTCTGGTGCAGTGGTCTAGCCAGTGGTTCTGTTCAAGATGTTGTAGCATCCTGGGAAAACAGAGAAGGATGGGGCGAGTTACTTCTCCATTCCATCCTATAACGGAGGGGCCTGCCATGGCATTTCCAGTATCACTCACATGCCAGGTAGGAAGCTACATTTCCCAAGGTAGAATCCCCATAAATTATTTCATGATTGCTGCTGCCCCCACTAGTGATAAATAAATATAAATTTAGAAGATTGAAAGTGAAAGTCGTCATAATAGCATGAAATAACACAGTGAAGGCACACACACAAAAAAAACCAAAACAAAACCCAAGGTTAAACATTCAAGAAAGCATATTTGGCATTTAAAGTCTGAGGAAGGGCCTCCCTTGTGGCGCAGGGGGTTAAGTGCAGCACTGTGAAGCTGTCCGCAGCCTCTGCAGTGCCAATTTGCTCCCCGCCGGCCGCAGAGATGCCTACATGGTGAGGCAGACCTCTCCTGTTTTGCCCACTGCTCCCCTCAGCAGTGTATTTCAGTCAGTCTGCCTATTCTGCTCCCCACTCTGTCTCTGGTTAATCCTCTCACCCTCCCACACATCTGGCCTGTACCCGGTTCTTGTATAAATAAATAAATCTTTAAAAAAATATAAAGTCTGAGGAAGAATTAATCTTATATGATGTGTTAACTATTTCTATTGCTAATGCTATTAATCTTTCTAACAGCTAATCAGTTTTGAGAGGGGAAAGAGATCAAAATGCCCATTATTTGGCATTATTTTTGAGTAACTTCTTGCTATAGATTTAAATGAGGTGGGCCTTCCCGGTAGCGCAGCGGTTGAGCGCTGGGGTGCGAAGCTGCCCGCAGCCTCTGCAGCACCGGTTCGATCCCCGGCTGCTGGGCGAGGGTCCCACATGGTGTGCAGACCTCTCTTGCCGCCCGCTGCTCCCCTCAGCAGTGCACTTCGTCAGTCTGCCTGCTCTGCTCCCCGCTCTGACTCTGGTGAATTCTCTTGCCCTCCCGTGCTTCTGACTGTGCCCAGTGCTTGTAAAAATAAATAAATCTTTTATGGTCAACTAATCTTTGACAAAGGAGCAAAGACTATGCATTGGAGCAAAGAAAGTTTGTTCAATAAATGGTGCTGGGAAAACTGGGTCGCTACATGCAAAAGAATGAAGCTTGACCACTACCTCACACCATACACAAAAATCAACTCAAAATGGATTAAAGAACTAGACATAAGACCTGAAACCATAAAATATATAGAAGGAAATATAGGCGAAACACTACGTGATTTGCACATCAAAGACATCTTTACAGACACATCACCCAAAACAGTGATAGTGAAGGCAAAGATAAACAGCTGGGACTACATCAAATTAAAGAGCTTCTGCACAGCAAAAGAGACAATAACAAAAACAAAGAGAAACCCCACCAACTGGGAGAACATTTTTGCACCCAACACTAATGATAAAGGACTGATCACAAAAATCTGCAAAGAGCTGATGAGACTCAACAACAACAAAGAAAATTATCCAGTCAAAAAATGGGCAGAAGAGCTAAAAAGAAACTTCTCTGAAGAGGAAATGCAAATGGCCAACAAGCATATGAAAAAATGTTCAACATCACTTGTCATCAGGGAAATGCAAATCAAAACTACCATGAGATACCATCTTACACCAGTGAGAATGGCACATATTAAAAAAACTAGCAACAACAAATGTTGGCGAGGGTGTGGAGAAAAAGGAACTCTTCTGCACTGTTGGTGGGAGTGCAAACTGGTCCAACCACTGTGGAGAGCTGTGTGGAGATTTCTGGACCTACTAAACATAGAGCTTCCATAGGATCCAGCAATTCCACTCCTAGGTATTTACCCAAAGGACACAGAAACATCAATTCCAAAGAACACCTGCACCCCTATGTTTATAGCAGCACTGTTTACAATAGCTAAGCTTTGGAAACAGCCCAAATGCCCAAAAATAGATGACTGGATCAAGAAGATGTGGTACATATATACCATGAAATATTACTCAGCATTCAAAAAAGATAAACACATGCAATTTGCAGCAACATGGATGGCGCTGGAAGGGATCATGCTCAGCGAAATAAGCCAGAAAGAAAAAGAAAAATACCAGATGGTCTCACTCATAGCAGGAATCTAGAAAACTTAAATAAGGGACCAGGAAAATGAATAACTATAAGAAAGTGAAAATCAAAATCAACAAAAAACTATGAACCAGAGACACTTTTAGGGGGCGGGGGCGGGAGGGGAGGGATTGGGGTCAGAATGGGGGGGGGCTGCAATTGTATGGGGAATATAAAAATAAAATTTATTATTTAAATAAATAAATAAATAAATCTTAAAAAAAATTTTTTAAATTAGGTAATTTCAATCTCTTCATTTGTGATTTAGTAATTTTAATTCAGGCTTTTTCATATATATAATGAGAAAGACTCAGCATTAACGTAGAAAACTACTCTGTAAGTCTATCAATTCAACTTTGGCATTTGCATTTCGATTTTGAATTGATCATATGAGATAGTATTTCTTTTTACATTTGAAGATTATAGTTTGTTCAAGCTGAGTTACCTGATTTCAACTATAGCTAAAATTGAAATTGGTATTTGTTTTGGGACTCCCTGTTGGCACAAGGGGTTAAGTCTCAGCACTATGAAGCTATCAGCAGCCACTATGAGTTGATCCGCAGCCAGGGAGCTGACCCACATGGTGCAGCAGACCTCTCCTGTCTCATCCACTGCTCCCCTCAGCAGTGTATTTCAGTAGACCCGCCTGTTCTGTTCCCCACTCTGTCTCTGGTGAAGACTATACCCCACCCCCATACCTCTGGCATACACCCTAGTGCTTGTATGCATAAATAAATTAATCTTAAAAAAAAAAAAAAAAGAAATTGGTATGGTTTTTCTAGCTGAGAAAAAGAATGAGTTTTGCCAAATTGCCACACCCACACTATCCTCTGAAGAACAAAGAATTTTTATTTATTTTTAAATTTTTTTTAAAGTTTTTTTTTTAAAAGATTTATTTATTTATTTATACAAGCACTGGGTACAGTCAGAAGCGCGGGAGGGTGAGAGAATTCACCAGTGCCAGAGTGGGGAGCAGAACAGGCAGAAGGACCGAAGTACACTGCTGAGGGGAGCAGCGGGCGGCAGGAGAGGTCTGCGGCCTCCGGTGGCCGGGGAGCAGCCGGGGATCGAACCAGCGCTGCAGAGGCTGCAGGCAGCTTCGCAACCCAGCGCTCAACCGCTGCGCCACCAGGGAGGGCCCAAGAACAAAGAATTTTTAAACTAAAAGATATATGTCCTTAAAAGTATAACCTAAAAAAGGGTCTGAAAAGTGTCATAGACAGTACAATAACATTACAATGGCTGATGAAACTACTCAAATGGATCCTAAGTTCCCAATTGTCCTAAAAACGGACATCAGCAAACATCCTGGCCTCTTATTTGGAGCTCAGGCTGGCTTACCTGACTGCAGTACTGGAGTTTCTTCCCAGTCTCACAACATATCCTCCTCCTGAGTAGATGGCAAATTCCCCTTGAATAGGATGGCTACCCACTGTCTCTTGATTCTGATAATGCCAAATGCTGTCTGATTTTGTGATGTTTGTATCAGGAGGTCCCCAGTTAACCCCATAGTTCTCTGTATCCTCCTGAACATGGTGAGATGGGTTCACTTGTTCTTGGGGAGATACTGTAGTTGGAAAGAGGATGGCACCAGGAATGCGAATCTGACGAAGCAGAACATTGCCCAAAAGCAAGGAGTTCCCATCAGTAATAAATCCTAGTAAGAGAACACACATAGGAAACTGTTTTAACAACTGCCTCATTAAGTCAGTAACAAACTGCACACTTTCACTACTATTTTAAAAAAAAAGCATGTTTGGAGTTATTAGCTAATGCAAGCAGATAAGAAATAAGAGGAATCAAAATAAAGGAGAAAGTGAAATGATCAATTTGTAAATGATAACTGATTTAGATAAATTAAGGATCATCAACTGAAAGATGATAGCAAGATGGAACAGGAGGTCCCCTGCTTATATCTCTCTCTAACAACAATGACGTGCGGCTAGCCATCCATGGACAGTGTCTTTGTGGGAGCTTGGGATTCAGGTAGGAGACTGAGGACCATTTTGAGAAGGCAGACCCATGCAGGTGGCTGACTCACCCATTATGTCCTGGCTCTAGATTCAGAAACAGTTCTATACCCCTGCAGACTCAGCTACAGTCCCACAGACCTCAGTCCTGAATGGTTAGTAAACCAGCTCCACACCCTCTCAGCTGTGGTGCAGAAGCCCTGAGAAGTGATTATGCCAAATTCAGTCTGACAGTGGATCCTGAAATGGTTCTATCGCTAGGCTACACCAGCCTGTGCTAGCCACAGTACACAAGCAGCCCGGCCAGTATAGGGCTCTCTTGGGAGACACGCCCCAGAAGTAGGCCTGTTGACTGCACCTAACTACAAATCCAGAAACTGCCCTATAATCCAGCTCCAGTCCTTCCTAGCCACAGTCAGGAAACATGCCCAGGAGGGGACCTGGCAGGAGCCATCACCATCCCTCCCTCTAGAACTGGGTCTGCAGACATTGGTCCTGACGGTTGGTCTGATGAAGCACTGGGAGTTGGTTCTGGCCCCTCTCTGCCATTGTACAGGCCGGTCCTGCTTGCCCAGGGACCCACCCAATGATCTAGTAGGAGCCCTCCCTTGGGCCTTGTGGGACCCAACACACCTGGTAACAGCCCCACCTTCTGTGGACCCCAAAGCAGATTGCCATGCCAGGGACAGCCCGACTGAACAAGGTTCTGGAGTCAGTCCTGTCTACTCATGGACCAGATAGGAGCTACCTGACCAAGACCCTGCTAAGAGGCCCATCAATCATGAAACCCTCTGTGGATCCCGCAACAGACACATGACTCAATTCCAACCCAGTTTAATTGAGATTCTGGAGCTAACCCCTTCAGCCAGAAAGCTGCAAGGTCTTTACCCTGAAACCAGTCTGTTATGACTGGAAAAGGCATTTGGGCCTCAAATGTGCACAACAATGCAAGGCTTTATGGGTCACAATGTCAAAATAAACTCGACATCTCTAAGGGAAAATAATAAAGCTCCAATAACTACCTCAAAGAAAGGGAGATGTACAAATTGCCTGACAATTCAAAACAATCACTGTAGGGAAAAATACAAGAGAACACAGACAGCTAAATGAAATTAGTTAAACAATGCATGAACGACATCACTTATAAGGGAAATGCAAATTAAATCCACAATGAGGTAACACCTCACCCCTGTGAGAATGGCTTATGTCAAAAAGAAACAACAAATGATGAGGATGTGAAGGAACACTCATCCACTGTTGATGGGAACACAATTCAGTGTAGCTTCTGTGGAAAACAGGAAGGATATCTCTTAAAAATATAAACATGGAGATCCCATAGGACCCAGCAATAACTCTGCTAGAATATGAAAACTCTAATACAAAGAGACTGAAAACTCCAATGTTCACAGCAGCATTTTCCGCAATAGCAATAGCTCTTACCTCTGTAATCCCCATACAGGTTAGGAAGGAGGGTGCGATTGGCCCAGGGGTAGAAATGCTTAAGGATTTTTATCTCTGAGAAACCATGAGAAAAGCTCTTCCAAATAGCTTGATGGAGGTAAAATCTATTGGAGTTCTGTGCAGAGTAGACTGTAGTCATCAACAGGGCAAGAAAGAGGATTTGTACTGGTGGAAAGGTAAAAAAATATCATGGTTGAGTGGTTAACTTAGAAACCTTCTATACACTTTTCTCCCCATATTTTTCAAATGAAAAAAAAAAAAAGGTTCATCCTAACAATTATAAATGCATAAGCCAACACATGTGGCTCTTAGTGATATCAACAGACATCGACAGATCCTCCCCACAATGACCCCAGCACTAAGTTATAAATTTTACTTAAGATACATAAAATCTCATAAAAACCACCCTTCCATCATGTTCCCTCTTCTTATTCCCCCCTCCATCTGTGGAGACTATGGAGTCCATCTATGTTCACAAGAAGGGAGAGCATGAAAAATCATTTGTTTTCTGTGGTTGAGAGAAGCCAATAATCCAAACTCTAGAGGCACTGAATCAGCTACACTGCCCTTAAAGAACAGACATTTTCCAAAGCTTATTCATTTTTCCTCCACCCTGTGAGGGAAGTAGGTCAAGTTGTGCCATTACATTTAGGAGGTAGAGAAAGTGATTTATTCAAGCACATATTTATACCTGAGGACTCTAACTTCAGGAGTACGTCCCCTTAGCATACTACCTCATTTCCTGAAACGCAGACTTTTTCAAGGTAAGCATTTTAAGACACTATTCCCCCTTTTACATTTTCCAATTTATTGTTGCTCCCCCTTTCCTCACTGGGAAATGTGCTACAGAATTGACATGCTAACATTTTCTTCTCCATACCCCAAATATCTCCCATCAGCTTGAGGATTCTGGTCTCTTTCACAGTTCTTTCTGGGCACTTAATTGGACTGTCCATAGCTGGAGCTACATAGACGGGGTTGTTCATATCTCTTGAGCCAGGTGATGATGTGGAACATTGTGCTGTTGAAAAATTCAAATGTGGACCAAAAAACACTAAATTTCATTAAGCAGTTATTCATCAGCATTTGTTGAACATCTATGAGTACCTGCAGATCTACTGAGGTACACTGCTGAGGGGAGCAGCGGGCGAGTCAGGAGAGGTCTGCTGTGCCATGTGGGTTGCTCCCTGGCCGGGGATTGAACTCGTGCTGCAGAGGCTTCAGACAGCTTCATAGGTTGTGTCACCAGGAGGACCCCCATGCAATTCTTAATTAAAAAAACTCACAATAGGGCCTCCCTGGTGGTGCAGTGGGTTGAGCATAGCACTGTGAAGCTGTCCGCAGCCTCTGCAGCACGGGTTTGATTCCTGGCCAGCCAGGGAGATTCCCACATGGTGTGACAGACCTCTCCTGTCACACCTGCTCCTCCCCTCAGCAGTGCTTTCAGTTGTCTGCCTGCTCTTCTCCCCGATCTGTCTCTCGTGAATTCTCTCACCCTCCTGCACCTCTGGTCTGCATCCCAGCTCTTGTATAAATTAAAAAAAAAAAATCTTTTAAAAAAACCCCAAAAATGAGCCTCCCTGGTGGCGCAGCGGTTGAGCGCTGGGTTGCGAAGCTGCCCACAGCCTCTGCAGTGCAGGTTCGATCCCTGGCTGCTAGGCGAGGGTTCCACATGGCGCGCAGACCTCTCCTGCCGCCTGCTGCTCCCCTCAGCAGTGTACTTCATCGGTCTGCCTGTTCTATTCCCCGCTCTGGCTCTGGTGAATTCTCTCACCCTCCCGCGCTTCTGACTGTACCCAGTGCTTGTATAAATAAATAAATAACTCTTTAAAAAAAAAAAAAACCCAAAACTCACTATGCAGTCTTCTTTAAGCAAGACATGTATTATTTACATGATTAAAACACTTAATTTTCCTGCGACCAGCTTTTTTGGTCTAGCATTGTGTTTGTGGATTGCTCCTTGTGATAATAATAAATAGGTCTAGTTAGTTATTTAGAGAGGAGACTCAGGTGTGGTGACTGAATGTGGGTAATAACAGGAACTTAGGACTTTGCTGACGTCTTTTAAAGAATGGTGATGCTCTTAACTGAAATGAGAATATACAGGAAAGAAGTGGATTTGTGGGGTAGGCAAATAATTCCATCCAGGCACATATAACCTGAGACAGCTGCAGGTATTTAGACACTGACGGTGAGCAACTGGAAACAGCACCTGGGTTAGGTGCAACGAAGACTGAGGCGATCTAGAGCACAGGTGAGAGTGGAGGCGTGGAGAGAGGGTTGACCCAGGGAGGACAGCACTAGTAGCCTGGCCACAGGCTGGTTAGCCCCAGGCAGAGTAGGAGGCACCACCGGCTGACTGGAGACAAGAGCCCTGACTGGATGACTTTATCTGAGTCAGTGAGGTGCTGCAATTTCACTGTGGCACTCTAACTTGCTCTTTGCAAAATTAGATCTTAGTTGTTAGAACAACTTGATTACCCAAGAGTGCCAAGATCCTCCTGGTTTGTTGTTCCTTCTCTTTGTTGAGCCGTGGCATCCTGTTTAGCATCAGTGAGAATAATAAAGCCAGTGAGATCACCTAGGCAGGAAAAACACAGAAGAATCTAATGAGTAGATAAGGCAGGATCCAAAAAGGTGACATCATGATGTAAAGGAGAAGTGGACATTATTAATAAAGTTCAATCATTTTCCTCTTTATTTTTATGAAAGCCTGAGATTAAGTATTTTCATATTTTTTTGGGCAGAATCATCGGGATCTGATGGGGTCTTAGGAGTCTGAGGTTAATATGTGTTTTTGCTTATAGTCCATAAATATGCTTGATTAGGAAAGCTTAAATTATTAAGTGATTTGTGATTTGCAGAAGTTGTTCAATAACACCTGTCCTTGGAAGACCTTTGAATAGAGAAGATAGACATTTTAAAAAAGTTCCCAGATGAAGTCTGTTATGCTAAGTAGTCATGGAATCCTAGCATTAAGAATGAAGTATCTGTTAGGGGAGACAAGTATCTCCCACTCCTTAAATTTCTGTGTTGGGGGCCTCCCCGGTGGCGCAGCGGTTGAGCGCTGGGTTGCGAATCTGCCTGCAACCTCTGCAGCCGGTTCAATCCCCGGCTGCTCCCCGGCCACCAGAGGAGGGTCCCACATGGCGCGCAGACCTCTCCTGCCGCCCGCTGCTCCCCTCAGCAGTGTCCTTTGGTCCTTCTGCCTGCTCTGCTCCCCGCTCTGGCTCTGGTGAATTCTCTCACCCTCCCGCGCTTCTGACTGTACCCAGTGCATGTATAAACCAAACAAACAAACAAATAATAAATAAATAAATAAGACATGCCTCTAGAAAATTAAAAAAAAAAAAAAAATTAAAAAAAAAAAAAAAATTTCTGTGTTGGGTAGGAGAGTGAGCCATTCCTCAGGAGAAAGGCTCAAAGGTGAAGTTCCACACAACCACCCCTCCCCTGACCTGTGCAGGTGATTCGGCTGTAGCTGCTCTGCCCAGATCCCCCAGGGTAGCAGAGGGTTGAGACCCTTCTTTCTGTTTCCACTTTTGTAGTTTAATGAGCTTGAGGAGGCAATTCTGGAGTGTCTGCTCTAAAGACTGAAAGTTGTTCTCCAGTGGAATGTCTCAAGGACTAGATTTTTGGGATAAAGGCATAAACATGTATTATCTTTTCAAACCTTACACATTTGCTAGATCCTTTGCTGCAATGATACCTGTAATTAACACATCCACTTCTACCTCTTCTGTTACTCTTTGTATATTTTTCCAATTTTTTAAACTGAAGTAACACGTGTTAATATGTTAAATATTATAAGTATTTGCAAAAGAAGAAAAATTAGAGAAAAAACCCTTAAAACCTGGAATATATCCTTTTCATTTTTGTCTTAAAATAGCTGTACTTGCTATTCACTTCATAACATTTTCTGTGGTGTTTGCAGTGGTGGCTTGGCATTTCATTAGATGGAAATGGTTGTTTCCTAATATATATTAAACAATGTTCTATTTTTAGACATTTAAGTTGTTGCCAATTAATTTTATTATTATAAACCTGAATTTCCTTGAAGAGATACTTAGAGGTGAAACTCACTGAGCAGAGGGATGCAGAATTTGAAGATTTTTACTGCAGACTGACAATTTCAACAAGCATGAGCATCCATTTCCCCTGTCATCACATTGTATTACCATCTTTCTTTGCCATTTTAATTTTACAAAATCATGTTTATTAAAGTAATGTTGGTTGGGCCTCCCCAGTGGCACAGCAGTTGAGCGCTGGGTTGCGAAGCTGCCCGCAGCCTCTGCAGCGCCGGTTCGATCCCTGGCTGCTCCCCAGCGGCCGGAGGAGGGTCCCACATGGCGCCCGCTGCTCCGCTCAGCAATGTACTTCGGTCCTTCTGCCTGCTCTGCTCCCCGCTCTGGCTCTGGTGAATTCTCTCACCCTCCCGTGCTTCTGACTGTACCCAGTGCTTGTATAAATAAATAAATAAATCTTAAAAAATAAAAATAAAAATAAAAATAAAAAAAAATAAAAAAAAAAAGTAATGTTGGTTTACAACACCGTATATGTCTTAGGGGTACAAGCTGACACCTTTACAGATGTCTGTGACCACCAAGCCCATCACCACAGCCATCCATCATCGTTCAGTGAGCCCATCTTCCCTTTGTTCTTTGCCCCTACTTGGCCCTCTGATAACCTCAGTTCTGCAGCCCAATTTTAAGGGTTTGGTTTAGTCTGTTCCTTTGTTTTTTTTTTTTTTTTTTTTTTTTATAGAGGCATGCTTTATTTATTTGTTTGCTGGTTTGTTTGTTTGTTTTTGTTTATACATGCACTGGGTACAGTCAGAAGCGCGGGAGGGCGAGAGAATTCACCAGAGCCAGAGCGGGGAGCAGAGCAGGCAGAAGGACCGAAGCACACTGCTGAGGAGAGCAGCGGGCGGCAGGAGAGGTCTGCGCGCCATGTGGGACCCTCCTCTGGTGGCCGGGGAGCAGCCGGGGATCGAACCGGCGCCGCAGAGGCCGCGCGCAGCTTCGCAACCCAGCGCTCAACCGCTGCGCCACCGGGGAGGCCCTCCTTTGTTGTTTTTTTTTTTATATTTCACATATGAGGAATTCATCTAGTATTTGCCTTTCTCTCTCTGACTTATTTTGCTTATTATAATCCCCTCCAGTTCCATTCATATTGTAACAAACATTCTTTGTCATTTTTAACAGCAAAAGTGGAAAGTTATTGTTCTACTTCTAAGATCAGGAACAAGACAAGGATACTCACTTTTTTTATTTAAACAAACACCTGCTCTTTATTTATTAATTTTTAAAAAAGATTTACTTATTTATGCATACAAGAGCTAGGGTACAAGCCAGAGATGTGGGGGTTGAGAGGATTCACCAGAGACAGAGCGGGAAAACAGAACAGGCAAACTGACTGAAATACACTGCTGAAGGGAGTAGCAGGAGAGACAGGAGAGGTCTGCTGCACCATGTGGGTTGCTCCCTGGCTGCCCAGGGATCGAACTCATATTGCAGAGGCTGTGGATTGCTTTATAATGCGGTACTTAACCCCTTGTGCCACCAGGGAGGCCCAAGGATATTCACTCTTACTATTATTTAACATAGTATAGGAAGTCTTGGCCAGAGCAGTTAAATAAGAGGTACCCAGATTGGAAAGAAGAAAGTAAAACTGTTAATACATGTGGATAATGTGATTTGACACACAAACCCTAAAGACTCCAGCAGAAAACTTAAGACTAAATTGTAGACTACAAAATCAGTATTCAAAAATCTGCTGTATTCTATCTGCAACCAATGCCCTAACATAAAGAGAAATGAAGACATCAACATAATTTAACAAATATTTATATTTAACATATACATATTTCTTGAACTTTCTTTTTTTTTTTTTTTAAAGAGTAGCATTTTTTTTTTAATAGAGGCATGTTTTTATTTTTTTATTTATTTGTTTGTTTGTTTTGTTTATACAAGCACTGGGTACAGTCAGAAGCGCGGGAGGGTGAGAGAATTCACCAGAGCCAGAGCGGGGAGCAGGGCAGGCAGAGGGACCGAGGTACACTGCTGAGGGGAGCAGCGGGCGGCAGGAGAGGTCTGCGCGCCATGTGGGACCCTCCTCAGGTGGCCAGGGAGCAGCTGGGGATCGAACTGGCGCCGCAGAGGTCGCCGGCAGCTTCGCAACCCAGCGCTCAACCACTGCGCCACCGGGGAGGCCCAATTTTCTTGAACTTTCTTGTCCAGTCCTCTCCAGGACACATGCATCGCCAATGCATGCAACCACCTGGGAGGCTTTTAAACATGCTGGGCCAGAGATTATGATTTAGCTGGTAGGGAGCAAGGCCTGGGCATTAAGAATTTTCAAAGCTTCCCTGGTGTGCTTGTGTTTGCCTAGGCCCAACTTCTAGGTTTCTTAAAGCAGAGGCAATTCTGTCACTAAAATGCAGAACTTTGAAAAGTGCACAGGTCAGACATGTCGGTTTCTTCAACAAATATACTGTAAAAAAGTAGCAAAAATAGACAATGAGAGAAAAAGGGAGGAGGAAACAATAGGTATGATGTTAGAGAGACACCCACTAACCGCAACACAACTACAAAATGAGCTTTGAGGCAACTGGGAAAAGCTGAACATTGATTTTTCAAAACTGTGGCAAAATATATACAATGAAAATCCTTAATATCTTAATCTTTTTAAAGTGCATAGTTCAGTAAAGAGTGGCTATTAAGAAATTATTGCTAGGGCCTTCCTGGTGGTGCAGGCGGTTGAGTGCAGCGCTGTGAAGCTATCCGCAGCCTCTGCAGTGCTGGTTCGATCCTTGCCGGCCTTGGAGCAACCACATGGCGATCAGATCTCTCCTGTCTCACCTGCTGCTCCCCTCAGCAGTGTATTTCATCAATCTACCTGTTCTGTTCCCCACTCTCTCTGGTGAATCCTCTCACCCTCCTGCGCATCTGGCCTGTACCCTGGGCTCTTGTATAAATTAAAAAAAAAAATCTAAAGAAAAAAATTATTGCTATTTAGGCATGATAATGATTTTATATTTATGTTTTTTAAAGAGTCTATCTTTTAGGAATATATGAATATTTGGGCCTCCCTGGTGGCAGGGGTTAAAGATACAGTGCGATCAAGCTATTGCCAGCCTCTGCAACATGAGTTCGATCCCCGGCCAGGGAGCTGACCCACGTAGTGCAGCAGACCTCTCGCCCGCTGCTCCTCTCAGCAGTGTATTTCAGTAGATCTGCCTTTTCTGCTGCCCATTCTGTCTCACTCCCCACTCTGTCTCTGGTTAATCCTCTCACCACCCCCCACCCCATCCCTGGCCTACACACCAGTTCTTGTATGCATAAATAATCTTTTTTTAAAAAAAGAAATAAATGACTATTTATGGATAAAATGATACAAAGGCTGGCTTATTTTTTCCAAAGTAGATGAAACGAATTGGCCACAAATTGATAGTTAAAGCTGGGGAACAGCACCAGGCCCATTATACAGGTCTCTACAGTTTTAAGTTTGATAACCACCCCCTTTTATGTTTTACTCTCTTCACCATTCCACCTGTGTCCACACCCCATCTGCCTCCCACCCCTTTAATTAAAAGTTTTATGTTGCTTATTTTTTCCTTCAAAGTAAGCCTTCTGTTGCTACTGATTTCCTTTTATTTTTTTGAAGATTTATTTATTTATTTATACAAGCACTGGGTACAGTCAGAAGCACGGGAGGGTGAGAGAATTCACCAGAGCCAGAGCGGGCAGACTGAAGTACACTGCTGAGGGGAGCAGCGGGCGTGGCAGGAGAGGTCTGCGCGCCATGTGGGACCCTCCCCCAGCGGCCGGGAATCGAACCGGCGCTGCAGAGGGTGCAGGCAGCTTCACAGTCCAGCACTCAACCGCTGTGCCACCAGGGGAGGCCCACTGATTTCCTTTTTATTTGTCCGTTTAAACTATTTTTTTTTTAAAGATTTATTTATTTATACAAGCACTGGGTACAGTCAGAAGCGCTGGCGGGTGAGAGGATTCACCAGAGCCAGAGCGGGGAGCAGAGCAGGCAGACTGATGAAACACACTGCTGAGGGGAGCAGCAGGCAGCAAGAGAGGTCTGTCGCGCCATGTGGGACTCTCGCCAGTGGCCAGAGATCGAACTGGCGCTGCAGAGGCTGCGGGCAGCTTCACAGCCCAGCGCTCAACCACTGAGCCACCGGGGAGGCCCTCCCTTTAAACTTCTAATCCTTTTCAGCTGTGCTTCTACTAGCCTATCAGTGTTGTTAGTTTTTTTCCTGTGATTACTCCACACAGATATGACAAATCTCACTCTGCCTTCTTTTTGTGCAAATTGTTGGAACTATTATGCATTTGATCTGACACCCACAGACCTGGGTTTCCCGAACTTCCAATTTCCCCCACGCCGGCATGACCCGTTTTTCACTTACCTTTATTGGCTGGCTGATGAAGATATTTTGAAGCACTGAAAGTACCAATGATATAACCCAGCTAGTGGCTTGATCTTTGCTCAGTTTCAGGCTATAAAGTGCTGTAAAAAATGCTGCGGCCAGGCTGGTGACACCCAGAACAAGCCAGCAGATGTAAGTCAGACATCTGGGCAGGCTGCGAGAGGTGAATGTCTTTCCTTCTTCTGGGCTCAGGATGGGGAAGCTGGTGGTCTCCCTGAAGAACATAAGTTGAAGGAACACAATCATAGCTAACAGATGAGAAAGAGGTTTGGGAAGATGCCAGGTGCTAAAGCTCGGTGTGGGGCATTACCTGGGTGAGCCTAGCTCTGTGGGCAGAGTACTTGCTTCCAAGAGTTCCTGGAGTTTCTGCAGTTGGCTGACTGCATCTAAGAAGTTACAAGTCTGGCCAGCTAGGCTGGAGCCCCATGTGCTCAGGTGACACTTCACCTTCTGCAGAACTCTGTGCAGGTAGCGGCAGAAATGATGATGGTTTTCAGGAACCACTGGAAATACATGCCCAGTTTACACTTTAACAAGTAGAGTTCAATAAATAGTAATTATTGGCAGAAATTAGCAACTCATGAATTGGGGACAGCATTAAATTTTCCAGCCAATAGACATCCACAGTGTTACTGTATTCTCTGTGTGCACTGATGAACTTGAGCAATGTGTAAGAGTCTACACTTTGATTTATATTTTAGAAACCCGATGGAGCTTTTTCACAGCATGGTAGTACATGTGACCTATATACTAGGTAAATGCCCAGGAGGCATTTACCAAGTATTATTATATTTGAGAATCCATAAATTGCATAATCTCACCATTTCCTTGAAGAAAAGGAATAACGAGTCTCAGTAACTTCCAACAAAGCAGATAGAATATGAGGGTCTGATACAGAGAACATTCCTATGGGATCTTCCTGATCCTTTACTTTGTGTCACCAGATATACTGTCTCAAAAGTCACTAGAGGGATCAAAGCTAGCAGTTCTATAATGAGAGTCTGAAGAAGAACATGTTGAAGGCTGTCTCATCTGGAGAGGTATAGATAAGTAAGACAGTAAGAGGTGAGCAAGGGAGTGGGGGGAGAAAAAAAGATTAGTTACTAAATCCTACTGAACTTTACCATTTGTCCAATAGGATTCCACCTGCTGATGACAACCTGGACCTTCTAAGTGAGAATGAACAAGGCTGGATAAAAGTTTCACGAGCTTGTTAATGTCGCAAGAACTCCATGAAGATCGCTCACTCTCTGAGAGTCTGTATGTCTTTCTCCTGAGCAGGAATCCAATGGTTTCCTTTAGTTCCTGAATACAGCACCATGTTGAGAAACATTAGTCTGTTTTACATCACTCAGGACTAGTAGCAATTGTAGATGGTGATGAGGCTGATTCTCAACCCAAAGGGGCATATGCATAGGTAAAGAACTTCAATTTATCATTTCGTTACATTTTTCAAGGTGACTTCTTGAAGCTTTAAAACTATTGTTCTGAGAGAATACAGACTGAAAGAGGGACAGTTGAATCCAATATCCAACACTAAACTCCCAGGTAGTGCACTCTACATCCACATTCAATTCTCAGGATACTTCGTAATCCAAAGAAAAACCAGAGACACAATGGGTCAAAGCTCAGGGGACAGGAATTAGGGAAAGGCTTCTAAGGGTAAGATGACCCCAAGAGCCTTCTAAGAGATGCTTTCTATTACAGGGGCATCAGCAGCATGTCATTGACCTAAAACCTGATGCCAAGCTTACCTCAACTATCTGTGTGTGAGAGAGAGGCTCAAAAGAAGCATCTGAGAGACAGGAGGCCTGGATGGGGGGAAACTGAGGCAGAGGTTCCTGCAGTTGAATCATCTGGAAGAGCCGCCCAATCGCCAGATTGATTGGGAAAAGGATGACAGCAGTTTGGATGCTGATAAACAGTTCAGACCAAGTCACAGCAAATGGACCCACTGAAAAAAAAAACATTGCATCCACCTTCATCCTCAATACTTAAAATCATCCCAGTTATTTCTCTTCCAGGTATAAGTATTTATTTAGCAACTGAAGCATCTAAGGATGGAAAATTATTATGCAGTGAAGGAAGATCTTAATGTGCTCCAAAGGCTGCTTTGTTTATTAATGAATGAGAGCAGTGGGGAAAGTTGTTAAGAATACTCTAATATTAGAGCTGCAAAGGAAAATGAAGGCATGACTCTTCCTAATCCTGAAAGCAAGGGCAGTGGAATATATTAAAAATAAACATGTCACAAACAGCTTGTCCATACCTTGCTCATCTCTTTTGGTGGTGGAGTCGTTTATTTTCCAGAACATAATATTGATGACCATGTTGCAAAGCAGTAGGGTCAGGCAGCAAGTGAGCCGCTGGACTCTTGTAAACTGGTTCCAAGGATGTCGAGTAGCAACTGAGAGCCACAGATAATCCTGGGTGAACTTTTCTACGATCATGGAGGAGAACAGGTATCTAAACAAGTAAATTAGAATGGGAAAGACATGAGATTTCATTCTGAAAGTGTCATAGAAAGTGTGATCTGCTTGGCAAAAAGCTATATAGCAATGACCCAACACATGTAGGATGAAGCCTTCAAGTGATACGATAACTATGTGTTATTTTAGGATAGAAAGGTTTTGAGGCTAAGGATAATTTATATTGTATGTGAGGTTAAACTGCAAAAACTACTGTTTTAGCTTTATAAGAGTTCTGAAACATCTTCACTTGTCAAACTTTAGGCTTCCATGCAACACAGTTTGGTAAATTCATACTTTGATTATCTTCTCTCCTCTAAATACGAAAGAACTAGAAATGAGATGCAAAAAGAACCAAAAATATTGACTTAGTTTATTGACATCTCTGAGGAAGAGAAATAGAATGACAAAACAAGGTGAGTTGTGGGTGAGGTGGGGAGCCACAACATTAAAACTGCTAATCAGATAAGAATATAGGGGAATAGGAGAGAAAGAGGGGGAAAATTTTAACAATAATATCAATCAATATGAACATTCCAAAACTCCTCAACACATGAAGAAACCTAATGCTAAGAAAGGCAGCCAACACAATAACTCTGCCTATAATAAATTGATTTTATAGACATTCTGGCCAGGATTTTAATAAAAGTATTCCAGGTTGCTGAAAAATGTAAGTAAGGAATAATATTCACTTAAGAAGAATAAAAAAATTATGAAAATAAATAAAGTTAGGAATCTTGAAACTAAAATATATGGTTACTAAAACAAAACATTTAGGAGATAGGGATACAGTTGAAGAGAAAATTAGTAAACTGAAACATAGTACTAAATAGTTCACCCAGCACACATGTCACAGAGACAAAGAATGGGAAACAGATAGGCAATAATGGTTTAAAAACATGAAGGATGGCTTGAGAGGCTCTAATATATAGTAAGGAATTGTCAGAGGATTTCAGAAGCAACACCTGAAAAGCTTTCAGAATTAAAGATGAGATTCTGTATATAAAAGGTACATTCTATGTTAAATGTATTTTACCATGATAAAAATTTTTAAGTACACTGTGAGTACCAAACAGGAGAAAAAGTAAATCCACAGTAAAGAAGAGCCATGGTAAATACTGGAACATTAAGGGTAAAGGGGAAATACTGAAAAGAGAAAAGGCAGTATACTTTAAAAGAATAACAGTGAGACTGACAGAAGAATGACACAAGAGGTAGTGTTGGAAGGAAATTCTCCATAAATAGTTCACACCTAGACATTAGTAAAAAATCTACTCCTGAGCTATCTTTCAGGTATGTTTGTACAAGCAGATAGCCCTGGAAAGGCAGATACAGTGATTCTCTTTGGAGCAAATTTAATTACAATTCCAGATTGTGAAGACAGAGATGTTCTCCTTCCCCAGAGACATTTTAGGGTTATATAGAAATTGCCTTCTCACTCCTGGAGAGATTGGCTTACATTCGAGAGTAACAAAATTGTTGCTTCAATCCCTAGGGTAGGATAGTTCTTGAGTAGCTTCTACATAAGACCAGATCCCCCCTAATCTTGGGGTTCCTCTTTTGTAATGCATCTCCACTACATGCACAGATAACTCCTCATTACATTACCCTGTGGGTACTGAACTTCTGGGAACTGACACAAAACAATGCTACTATTGGTACAAGTTGTAAATTGTCTAAATCCATGTTGGTCAGTGAAACAGGTGGAGTAAACAACTCTGATGGTCTTTCTTCCACAAAAGCATTGATAAAACTACTTTTTAAAAAGCCAGAATTAACAATATCAGAACTCAGGTAAATAACCAAAGATTAGTAGCAGCCCTGGAGTGTTTGTTCAAGAAAAATGACTGTGCATCAATAAAACAGTGAACTTTGTGGCATTTTAACTTTCTCTATTCCCATGTCCCTTTCTCTAGTTCTAGGGTTACCTTGAAAACAAACAGTCTTCAATCAAGGTGAAAACTGGCAGCCCAGAAGTTACCTGAGCGGGCAGAACATGATAGTAATTCCTTCAAATACCCACTAACAGAGACCTGGAATATTACTTGACTTAACTAGGTGCTCCTCCAGTGCAAAATGCTTTTTCTCTTAGAGCATTATAAAAAATATTCAGAGGCAATGGTTTTTTTTTTTTTTTAAAGAGTTATAACTGTTTTTTTTTTTTTTTTCAATAGAGGCATGCTTTATTTATCTGTTTGCTGGTTTGTTTGTTTTGTTTATACATGCACTGGGTACAGTCAGAAGCGCGGGAGGGAGGGTGAGAGAATTCACCAGAGCCAGAGCGGGGAGCAGAGCAGGCAGAAGGACCAAAGCACACTGCTGAGGGGAGCAGCGGGTGGCAGGAGAGGTCCGCGCGCCATGTGGGACCCTCCTCCAGTGGCCGGGGAGCAGCTGGGGATCGAACCGGCGCCGCAGAGGCCGCTTGCAGCTTCGCAACCCAGCGCTCAACCGCTGCGCAGAGGCAATGGTTTAACTTCATAGCTACCATTGACCTTTTGGGCAAAAAATAGGCTAACCAAAAAGCTTAAAAGAAAAAGCTGGAAAATGTGAAGTCTGTAGGAGTTTTAAAAAATCTGACATATTCCTGGGTACCTAGAAGACTTTGTGCTAGCTCTCACTCCTGAATGACCTTGAAGCTTGCAGCAAGCAGAAATTCAGGCTAAGGCAGATCTGTCACTTGCCTTGTTGAGAACTGAAAGGGTACCACCACATGCACACAAAACCCCTCAGCAAAGACTGGGGAATTTATTGTTTCCTACTATTTCCAGAAATCTATTTAACTGATGACTAAGCTAACCAAGCAAAAACTTCAATTGCCACATATGACAAAAGAATACAGATCTCAGAGAGTAAGTGAGAAATGTCATCAAAGAAATAAAAACAGGAAAGAATAACAAATCCTGGCGGAGAGGGAAGGAAATCTGATTTCTAGAGCTGCCACATTTATTATTCAAAATATTACAATGTCTACTTTTTTTTTTAGTTTTAACTTTTTTTTAAGATTTATTTTTTATTTATTTATACAAGCACTGGGTACAGTCAGAAGCGTGGGAGGGCGAGAGAATTCACCAGAGCCAGAGCAGGGAGCAGAATAGGCAGAGTAATGAAATACACTGCTGAGGGGAGCAGCGGGTGGCAGGAGAGGTCTGTTGGTGCCATCTGGGACCCTCGCCAGCGGCTGGGGATCAAACTGGCGCTGCAGAGGCTGCGGGCAGCTTCACAACCAAGTGCTCAACCGCTGCGCCACCAGGGGAGGCCCTACAATGTCTAGTTTTTAACAAAAGGTCACAAAACATGAAAAGAAGCAAGAAGTATTACACACACACACACACACACACACACACACACTATATAGTCAACAATCCCCCAAGATATGTCCAAAGAACTAAAGGAAAGTAAATGAAAGCAATGTCTTGTCAAATGGAGATTATCAATAAAGACATAGAAATTACTTCTGAAGGAACCAAATAGAAAGTTTTCAGTTGAAAAATACCATAAGTGTAATGAAAAATTCACTGGGGAGGCTCAACTGCAGATTTGAGCAGGTAGAGGAAAGACTCAGCAAACTTGACAACAGGTCAATTGAAAGTATCCAGTCTGAGGAATAGAAAGAAAAAAGAATGAAGCAAAAGAAGAGCACCTCAAAGACCTACAGAACATCATTTCCCAAATTACCTAAAGGAAAAGAGCTCTTTATTTGAGACTGGCATGAAGATCCGGTCACGCTCGCCACGTCCAAGGTCCACAGCCAGCCAACAACTGCACAGGAAATGCCATTTCCTTTGCGCTTCCACATCAATGACTATGACCTGGTTTACGTACCTATGGTAAAATGACGATAGTCATGTTAGGTAGGTGGGTGCAAAGCATCCTTGTACTGTCAGTGAGTGTCCAAGGAACTGATTCTACAAAAGGCAAAGCAAGAACTAAAGCGAGAAATGAGAGCTGATCCTATTTTCCCTTTCCAGCCTCTAAGAGAATGTGTACACATCAACTTTGCTTATTCGATATGTGATAGCGCCCTGCCACCTCTTAAAGTATCCTGTCTGCCTCTGTCTTTCTTCACCCAGATCTGAGGATGTGGGGAATGGCCTTTGACATTTACATTAATGACTTCTTTTAATTGGGTCTGTGGCTTCCTCTTGATTCAGGTCTTGATATTTCACCCTCTTTCCAACCACAATGTTTTACTCTGTTAATTTCTCTATTAACTTCAATGGTCAGTAAACTTGTCCTCTAGGACATTTACTTGGTCAGACTATTTGACTCCATTTTGCAACTGGTTAACTTTCTCTTTATTGTAATGGTACTATTTCCCCAAGAGTCTGTGCTTAATGTTATGAAACCATGCAAATCTCTTTGGTCAAAATCTTTGTTCAATTTTACTGTTATTTTCTTTGTGAAGAGTATTAACTTTAAAGCCAAAATACTTCTGGGGATTCTCTTATTGTGGCAGTTTATAACATCCCAGGTGACTAAATAAGTGCATTTTATGCTGTTTAAACTTTTATTTAATAGCAAAGTATAATAACAAAATAAGATAAAAAAAGGAGAAAGTGATAATTTTCTGATTGGTGAAAAACCAGTCATGGACATTTTATACTTACGGGGTAATTTCTCTTCTTTTATTCTTTCATATGTAAGAAAAAGAAAAAATCTAATGGGTCAGAAAAATCTAGTTGAGGCATTTGTTATGGTTAGCAGAAAGATATAGAAAATCTCATCATTTGCTAACTAAAAAAACTGCTGGTGGCCTGTTTTTTATGGGGAGGGTAGTTCTTTTGTTTTCTGTGTTCCAAATTTTCTGCAAAACAAACTTTCTCAACTAAAAAAAAAAAAAAGAAAAACAAATGGTGAAAGAAAATTTTCAAGAGAGCTTTAGTACCAAGGTGACACGAACCTGTGCAGAGGAACACATAGCTGAGAATTTAGCTATACAAATATTTGCTATTATAGTATTAACTGTCATTATTAATTATAACAAATACTGAGTCCTATTATAATCATGGCACTAGTTACTGATGAGCATAAAGTCACTGTGACTTAAAAAATAATGTTAATAATATATCAAAGGCCCCATATAAATTTAAGATTGATATAAATCAGTAATAAGAATTAGTCAGAAAAGCAGAAAAGATTATATGAGAGTGAGTTTCTTTAAATGTTTTCTCTAAAAGTTATTTATTTAAATTGAAAAATGTTTTTATAATGATTACATAAATTCCTTATTAAATTTTTTGAAAATACTTAAATATATACTGAACAAAACTTTAAAAATTCATAATCCTATGATGCAGAAATAACTGTTGGCAATAATTTAGAATATAGACCTTTTCCTTTCTTTTTAAAAAATCAACTTTATTGAGGTATATAATTTACATATGATAAAAAACAGTCATTTAAAATGTAATTTACATGACTTTTGACAGGTATTGGAATAAGAACAGACACATGGACCAATGGAATGGAACAGAAAATCCAGAAATAAACCCACAGATTTAGGGCCTACTAATCTTTGACAAAGGAGCAAAGAATATGCAATGGAGCAAAGAAAGTTTGTTCAATACATGGTGCTGGGAAAACTGAGTTGCTACATGCAAAAGAATGAAGCTAGGGCCTCCCCTGGTGGCGCAGCGGTTGAGCGCTGGGCTGCGAGGCTGCCTGAAGCCTCTGCAGTACCAGGTGAGGGTCCCACAAAAAAAAAAAAAAAAAAAAAAAAAAGAATGAATCTTAACTACTACCTCACACCGTGCACAAAAACCAACTCAAAATGGATTAAAGAACTAGACATTAAGACCTGAAACCATAAAATATATAGAAGGAAATAAAGGCAAAACACTACATGACATACACCTCAGCAACATCTTTAAAGACACATCACCCAAAGCAGTGATAGTGAAGGCAAAGATAAACAGCTGGGACTACTACAAATTAAAGAGCTTCTGTACAGCAAAAGAGACCGTAACCAAAACAAAGAGACACCCTACCGACTGGGAGAACATTTTTGCACACAACACTAATGATAAAGGACTGATCGCAAAAATCTACAAAGAGCTGATAAGACTCAACAAAAACAAAGTAAATAACCCAGTCAAAAAATGGGCAGAAGAGCTAAAAAGAAACTTCTCCAAAGAGGAAATGCAAATGGCCAATAGGCATATGAAAAAATGTTCAATATCACTTGTAATCAGGGAAATGCAAATCAAAACTACAATTAGATACCATCTTACACCAGTGAGAATGGCACATATTTAAAAAACTAGCAATAACAAATGTTGGCGAGGATGTGGAGAAAAAGGAACTCTCCTGCACTGCTGGTGGGAGTGCAAACTGGTCTAACCACTATGGAAAGCTGCGTGGAGATTCTTCAACCTGCTAAAGATGTAGATTCCATATGATCCAGCAATTCCACTCCTAGGTATTTACGCAAAGGATATAGAAACATTAATTCAAAAGGGTACCTGTGGGCCTCCCTGGTGGTGCAAAGGTTAAGACGAAATCTATGAAGCAATCCGTAGCCACTGCAGCCCGAGTTCAATTCCCGTCTTGCCAGGGAGCTGACTCACATGGCACAGCAGACCTCTCCTGACTTGCCCGCTGCTCCCCTTAGCAGTGTATTTCGGTCAATCTGCCTGTTCTGTTCCCTACTCTGTCTCTGGTGGATCCTCTCATCCCCCATATCTCTGGCCTGTACCCCAGCTTTTGTATGCATAAATAAATCTTAAAAAAAACAAAAGGGCACCTGCACCCCTATGTTTATAGCAGCACTATTACAATAGCTAATGCCCAAAAATAGATGACTGGATCAAGAAGATGTGGTTCATATGCACAATGGGATATTACTCAGCAATTAAAAAAAGATAAACTCATGCAATTTGTAGCAATATGGTTGGAGCTGGAAGGGATCATGCTCAGCAAAATAAGCCAGAAAGAAAAAGAAAAATGCCAGATAGTCTCACTCATAGCAGGAATTTAGAAAACCTAAATAAGGGACCAGGAAGAAGACTAATTCCAAAAGTAAAAATCAAAATCAACAAGCAACTATAAACCAGAGACACACTATGGGGCGGGGGAGGGGGGGAGGGAGTAGGATCAAAACAAGGGGGGCTGGGAATTGTATGGGGACTATAACCAAGATGAAAATGCATACATTGTGCAAAAAATGAAAAATGATGTAAAAATATATAAAATTTAAAAAATAATAATAAAAAAGTATTTGGAATTTTTGGTAATGAAAATACAAAAATCTATATCTTTAAAAAATCAACTTTATTGAGGTATATAATTTACCTATGATAAAAGACACTCATTTAAACTCATTTAAATGAGTGTTGACAGGCATACATGTGTGTGTAAGCACCACCTCCATCAAGATATCACTTCAAAAGTTCCTGGTGTCTCTTCCCAGTCAACCCCCGAGTTTTATGCTGAGACCAGGAGAACCACTGATCTGCTTCCTGCCTCTACAGATTTGCTTTTTTAGAATTTTCTCTGCATGGAGTCATACAGTGTGCATTCCCTAGTGTTTGGCTTCTTAGTCTCAGCATAATGTTTTGTTTTGTTTTTTTTTTTTTTAATTTTTTTTTTTTATGGAGGCATGTTTTTATTTATTTATTTATTTGTTTGTTTGTTTGTTTATACATGCACTGGGTACAGTCAGAAGTGCGGGAGGGTGAGAGAATTCACCAGAGCCAGAGTGGGGAGCAGAACAGGCAGAAGGACCTAAGTACACTGCTGAAGGGAGCAGCGGGTGGCAGGAGAGGTCTGCGCGCCATGTGGGACACTCCTCAGGTGGCCGGGGAGCAGCCGGGGATCGAACTGGCGCTGCAGAGGCCGCGTGCAGCTTCACAACCCAGCGCTCAACCGCTGAGCCACCGGGGAGGCCCTCAGCATAATGTTTTGAGATACGCCCATGCTGTGTTCTGGTCAGTAGCAGCCATTGAATGAATATATTAACATGTGTTTGTTCACCCACCTGATGGACATTTCTGTTATTTCCAGCACCTTATGTGTCTCGGTCCTGGAACGGACTTACGTTTTCATTTATCTTGAGTAAATTTCTGGGTCATAATGTAATTGCACATTTAACTTTATGAGAACCTTCCCAACTTCTCCAGCACGGCTGTACCGTTTTCACTCCCACCAGCACTGTGAGATAGCTCCCGTTGCTCCCCAAACTCACCCAAATTCAGTTGTCAGGCTTTTTGTAGACATTCTGCTGGTTGTTTAGTTGTATGTCACTGTGGCTTTTGTTTGCATTTCCTGATAACTAATGATACTGAGCTTGTTTTCAAGTGCTCATTATATATTATTCCCCTTTATAAATGACTGGAATGATAGTGCACAAACTGCTTTGCAGAGATCTAAGCAGAATGGGAGCAGCAATCAGATTAAGCCCTGTTGGTGTAGGGGTGGATATATGAAGCCAGCAGGAAGAATTTATTTTGCTAACAATTTTAGGCAGGCTGCATATTCTTTTCAGGTGGGCAATATTCAGTAACTGATTTTTTTCTTTTTGAGTATCTGAACCACAGATTTTTTTCTTTCCCTTCTTACCCCAACAAACCAATGATTTCATCCTTAAATAATTTTATCATCTCTTTTCTCCACCCACCTCTCCTAATTCAGATCCACTGAAACAGATGCAGAATAGCTTGCACCTCCCACATGTCAAGTTCATGTACTCACCATGATCATTTCTCTCTCCACTTCCTGAGCCAACTCCATCATAATCCCATTCCTTCCCTTCTCCTGAAACTCCTACTTTTGAAGCACCGTGTATTCAGTATACTTATGCTTATGGAATTTATTCCGTAAAGATATTTTCCATATTTAGAGATTCTTTTAATTCATGGCACTTTGGGGCTATATGCCACTGTTATTATTTACTGCCTACAATCTTGATATTTAAGACAAATATAAGAAAAAATAAAACATTATTCTACCACCACAAAAAAATCATATGGTGAATAATTTATTGTATTTCTTTCCAGGGTTTCTTTTTGGTAGACAGCTTTAAAATGTAAATTTAACAGTCATTTGTTGCCATCTGGCCCAAAGCATTGCTATTCACTATGATGACATGCTGGACTTTCTCCGGAATACTAATGATCACAGAGAAGAAAGAACAAGTTGGTATGGTACAGGTGCTTACCAAGAAGGGCTGACACCAGAATTGTCATGCCAGAGTCGAAGGCTGTGCAGTTCTCCCAAAGAGAACTGGGTGCGGAGGAGGAAGACATCTAGTGCCCCTCTTTCAAAGACAGCCTTCTGGGGGTCACAAAGGTGATGGGGCGCACTCCGTCCCTCAGATCCATACAGGGTGACAACCACCTAAAACATGACAAGGAAGGATCAAATACAGGAAGTTCTAGCATGATTCTTCAGGTTTATTCCCTGAGGAGAAAGACGAACACAGAGTAGATTGTAGGTTTGATTCTGGACCGCAAGACAGTGAGTATTGCAATAAAGTGAATCACGTGCATTTTTTGGCTTTACCAGTGCATGTAAAAATTATGTTTACATTATACTGTCATCTAATTTTTTTAAAAAGATTTATTTATTTTTATACAAGAGCTGGGTACAGGCCAGAGGCGCGGGAAGGTGAGAGGATTCACCAGAGACAGAGTGGGGAGCAGAACAGGCAGACGACAGAAATACACTCCTGAGGGGAGCAGCGGGAGGGACAGGAGAGGTCTGCCATGCCATGTGGGAATCTTCCTGGCTGGCCGGGAATTGAACTGGCACTGCAAAGGCTGCAGACAGCTTTACAGTGCTGTGCTCAATCCACTGCGTCACTAGGGAGGCCCTGTCATCTAATTTTTAAGTTAATTTAATTAATTTTAAAGGAAATTTTTCCTGATATGCCAAACTATTGGTTTATACTGTAGTTGATTAAGTATGCAAAAATAGCATTTTGTCTAAAAAAAAAAAAAAAAACCCAATGCAGATATCTTAATGAACTGTGAGCACATGCTGGTGGAAACATGGTGTTGACAGATGTGCTTATTTCAGGTTGGCCACAATCATAGATGTGTAAAAAGTGCAGTATCTGTGAAGTGCAGTAAAGTAAAATGCAATGAAATGAGGTGTGCTTGCACAGCAGGCACTTCCAATGGACAGTTTAGTACCAGGACATATTGATCTCTGTGGTCCCTTTTGTAAAGTGCTACTGAACATTGGGATATCCCCAAGTCAGTGCTTATCTCTGTGGCAAAGCAATGAATGGAGAACATTATTTTACTAACCTGAGCAGTGGTAGCAGCCCTTCTTCGATATCCAGTGTAGACCTGAATAAGGTAGCAAAATTGAGAGCTGGGGTCATTATCAGCCAGGACAGTAACCTTGACCTGTAGGAAAAGCAGAACCAAGAAAATTGCCAGACTTTCACTTACTTTAGACCCTGCTTCTTCTGGCTAAGAAAAAGGAGGATGTGCTGCTGCAGCTTTGGCAGCTAGGGAAAGCAAGGGGGAGAGGTCGTCAGAAGGCAGACAAACCAACCAGCCCATGTAAGTTCAGTGAGGACACAGGTATGAGAACTGAAACTACAGGGCTGATCTCTCTAAATAACTGATCAGGTCTTGGGGCTCTGTGTCTTTCCACATTTATCTCACCCAGGGTTACCACCAAATGAACTTGAATTTCAATGAATAATTTTGGGGGCTAGTTAAACTAACAATGTATTGACTATTTGAAATTCAAATTTCACCAGGTGAAATTTGACTCAAACTGGCATTTTGCTGACTCAAACTGGCATCTCTACACCCCAGCAGCAAAGAAATTGATGCTTTGCATATTCTAGACTTCCTAGTATAAGAAAACATAAGAATGAGATAAAAGGGAAAGTAAGAAGAGGTGCTCATCAAAGGACTTTTGTTTCACAAAAAATATTCCTGCAATTTTCTTATCTATATTAGTTATACTAAATTATCATTTGACTTGTATATAACTTACACAATCAAAGTATAAAGTGAGATAAACTTAGATTTGATTATAGTTCTCTAGGTGTTTTCTTTTTGCTTAGTCTTAACTGGATATGAGGATTCAACCTTGGCGTAAAGAAAAATGGAGATAAGGAGTTATGTTTTGAGACCTTGAGCCAATAGATATGAAGAGAAATGTAAAGAAAGTCCCATTTGACTTTGTCCATGACCTAGTACTACGCTACATGCCTCTTTTATTTTTTCATTTTATTTAGCACAATCAAGACATTGTTTGAAATCAAAGCCTCATCACCTTCTGCAAATCTGCCTGATCCTTCCTCTGAGCCCACACAAATATGAGCATATAGAATCCTAAAAGACTGGCCAGTAATGACACCCCAACAGGGTTGTTGGTCACACGAAGGATCAGTTTGATTGTGTCTCCCACGTCCACTGTCCTGGGCACCACAAAGAAGTCGCTGCCAAAGTAGGTGAGGTGGTTACAGAGACACTGTGTCCTCCAAACTGTGCTCTGTGGTCCAACCTGGAATAGAAGCAGACATTGATTCTAACTGAATAGAATGCCAAGAAAGGAGCAAGCATAATACACCCACCCAGGTGTTCTAGAGATGGGAAAGCTGGGGATTGCTCATTCACTGATGGTCATCATATAAATGGTCGTATAACCAAAGTGGAGAGCTAGCTTGAAATATCTAGTGAGGCTGAAGAAGCACAAATTCTTTGACTCCTTCAATTCCTGTTCTGAACATACATACCTCAGGGGAACTTTGCACATGTACACCAGGAGACATGGCAAAGAATGTTTTTGTTAGCATGGTTTAAAACTGTAACAGAGCCTCCCCGGTGGCGCAGCAGTTGAGTGCTGGGTTGCGAAGCTGCCCGCAGCCTCTGCAGCGCCGGTTCGATCCCCGGCTGCTCCCTGGCCACCGGAGGAGGGTCCGACATGGCGCGCAGACCTCTCCTGCCGCCCGCTGCTCCCCTCAGCAGTGTACTTCAGTCCTTCTGCCTGCTCTGCTCCCCGCTCTGGCTCTGGTGAATTCTCTCACCCTCCCGTGCTTCTGACTGTACCCAGTGCTTGTATGAATGTATGTATAAATCAATCAATCAATCAATCAATCTTTTAAAAAAAAATAAAATAAAAAAAATAAAACTGTAACAAACCAAAATCTGTATGTCCAGGAACAGCAAAACATACAAGCAATGAGCTAAGTAGAGACAAATGGATGGGATATTATGAAGCAGTTAACAATGAATGAATTAGAACTAGACAAACCAACATGGATAAATATTACATGGGAAAAAAACCAAAGAAGTGCAGTGCCAGTTACACTACAACCAAAAACATACACAACACCCTTTATCAATTTTTGTCAGTCTCCTGATTGGAAAGTGAGTTCACAAAGACATTGTCTTGTCCATCACTGTATGTCTATTTTCGCAACTTGAACCTAGATTTCCTTGCTGAAGGATATGAATACTGACACCAAATTCAGGACAGTCATGAGAAGGAGGAAATAAGAGTACTGAGGGATACACAGAGGGTGTCAATTGCTCCTGTTTTATTATTTTTAACCCTTTGCACTCCGCTGTCCCCTCTCAGGGGACATCGGAATTCTAGCATATCAACTCGGATGTCCCCTCTCAGGGGACATTGCAATTTATTAGTGATTACGGGGAATTGAGGTTATTTCAATGCAACTTTTTGAGACATGCATGTTTCCCTGAAGTTTTATCTTGAAATGGCACAAGAAATTAAATCAAAATATCGTAAAATGGTTCGGAGTGCAAAGGGTTAAAAAGTCTCAGCTAATAGAGCAAAATACTATGTGATAAAGCTAAGCAGTATGTTTAATGTTTTTTATGACTCCCTATGACTGGAATTGTAACATTTCTTCATAATATTTTTTTAAGTGTCACATTGTGTGGAAGGTTACGAATTCCATGTTGGATTTTAATTTTGTGGAAGAAAGCCCTAGCACACTATTATTTTGACCAAACTCTCCACAGCCGGAAATGAAGTTCTGGCTACCTGGTCTATACTTAGCCCTTCGAGGAACTCTTATTCTGTCCTCTGAAGCTGTCCTCTGTCCTCTGTCCTCTGCAGCTCATGGAGGCCAAACACTGCAAGAGCTTTGAAGATACAGGGGCTATCCTGATGCCTTTTGTGATCAGTGGGTCTTCCTGAGGGAAGGAAAGCAGTGAGTCTTGCTACTTTCAATGCCCTTTTCCTGATGGGCAGCATTGATACTACCTGGGAGCTTGTTAGAAGAGCAGGATCTCAGGTCTGCCCAGATGCACCACGACAGAGCCTGCATTTTAACCAGCGCCCAGTGTGAGGCTTTGCCTGGGAAGCACTGTGCTCCATCACCCAGAAATCACTTCTTGAGTCCGCATATGGCACAGTTGTCTTTCAGAGAATCCTCTTTTCTTCTACAGTCTTAGTGACCAGACACATTCTGAGAAATGCCTCCTTTCAGTATTGTGTGAACGTCAGAGAGTGTGATCACGCAAACCCAATGGTAGCGCCAACTGCATCCCTGGCTCTGGGGTATGACCTATCAGGCCCATGTGGTATGACCTATCAGCATCACCTCTGCAGTCTGTCATTGCCTGAACATCATTAAGTGCTGCATGAGTGGGTTTCCAATCTGGAGGATACCTTCTCAAATCTTTTAAGAACCCTCTCAGGTCTCCAGAATCCTGCTCTGCCTTCTTTGTGCAACTGAACCAGAACTGAAGTCAGAGAGGATCTTGCTGAATCTCTGGTGTGCGAAGGTAACAGTGATGTTTTAAAGTGCCAGACACCTGGAACTGGGCGATCCTTACAAAGGTGACGATCTGCCCCTACCTGGCCTGGAATGTAAGGAATCTGCTAGCTTGTTTTTAAATCAGAAAGTTCTCTTCTATTTAGTAGGAAGTTGCTTTCATTTCCCCACAACATATTTAATGCTTATTAGAATGTAAAGCTTCACATACTACTTTTCTTATTTTATCTAGAATAGCCAGATTCACCCTGGACTAATGTTTGAGAGAGAAAGGATAGCCCCCCTGCGACATGTTCAGATAAGCTTTTTCTGGGACATGTCACCTGGGCACGTGGAGCCAAGGTTAATGGAGGCTCTGCAGCTTCAAGAGAAAGTTTCCATGACCACAAAGAATGAAGATTGTCCAGATTTAGAGTCATCTGCAGAAATAACCTTTTTTTAAATCACAAAACCCTATTTTGTGGCCAGGGAAACACCTGGAGCATCCAATCTTGTCCTATGACTCACCCTCTCCTCATGGTGTGAGACCCTGTCCTTTCTCTTTGACACCCCAGATCCCTATTTCCATTCTCTAGACCCTCTGGAGGGTAGGAACAAGGGAGGAGAGTGTATTATGTGTGGTGGTGGGTGTTTTTTCCTAATAATAAAATTAAAAATACATAAACTCTCTCTCTGTTTCATTTATTCTGGAATTTACAGCCAGAGCTGGGCCTGGGAATGAGAATGTGAATTCTCCATACTTATGTAATTAAATTTTTTCTTTCCTCCTACTAAGCTGCTTGATGTTGATTTGTCCAACCACTCCCAGAAAGAACCCAGAGGGGAAGGGGAATTTCCCCTCCTATCTGAACAAGCACAACTACTCTAAAGAGATGCATTTCCCAGCCCACCACACACTCGCCCCCTCCATTTCCCCAGGCTGATTAGTTTCCCTTCTAGTTTTCTTTCTGGACTGCCCCAAATGCAGTAACAGATGCATCTGGTGCTGGTTGAGGGAGAATTGGTGGGAGCAGTGGGCAGCTTACGTGGCATCCCTCGCTCTTCCAGGAGCTGTTGTCGTGGTCCCAGAAATAGCACTGAGTGACCGCTGTCACCACCGAGAACCAGGTGGGTGTCTGCTGAGCGTGCTCCTGGCTTTTATTCAGTACGGCGGTTATGTAGTAAGTGCCGATCCCATATTGCAGACTCTCTGGTGTCAGCACCCACGTGTATTCCTCATCTTCAAACAAAGAAGAGAGCTCAGGTGCATTTCCAATGGGTCAAAAATATCATTAGAACCTTTCTTCAGGAGGGCCAATTATTGTTGCTGCTGTCATTATGAGTGAGTTAGCAGGGCCCCAACCAGAAAGACACAGGTCAGAGCAAAGGATGATAAGTTATGGAAATCTACTGTTACAAGACTTTCTCTGTTCCTATCATCTCCTTTCACAAGATGTTTTTCACTTCACACTTTCCGCTGTTACAAGCCCTGCTCCGTTACTAAATTAGCTTTATTCCACATAAACCTTTCTATCCAGTCTAGAATCCATCTTTAAAAAATGCATTTCACAGACACATTATCTACATATGTGATACAGTTACACAGAAAACACACTCCCACACACAGAGAGAAACGGATGCTTGTAAAACTGGTGACATTTGAATAAGGTCAATGCATTGTATCAAAGTCATTTCCTGGTTGCAATGTGGTGCTGGTGCAAGATGTAGCCATTAGTGGACACTGGTGAAAAGCATATGTATGAGACCTCCCCTGTTTTATTTCTTGCAATTGCATGGGACTCTACAACTATTTCAAAATAAAATTTCCCCCCAAGGGAAGAAAAAAAATGCATTACAAAGTCAATTTCTGACATCTGATTGAGTTATTACCTTTTTGCCACACCTGATCCTTTGGAAGGGTGATGTTCAGGTGGAAGTAAGTATGGTTAGGCTGATACTGGAACCCCAGGTAGAGTGTCATTAAAAGGGGACTTTCAGGCTCTATGCACACAATCAGGGATTTCCCTGAGGAAGTGACATTCACTGTGATAACAAAATGATCTGTGCTCATGTTGAGGCTGGTGGAGTGAATTTCCATGCTAGCATTTCTCCAGAGCATGATCTAGAAGAAGAGACAGTTAATCAGTCTTCAAATTTAAGACGGCCCTTCCACTGATGGCTTTCAGTTCCCTTGATAGTGACAAGGGAATGAAACTTCCTAGGTCTTCCTCTTCCTCTTTTAAATAGAGCAATAGTACAAGGGATTAGGGGAAAGTATATAGTTTAAGAGCTAAAAAGGCTTCTCCTGTGTGTAAGATGATCTCCTTGTAAAAGTTCCTAAGTAAATACAATAACAACAATGGCACTGCCATAAGTCTAAAGTGACTTTCTTCAAGGTGCTGCATCCTTCCTACTCTCCATGGGTTCCTATTCCCTTCCATTTTATTAGTTAATAATCAAGGCATACCTCAATATCTTCCATTAAGTCATGGACTTGGAGCATTTTATGATTAGAGCTCAGTAACACACTTCCGATGCTTCCAACAATGTTCTTTTTTTTTTTTTTTAAAGATTTATTTATTTATTTATACAAGCACTGGGTACAGTCAGAAGCACGGGAGGGTGAGAGAATTCACCAGAGCCAGAGAGGGGAGCAGAGCAGGCAGAAGGACTGAAGTACACTGCTGAGGGGAGCAGCGGGCGGCAGGAGAGGTCTGCGCGCCATGTCGGACCCTCCTCCGGTGGCCGGGGAGCAGCCGGGGATCGAACCGGCGCTGCAGAGGCTGCTGGCAGCTTCGCAACCCAGCACTCAACCACTGTGCCACCGGGGAGGCCCCAATTCCAACAATGTTCTTATCATCAAAATCTCTGAAAGGATTGAAAGCTAGTCCTGTTACCTAGAGATGAGAAAACTCCAGTTTCATCAATTGCTAAAATATTTATAAGTAACACCCCTTAGGCAATATGGTATCAGATGTCATAAAGTAAATGTTGGGATTTTTCCCTTTCTAATATCTCCAATGAAATAACATTTCCTATTATCTTATCACATGAAAAACACCTAATTACAGATGAGTCATTTACTTGTGAACCTTACAATTATTGTTATTTTTTTTCATCTTTATTCCTGGAGGATTCTGTTTCACTAGACAGTGAGTATTATGCTCTCCAGGATAAGGCAACAATCCTACTTCTGTTAGGTAATTGCAGGAAGAAATACAATCTAAGTGATAAGACTAAGTTGGTACATTTAGCCAATAATGATTCAGACATTCCTAGCTTTGTACAAATGGTAAAGAGTTGAGATCAATTCAAATCAAAGCCCAGAAACTTCATTAAATTCAGTAGTCTGTTTTACACTCCCAACTTCCATGCGGGATGAATTTGAGTGTGGAACAGAAGGGACTGGCACACGACCATCTCTCATTTTACTCTGGTCGGCTTACAGTTCATGGTGCCTCCCCCCCTTCCAGCCTCACCCCCGCCCCGCCAAACGCCCACAGCCATCAAATCCAAGTTTCATTCTGATCAGAATCAATTTCACACTCACCTGGACATTAACTCCTGGGTGTTTATTCAAGAGCACCTCCAAAGCTGAAGCTGAGGGAAAGTCTAACCTCACAGGGGCTGGCTGACCGAGACTATAAGAGCTCAGAGGCAGCGTTGATCTGTTTTGGCTAATGAAAAAGAAGTTAAATGGAAGCCAATTTCTGTCTGTTCTCTCTAGGTCAAAAACCCAATATGCAACTGTCTCCCTCCTTTCTTCCTGTTACCTGCTGAGCATCAGGGTAGCAGTGGAGGAGGTCAAGATCACAGAAGACTCAGAAAACCAAATCTGCTGCAGAAATGCTTCCTTGTTCTTCCCCAGGGCCAGAAAGGGCATTTTCAGAATACTTTCTGCCTGCATTGAGAGAAAATACTCTGTGACTTGCGTAAGGTCAGTGTGTTGTGTCAGTGAAGGAAAGGTTTTGCAAGGCTTGGAAGGGGAGGAAGGATCTTGGCAGTGCTGTAACAAAGATGATTTTCATTGGAGATGATCTATAGGAAGTACTCACAATCTGGCTAAAGACTCATCATCCTTTGTATCAACTAAGAGAGCCACCCAAGGAAATAGTTCTTTGCCTCATGACATAAGCTGTCGTAGACTTACGATTTTTTTCTTTCAAGCAAACAACTTCATTGCAATGAAATTCACATAATACACCCATCTAGAGTATACAATTCTAGTTTTTTTTCCAGTACATTCACAGGATTGTGCAACTATTACCATGAATAGTTGTTTTCCTCTTCCCTAAAATAAACCCAGTAGCAGAACTTGTCCATTTTCCTGTTTCTATCCCCTGCACCTCCAACCCTAGTTATGCACGCATCTCCTTCCCTGGTCTATAGATGCCCCTTGTGGGCATTTTGTGTAAATGGAATCACAATGCCTGGTCTTTGCATCTGGCTTCTTCCCTTAGCATGGTGTTTTCATGTCTATCCACGTTGTGGCACATGTCAGTATTTTACCCCTTTTATTGCCTGATGCTATTCCAATATATGGGCCTCCTAACTTTTATTTATCCATTTATTCAACTGTGGGCACTTAGGTTGTTTTCACTTTTTGACTATTTGAGTGATGCCATCATGAACATGAGTGTACAAGCTTTTGTGTGGTATATACCAATGAGTGGAACTGCTAGGTTGCCTGGTAATTTCTGTTTTTACCATTCTGAGGAACTGCCAAGCTGTTTTCCAAAGGGGCTGCATCATTTTACAGTCTAATACTGTATGAGGTCCTGATTTCTCTGCCAACTTGCCAACATTTGCTAGTGTCTGTCTTTTGGAATGTGAAGTGGTATCTCACTGTGGTTTGACTGACATTTCCCTAATGACTAGTAATGTTAAGATCTTTTCGGAGCCTCCCCGGTGGTGCAGTGGTTGAGTGCTGGGTTGCGAAGCTGCCTGCAGCCTCTGCAGCATCGGTTCGATACCCGGCCGCAGGGCAAGGGTCCCACATGGCGCGCAGACCTCTCCTGCCACCCACTGCTCCCCTCAGTGGTGTATTTCGTCGGTCTGCCTGTTCTGTTTCCCGCTCTGGCTCTGGTGAATTCTCTCACCCTCCTGCACTTCTGACTGTACCCAGTGCTTGTATAAATAAATAAATAACTCTAAAAAAAAAATCTTTTCATGGGAATAGCAAATGTAATTTGAGTGTTTACTACTTGCCAAGTACTTGACTACATTCTTTTCACTGAATTAGAACAGTGTCTTGGTTCAACAGTGGGGCTGAGAGGCAGGCACTGGAGCAGGCTTGATGGAATGGTTTCTTTTGCAGGATTCTCTTCAGAGGGCTCAGGAGAGGGGATGTGATACCTAGATCTGTCAAGGTTAAAATATTTTTAAAGAGTTAGTTATGGGCCAAGACAGCTCCTACCTGCTCACTGTTATGCTTGGGTCTTTGCTGACTTGCTTTGCCAGCTTCCATTATGTTGCTGAGGGAGCGGAAGATGCAGACAGTCACAGGGATGTCACTGCTGTTCTGAAATGGGCTCCTCAGTAGCTGTTCATTCAGGTAAATGAGAGAGTCGATGACACTGACCTGGGAAAGAAAATGTAGGTCCCTGAACTGGTTGATTGTTTTAGGTTTGTGCATGTTCTTCTGAGAAGGAGTTTAATGTTCTTTACACACATTTTAAAGGTATTTTTATAAAAAGTGATAATTACAATTTGGCAGGAAATGAAAATATATAATTACATATTACTTACAGGGAAGATTCCTATTTGTCAAAGGAAGTGACATAACTCTTTTTCAGTGTTAAGTAGGTCAAATATCTAATTAACAAAACTAAGCTAAAAAAAAAAAAGGAATGCTGATAAAAAGAATTCCAGCTGAAATACTGGAAGTAGATCTTCTTTTGTGCCTAGGGACTCAAAAGCATTCAGGATTGACTTAAAATATAGACTGAGAAATTTTAAATGAAACAGAAAAAGCCAATTCTCCTGTCTGTAGGTTGTTCTCATGTGAAACAAGTCAAATCAGAAAGTTAAGATAATTATAGCTATTTTCTCACTACCCACTATAGGTATTACTATTTTTGGTTTTGAAATATTTATTTTCAAAGTTACATTTATTAAATGCTTCTGCAAAATAAAAGATGCAATAAACAAAGTTAAAAATGAAGACATGGGCACAAAATATTTGCAACACATATTCACAAAAGATTAATACCAAGAAAAAATAAAGCTCTCCTACAAATAAGAACAAGACAAAGAAGCCCATGGCGGGGGAGATGGATGAAGGCTATGAAAAGTAACTGAAAATTAAAAAGCCCATCAATTCTACTTTCAGTACTCTATCCCACGGAGGTATTTGCCTAAGTACTCAAAGATATGGGCACAGGGTGTTTGTGCACATGCCATTTGCAAGAGCAAACACATGACAAACATCCAAATGAACACTAAGAAAATGAGTTCATTTATGTAGACTGACATGAAAAGCTACTCATGACACAGTATTAAAAAAAATCAAGGGGGGCATCCCCTGGTGGCACAGCGGTTGAACGCTGGGCTGCGAAGCTGCCCGCAGCCTCTGCAGTGCCAGTTGGATCCCCGGCCGCCGGCGAAGGTCCCACATGGTGCGCAGACCTCTCCTGTTGCGCCCGCTGCTCCCCTCAGCAGTGTATTTCATCAGTCTGCTTGTTCTGTTCCCTGCTCTGGCTCTGATGAATTCTCTCACCCTCCAGCACTTCTGACTATACCCATTGCTTGTATAAATAAATAAATAAATCTTTAAAAAAAAAATCAAGGGGCAGAAAATTTGTATACTTTAAGCAACAAATAACCTGTGTTTTCATAGAAAATAAATCTGGAAATTTATATACAGCAAATTAACAATAAACTAATCAGGGTGATTACATCTAGAGGATGGTGTTGTCTAGAAAGAGAGAGATGGCAAGCGCTTTGGCTCTTAATTTATATACTTTTGTTATGATTTTTTAAAAAAACAAGCTATATTATTTATGTAACTAAAAAGTCCAAATAAGCCAACACAGATTGCTTTTCTATGCACATTTCAGAGTATTTGAAAATATAAGAAATGGAAAAAAGCAAATAAAAATTCTCACAAATTCTCCTACCTCAATTTACTTATGTGTAGGGAGTAGAAAGAGGCATGGATAATTACAGGGAAGTAACAATGGTAAATTTGGCTGGAACATATTTAAGTCTTGTTTGTAGGGCAAGGAGTGACTTTATTTCTTCTCCCATGATTTCTCCTAAAGAAAGTGTCAGGAAGGCAGTGACTAAACAAAAGAAAAACAGCCCATCTGAGAATGTTGTCTCTGACCAATGTATTCACAATCTCCAGATTTTAAGGTACGAGTATACTTGCACCCAAAGTTACCCGTCCCCTCGTGGGTAAAAGTCCATCCATATGGGATTGGCCCAGAACAAGGCCCCAAAACCTGCTACAAGTCTAAAGTATCTTCCAGTGGGGACCCACAGAAAAGGGTCACAAACAACCGGACAAGCCCGGAAGGAAAAGAGCAAAATCAACATAAAGATAAAAGCTGCCATTGTCACCTCCCCACGGGTCTCACCCACATCTGTGTCACCCAGTCTACGGCCAAAAGACAAGCGCAGTTTCTTCACGTGTCTCTAGGCTCCATGCGCCTCCTCCAGGTCTCCTGGCTCCATCCTGCTTCCTACCTCAGTCTCTTCTGCAGCTTCTCCTCCTCCTGCTCAGCTCCACCCTCCCTTGGGTGGGGCAGGGAACCTCCCCCTTTCCTGGGGACCACCCTGTTACAAAATCAGTTCCTCACAAAATGTTGACATCCACATAGGCCACAATCTCCACATTATATATTTTCTATTTTATCATACTTCCTTTTTCTCTTTCCCTTTTCCCAAATCTTGTTTCTTCTCAACACCCTCCACTTACCTGAGTTGACTCAGAAAATCTTGGGAGAGAGGCTGTCAGTTTCTGGAGGACCTCACAAGCTTTCTGCAGTTTGCTGTGAGCTTGCAAACCATGAACGGCTTTGCTAAAGTCGCCTGCTATCTCATCTATGACCTATTGGAACAAAGGATTCTGTCAAAATTATTTCTATGAAATGATTACACTTTAATAGTTTGAGACATTGTTTTATCAAGCATTGACCTTGGGTAATACTGCAAACTCTGTGAATCACAGGCTTTCTCCGGAATGCGTACTCCTTTCAGATGCAAATGGAGAGAATGGGTTTTCCCCTCTTTCCACCATAGAGAAAATGAGTAACAGGGCTATACAGAAAATAATACTTATAAGAGTCAGGCTAACTCTCATGGCCATGGTCAAGGAATCCTGGAAATCAAAACAACACAAACTTTTCTACTCAGAAGTTAAGTTTGTCTCTCAGGTTTCCCACCATGTTTATTTTCCTCAATTCAAGAGTTCTTAGTCAAGAGGGAAGTACCTGAAATACCAGGTCAGAAAGCCTAGAACACTGGATGAGGCCTTAGAAGTTTATAGGGGTATTGCTTTGAACTGGAAGTCCAACCCTGAGATAATCTCTACTTGGTCCAATTTCTAGGGAATAGTCTACTGATGGCTGAATTCTGTCATGTATTCATTAAGTCTTCTTTTGTTTGTTTTTTTAAAGATTTGTTTATTTATACAAGAACTGGAGTACAGTCAGAGGCATGGGAGGGGGAGAGAATTCACCAGAGACAGAGCGGAGAGCAGAACAGGCAGATGGACAGAAGACACTGCTGAGGAGAGCAGCGGGCATGACAGGAGAGGTCTGCCACGCCATGTGGGAATCTTCCTGGCCGGCCAGGAATCGAACCTGTGCAGCAGAGGCTGCGGACAGCTTCATAGCTTCTGGGTAGTCTACACTTTTTTTTAAATTAATGACATATTAATATTTTACAACCTTGCTTGTTTTATCATAATATAGGATTTCTCGACTCAGATGTGGTCACCATAGTTTTCCCACAACCAAAGCACCGCATAGACCACTCATCCTCCCACCTTGCTTTCTCCCCTCTGTCTCTCCCTCTCCTCCTTGATGCCTCAGATCTATGGTCAGCTTTCAAGGGTTGGTTTTAAAGTTTGCCTTTCTCTACTCCTTTGTTTTTTCTCTTTAGTCAAGGGAAACAAAACACTTTCTGTTTAAGCACTGCAGGTCGAACATTTCCCCCTTCCTCTCCCCCTTACCCCAACACAATGCTGAGACAATAGTAAAGTCTAGTTTTCATTACCACTGAAAGCAGATCGGGTAAGCAGGATGAACAAAGGTAAAAGGAGAGTTCAGAAGGTTAGTAGAAAGAACTGTCTAGAAAGATTGGTTGGTTGCTTCTGAAAAAAACAGGCCAGGTGAACAAAGCTTCCTCCTTGTCTGAAGCCCACTGTGGAATATTTTCATGGACTTGTTTTGCTTCTGCTTTTAATTGGGAGACTAGCTTGTCTGTTGGGCATCTTAAGTATAGTTCTGCTCGTAGGCAAATGTTAAGGTTTCTTCCTAGGACCACTGCTCTTGAAACGTCACCAAAACAAAAGGGAAAAATTAAAAACCTTTCTCAGTGTCACCAAGGTACCCAGGCATGACTTCAATTTTCCATACCTGATCAGATACATTCTGAAAGGACGCTTGTAGCAGGGTGGTGAGGACATCTGAATGGGAGTCCTCTTTGGGGCTGGAGGTTATTTCTTCCAGAGGCTGCCTAGTATATGTTACAGATACAGGCTTGGTGGGCTCTGATGGTCCAGGAAGAGATGAGCTTGCAGGTACAGATGTGACTGATATTAACTGTGTGGTGCCTTTGGGTGGTATTGAAGGAAGTAGGCTGAAGGAATGGCACAGGGTCTTAGACTAAAAGACAAAAGTATATAAAGGAAAGACATTCTGATTACCAAGGAATGATTAAGATGGTGTTCCCAAAATTGCTCTGGAACTCCCATATCTCATGAGATGTTAATAGGCATTTCCCTCAAAAGGATCCGGTATTCAAACAGTTTTGAGAAAGTGGCACACTATGTCATCCTCTTTATGATCCACAACTTAAGTGAATGCTTTTATTGTCAAAATTCAATAAGTATAAATATCTACCGTGTGTGAAGCAATGTCCTAGGGATCTGAGCATATAGCAACTGAGCCATGTTCTTGCCTTTGGGGAGCTACCATTTCAGTGGAGCAGAAGAATAGACACATTAGATCATGCACTGAATAATGCCCATGAAGGGAAAAGGAAATATGGGTAAGCAGATGAGGAGAAAGGGTATATTTTGGGTAGGGTACTCAGATGTAAGGAGAGGGCATTTTTGCTGAGAGCTGAATAAAGGGAGAGAGAAAGCTCAGCCAATCTATTGGAGAAGGGCATTTGAGAATATGCAAAGGCCCTGAGGCCACAGCCTTCTGGGGAGGTCTGAGGAAGAACAAAGAAGCCGAAGGAACAAAAGTGATGGGGGGTGGGGGGAGATCAAGAAGACCCTGGGGTGGGGTGGGGAGACTATGTTCTATATCAGGTAATTGAGAAGAATGATTTTATTTTGAATGAGATGGGAAGCACTGGGGACTTCAAGGAGCAGTGGCATGAGCTGACTTCTGTGAAGCTCCGCTGACTGCTGTATTGAGAAGTGATGCCAAGGGGGTGAGGGGAGAAGCGGGCAGAACAGCAGGAGGAGAATGTGAAGTTCAGTTGGGAGATGAGTGGGATTAGACTGGATTTGACAGTGGTGAGGATGGGAGAAGTGGTCAGGTTTGGGGTCCTTGAAAAGCTCTGAGATATTCTACAGTCAAATATCTTTGTTTTTGTTGCATTTGATAACATCTTAAGCAATGTTAGTGGTTATTCAGCAGAACCCTTTGGAAATAACTGACTTAAGGGATTTCCCCCTCATTTCTATTTTCTTCGTATTACTAGAAACACTTATTTTTTTGCAGTTAACATTGGATCAAATAAATGCAAATCTATATGCAGAGTCCACCAAAAGGAGAGACAAATTATATTATGTATTGCATAATGGCCCACATGGTGCAGCAGACCTCCCCTGCTTTGCCCGCTGTTCCCCTCAGCAGTGTATTTCGTCAGTCTGCCTGTTCTGTTCTCCACTCTGTCTCTGGTGAATCCTCCCACCTGCTGCACATCCGCTCTGTACCCGGTTCTTGTATAAAAAAAATAAAAATAAATCTTAAAAAAGATAATGCATCCATTAAACCTTTCTGCTCTTAAGTACTTTCTTTTCCTTATTAGAAAGTGATATTCAGAGCATGCTGTAAGACACAGCCGGGTTCTGGCAGGACCCACCAGGAGTGACAGAGAGAGTAAGATTCTAAGATGTGTGTTATGAAGGTAAAGTACTTACAATATTAGCATGAGCAGGCTGGTGACAAGTGGCTCGAAAAGGAGCACCTACAATAGGAAAAAGAAAGTGGATTAAATTCAAATGAAGGTCTAGTATAGACTTTTAGTTGGGCAAACATGACTATATAAACTAAAAGATTGTAGATAAAAATATCAAATGTCATTGTACTAATTTAATTTTCCAAAGGCATATTTAAAATCACTATTTTTTTTTTAGTGATGCGCCCTGGAAAGTTACATAATATGGTATGTAATGTTAATTCAATTAAAAAAAAACTTAAAAAAACCCAGAAAATAATAAAATCATGTCCTATAAAGTATTAATTTAGAAGCATTGTTCGATGAAATTCATAGTTTTAAAGTTTTATTTTAACTTTTTTTTATTTAAACTCTTTAAATGCATCTTCAACATCATTGCTTTAGTTATAATGAGAACAACTTTTGGAATCAGGTACCAGTTTTCCAAAATATACCATCTCTACTTCTAATTTTATCTACTAAATATTTCTCTCCCAACTCACAAGTACCCCTCCAGAATGCATTCAGAAAGTTGATTTTTAAACTTGTTCTTTATTTTTTAATTTTTTAAAAAAAAGATTTATTTATTTATTTATACAAGCACTGGGTACAGTCAGAAGCGCGGGTGGGTGAGAGAATTCACCAGAGCCAGAGCGGGGAACAGAACAGGCAGACTGACGAAATACCCTGCTGAGGGGAGCAGTGGGCGTGGCAGGAGAGGTCTGTCGCGCCATGTGGGACCCTCGCCAGTGGCCGGGGATCGGACTTGCACTGCAAAGGCTGTGGGCAGCTTCGCAGCCCAGCGCTCAATCGCTGCACCACCAGGGGAGGCCCTACACTTGTTCTTTAGATATTCATTCACGTAGATATATATTCTTACAACAATAGCACTAAGTTGCTCTTTGAAGTAATACTTAACGGTCTGTTGGCAAGGGCAGTTATCACTTGAAGTTCTGAAGTCATGTCCCTAAGAACCACCACTAGATCCACTTTAAATTGGTCTCTTTCATCACCAGTCAGGCAATGTCCATAATTACCCAACACTGATATTAATGGAAGTAATTTCAGGACAATGCATCTTCCCTAGGCAGTTTTTGCTTTTCAAGATTAAAAAAATGAAATGGGGGCCTCCCCGGTGGCGCAGCGGTTGAGCGCTGGGTTGCGAAGCTGCCCACGGCCTCTGCGGCGCAGGTTCAATCCCCGGCTGCTCCCCGGCCACTGGAGGAGGGTCCCACATGGCGCGCAGACCTCTCCTGCCGCCCGCTGCTCCCCTCAGCAGTGTACTTCGGTCCTTCTGCCTGCTCTGCTCCCCGCTCTGGCTCTGGTGAATTCTCTCACCCTCCCACACTTCTGACTGTACCCAGTGCATGCATAAACAAAACAAACAAACAAACAAACAAATAAATAAATAACATGCCTCTAAAAAAAAAAAAAGAATAAGGGTTAAAAAAAAAATGAAATGGGAGAGAACACCACAATTGGAAAGACTTCACAAGGACTTTTGGGTAGAAAATTTGAGAGAAAACACTGTTTTATTTAGTATATGTGGAAAGAAGATGGTCAAAAGCATATCAAGAACATAAGCATATAAGATGAGAGCAATGATTGCAATATTAAGGTCAGTCAGGATAGAATGCAACGAACATTTACTGGGTTCATGTTCTGAAGACCCAATTCGGCATTCACTCAGTTCCTCGCACTCTCTAAGGCAGGAACTGATCTCACTACACAGTACCTGAGGTCATTTTGTATCCTGGCATCGTGACTTCTCTTTCTGTCTTCTTAGGCCTCCAAAGTAAATGAGAACTATTTCTGTTTCTTTCATAACGGCCATCTGGGTCTGAAAAGGCATCTATTTGGAGACAAAAGCAAAAGTTAATTTATAGGCTATAGTTCTAGCTGTTAGGTTATAAGATAATTATTATCAGCACATGTGTAATAATCACAAGACACAAAATTAGTGATGATTATCCAGTATCTTAAAAAAAGAACAATGATGGGGCCTCCCCGGTGGCGCAGCGGTTGAGCGCTGGGTTGTGAAGCTGCCCGCGGCCTCTGCGGCGCCAGTTCGATCCCCGGCCGCCCCCCGGCCTCCGGGAGAGGGTCCCACATGGCGCGCAGACCTCTCCTGCCGCCCGCTGCTCCCCTCAGCAGTGTACTTCGGTCCTTCTGCCTGCTCTGCTCCCTGCTCTGGCTCTGGTGAATTCTCTCACCCTCCCGCACTTCTGACTGTACCCAGTGCATGTATAAACAAAACAAACAAATAAAAAACATTCCTCTATTAAAAAAAAAAAGATAAAAAAATGGTATTAAAAAAAAAAAAGAACAATGATGTAGGAACTGCTAAGTAGCTCTTTTGCTCTGGAGAGTTATATCATGAACATCTCAAAATTAGGTCCACCATCTGGGTCACCACTGAGAGACAGAGAATTAAGTCTATTATAGGGAATGACATTCTAAGCAGAATATTATCTGTTGTATTCCATTCATTGTTACTGGTGGAGTTCTTAAGGTGGCAGCAATATCCTTGTGTTCATCTGCAGAGATCTCTCACATACGATGCTGAACACTGAGGAAATCAGACAACCTCATGAACTGTATCTCAGCCTAAGTGCAAGTAAGTCCTCACTTGTATCACCCAGAGGCTCCAGGAGACCTCTACAGTAAAGGAAATGACATAACAGAAATAGGTCCTGGAATAGGTTGCTTGTTTAATGTTGGCCTGGGCTTTGTTTTTCTCATTAATGTTTAATAACAAAACCATGTTAAACAAAAAGACATCATTTGAGACCTGCGGTAAAGGAAATAAAAGGCATCAAGAACCAAAGAGAAAAAGTAAAACCGCTTCTCTTTGTAGATGATATAATTATCTTTGTAGCTAATTCAGTGAGTTCATCTAGGTCACAGAATACCTCTCAGCAATCATACCGTGTCAACAGTTTTAAAGGTAACTTGTTGGAGGCGGCCACCCTGCGTAGTGAGCAGAAGGGCCTTGACCCGAGTGTCTAAGGCATGTGAAAACACATGTGTCTCAGAGGAAAACCTCTGAGTGACAGGACTTGGTGTTGAGAGCCTGGAAAGTGCCTGTGTGGAGTCAGGCTTCTACATCTCCACAGTCTGAGAATAAGAAAATGGAGAGATCCTGTGCAGTAAGCAGAAGGGCCTTGACCTGAGTCCCTAAGGCATGTGAAAACACATGTGTCTCGGAGGAAAACCTCTGGGTGACAGGACTTGGTGTTGAGAGCCTGGAAGTGAACTGCGTACATCTCCACAGTTTGACAACAACAAAATAATGAGCAAACTTCCCAGGCTCTGGCTAGGAGGTGATAAGATTATGTGTGTGAGAACTAACCGCCCGGTACCCTACTGTCTAAAGTAAATAAATAATAGTAAAAAAATAGACTAATCATTCATACATGTTACTATTATGTGGTATGCTTTGATGTTACACCTGCTACAATTAAAATAGTATATAATGAGCACTAAGACAATAAAAATTTACTGCATGCTGGACATGACAGTCCCCCATGCCTAATTTCCTTCACCATCATGTCCCAGGTTCGGACTCACTAGAAGTCCACAGTAACTAGCAAGGTTGGCTCTCCAAAAGTGTTTTTACCTTTGACATGAATAAAGTTATTTAGAAGCAGAAAATAAATTTTGAACAAAAAGTAGAAATTGTTAACAAAATATTAACAGTAATAATGGCAATCTTACACTAGGCATTGTTCTCCAACTTTACACTTATTGGTTTAACTTAATAATTATAATAATAAACATTTATAATAATAAAAAGTATTCATAAGAATTCTGTGATGGAAATTGGGTGTGCAGAAATTAAGTTGCTCGCCCAGAGTACCATCATTGTAATATCCTAGATTCAAGAAATGAACTAAGTAAATTGACTCTAGAGCTTAAGGTCTTAATTACAGAAACATACTGCCTCTCAATAGGGAAACAGAAGCTCAGAACTCGCAGAATTGATTTAGATGAATTAAATAGAATTCTTTTTGTCCAAGGCTAGCTTCTGCCCTAACATTCTATATTCCATAGCTGTAACCCCCTGCAAGTACATGAATGATAATATCAGGAAATGCATTTTTGACTCCAAAACCAAGAGTACTTTGAATGTGTAAAAACTTTATAGGCTAAACAACCCAGTTTTTCACTCTTGGAGAGTGAACAATGGATGAATAATCATCATCATCAATTACACTCTATTACAACCTCCCCCCCCCCCCAATCAAAGATATGCCTTGGGCCAGATAAGCTCCTGTGATGAAGATAACTGGCTCTCAGATGCGCAGTAATAGGGATGCAGTTTGTGAGGATGAAACATTAAACCACTAGATGTGTGCAGTGATCAAAGTCATGACCTTGGCCTCACTGCCAATAGCAGGCTATAATGGCAAACAGGACAAAACACCAAGAGCTTGAAAGAGCATGGGGGTGTGAAGGCAGAAATTTATTACACTGAGATATTGGATACTTTCAACATCTAGCATTTCAGAAAGATGGTTTTTCCTTGTAAGGAGGGAAATATTGGGATGTATTAAGTTTTAGTTTTTCACGGATCTTCCTATCTTAATAAGAATGTGTTCATGGTTTTTAAAAAGTGAAACAAAATTTTTACCTAGACTGCCGGAGACTATAAGGTCTTCAAGAATTGATTGAGCTAAGAATAAATGCTTTCTGTAACTACCTACAGACTTTTAAGTACTAACGACTTCCTTCCTCTTCACCTTCTCCTTTTCCCACCACATATTTAGAATGTTTCTAAAAATCAGGTCTTTGGCAGCATGCAGCTTCATCACTTACCAGTTTGGCAAATGAAATAATGTCCTTGTGAGCACGAGTCCACTTTTGATGAGATTTGGTTAGAGTTTCTGAACAGGTAGGTGCAGCTATTAGGCTCTGCTGCCTGATGGGTGGTGGCATCAGCTGAAGAGAGACCAGACCCAGGAGAGTCTCAGACTCAGACGCAAGCATTTTAGAATTTAAATATAAAAACCATATTTTGCTAGCTTCCAATAGATGAAAATTTATCACACCCCCCCACCACACACACACATACTATGGAGTACTTATATTTTCCTATCATGTGCTCTTTAGGGTATTAATTATTTTTTCCTATCAGGGGCTCACAAGGGTTAGTATTAATTACTTAGATTTCAATGAAGATGATGACTATGATAATGCATGGGATTTTCCTCTAAGGTCACAAGATTATGGTGCACAATTTAAAAAGTATTTATGTAGTAAAGACAACAGGCAAATAATTTCCTGCCTAACTTCTGTGTTAGGAAAATTGGGATGAGGAATGATGATGCAATTATTTCCCAGGAAAGTGATCCTAAAAGCCTTCCCTCTTTAGAACTTTACATAATATATTTAGGGAAATAATAGGTAAGTTAATTTGATGTGCGCTAAGAAAAAACCTTATCTTTGTTGCGCTGACAACTCAAACGCTGACACAAAAGAGGAAATTTTTTCCAGAGCAATGATGGTAATGAAGTAAAAGGACTGAATTTTCTATATACAAGAACAGAGAGATTTAAATTTTTTTTCTTTGTCATGTCCCAGAATAAAAGCATTTTTCTTCATAAACTCGAAACCTCAGAGCCTTACCTGAATTGTTTTCTTTTTTATGCTTCCCCAGCAGCATTAAATTTTTCCCAATCCACCACTTCTTCCCTCTTTCTAGGAAGTCCCAGATAAGCTCTTGGGCCTCCTGGTTCCAAGTATAAGCAAGGCGCCCTCCCTGTGCAGAACAGTAATTTTCTGCCTCCTCAAAGCTGCAGTGAAACCTGTTAAACTGAAAACAGTGATTCTGTCTCTGCTGCTCTGGGTGATTTAACTCACTTCCCAGAACAACAGCTGTTCTAACGTACAACCAAAGCCAAGGGCTTGCTTTGAAGAACATTTTTCTGTGGAGTGTGAGCAAGAAAAGTGTGGGGGCTCAGCTACTGCCTGGACGTTTAAATATCTTCTTGGTGGGTTTGTCTTACTTATTTGTGGTATTGTTAGGAATTGGGTATAATTTGTCAAGGAGACAAAAGGTTTTTTTTTTTTGTTTTTTGCTCTGTTTTAAGAACTCCAGGTGGAGTTCTGTAAGCTATAAACAAATAGCAAAGATCAATAAAGCAAGCGGCCTTTATAACTGGGGCATCTGTGTCCACACAGCCTGATATGCCTTTAGCTTTATAATAGCTCTTTATTTGCTTGGTCTAAGCTGTAATGGGGGTAGAGGATGATGCATATTTAAGTCTGCTGCTAAAAGTCAAACAATGTATTGAATGTGGGTTTTTTTTTCCTTTAAAGAAAATCATTCCTACAGACCCCCCAGGATGGATTTAAATTACTACATTGTGTCTTAAATACATTTAAACACTAGACATAAACTCTATTCTAAAGTTCTTACATAATATGAAAACCAAAGAATAAATATTTAACTGAAGAGTGAATACAAATGAAATACAAACACAACTGAAAATCAGTGAAATTCAGCTTTGCTAAACCAAATAGCCACTGGTCAGATAAATGTAGCTCTGGCCCTGACCACACAGATTCTTTTGAATTTGGCATGTGCACTACTTCATGCATAACTTACACCGCAAGAAGAATCTATTTTTTTCACCATTTTTTAAAATATAACTTGCTGAACAACTTTTGTGCATATGGCATGTCATTCCTTCCTCGCCTGCACCACATCCATCATTTACATGTTTTAGCCAGTTCTCTTTCTTAGTACCAAAATGTGATCTTTAATGCATTTATGCATTATTGCACTTATAAATAAACCTGGGCACTGAGATTGCTTGGTAGGTTTCAGGGTTGTTTGTTATCCAAATGGTCCAAATGATGCTTACACCATTTTTAAAAACGTGTGGAAGCAGATGCCACAACAAACCATTCTTTGCAGTGCAGATTCCAAGAATACATCCCTTAGGCCGATCAACACTGCAGGAACCACATGAAAGACAAGCATGGTAGGGTCCCTACTTCACAACGTTTAATTAGGGAAGAAGAGGCATAATGGTCAGCTAATGAGGCACAAAAACTGTAGTTAATAAAGAAAGTGTCACCAGAGAGGGCCAGCTCAAGGCCACAGAGAGTCAGATGAGGACAAAAGTATTTCCAACACTTAACACAGAAGGATGGCCGCCTGCAGATGAAACAGGCGCCTCGGCAGAAGAGCTAACGTGGATGAATGCACAGAAGTGAGAAAGTGGAAGATATTTATAGAGAAATATAAAATTCTGCGTGGACTGGGGTGGAAACTGAAGCTAGAGAAGAAACGCTGCGGCCGACAGGGGCGTCGGCCCTCTCTCTGGAGGTGCCTGCGCGGAGGAGTCCACGACTCGCTTTCGAGCCCGGCGCCAGGTTTCCCCCGGCGACACCTTCGACGAAGCCTCACCTGGCCAACACCTCCTCTCCCCCCCCCCCACGTGTGAAGCATTAGTAAACGAGACCTGGAAATCCAGTCAGCGCTGTGATTCATCTCCACCCTCGTGACGTCACGCTGCCTAGAACCTGCCTTCCCTGCACATGCCCTGTCTAGACCATAAGCATTCCTGTCAGCGCGACTTAAAATTGAAACACAACTGTCGCGCGTGCTGCCCCTGAGCGGAGACGCCACACGCGGCTGCGCCGGCCGGCGCGGGGAAAACGCGCCGCCCGGGCGCGCCAGGAGGGCGAAAGGGGCGTGGCCGCGGCGAGCGCGCACGCGCACCAGCGCCCATCGGCTCTAGGGGCGGGGCTACCCCCGCCCGGCCCGGCCCGCCCCCCGGCCGACGACGAGCAAGATGGCCGCGCCGGGGGCCGGCATTGGAGGGCCCACCGCCGTCGCCTCCAATGGAGACGAGGCGGAGGCGGGCCCAGGGCGGAAGGAGCATGGCGTGGACGCAGCTCAGAGTGAGTGGCGACGCGGGGCTCGCGCGGGCAGGGCGAGGGGCGCGCTCCCGGGGAGGCGCGGGCGGCAGGCGGCTCCGCGCGCGGGGCCCCCCGCGAGCTCGCGCGTCCGCGGGGCGCCTGTCGCTGCTGCCCGGGGCGCGGGCGGCCTGAGTCGGCGCACGTGGGCCGCGCGTGCTGAGCCCGGCGCGGGGCGCTCGGGGAGCAGGACGCGGGGCCCCGGCAGCGCCTGCCGCGAGCTCGAGGGCTAGGGCGGGGGCTCCGGGGCGGGGGCTCCGGGGCGGGCGCGGCTCTAGCTCCCGGGGAAGAGAAGGTGCGCGGCCGTGAACGCTCGGGCTGCAGGAACGGCCGAGAGCGATCCTGAAAGGCAATGCTGGTCTCGTCACTTTCAGTTTAGGGGAAAACACCCAAACTTTTTATTCTGGCCAAGACTACAGGCTGTAGCCTGCACATCTATAGCCATGGTTTCTTGACTTATGTGTCCCGAACAAGCCTTTTCCTTCCCCCCATTTCGGGGCCCATCTCATTCTTTGCTGCCAAGAGAACCGTTGCACCTGACCCTCCCCCCTCCCCTTAGTCCTAGTTAACTCCTTTGACTTTATTTTTTTTTTTTTTTTTTTTTTTTATAGAGGCATGCTTTATTTATTTGTTTGCTGGTTTGTTTGTTTGTTTTGTTTATACATGCACTGGGTACAGTCAGAAGCGCGGGAGGGCGAGAGAATTCACCAGAGCTAGAGCGGGGAGCAGAGCAGGCAGAAGGACCGAAGTACACTGCTGAGGGGAGCAGCGGGCGGCAGGAGAGGTCCGCGCGCCATGTGGGACCCTCCTCTGGTGGCCGGGGAGCAGCCGGGGATCGAACCGGCGCCGCAGAGGCCACGCGCAGCTTCGCAACCCAGCGCTCAACCGCTGCGCCACCGGGGAGGCCCTAACTCCTTTGACTTTAATAGTCAAATGTCATTTCTTCATGGAAATGACATCTCAGAGTAGGTTGGGTTCTTCCATTACCTGATGCATTTTAAATTCATGGCAATTGGCAAGTTACATATTTGCATGATTATTGATTTCTGGCTGTCTCCTCACAAGATTGTACTCTCCAGGAGGGTACTGATGATCTATTAGCTGACCTTTGAGTGTGCAATGAATATTTTATGGGTGATTGAATGAATGAGTGAATGGCTCAGTATCTAGTGGTGACAATTAAATAAAGCATCACAAATAATGTTATGGACCTGAAACACTTTGCTCCTCGCTCAGAAAGCTAAAAATTGAACCAAGGGGAAATTCTGCAAAGGGAATTTTATTTTCGGTGGCAAGCTCTACCGTGGGAGTGGTAGAACCAGGCACTCTTGAAAGGCTTTTAAGGCTCCCCAGCCACCATTTGAAAGGCGTATATACAGAGGAAGGTGTAAGGGGCTCATGTAGGCTCAGGGAGTCACCAGCTGGTCTAGTTAACTGACAGCTTTTGATATTTTCACTCTAGAAAATGATCCCTCTCTGGTTTCTTTGAGGCCCAGCCAACATCTATTCAAAAAGTGCCTGGGGGAGGGATCAGCAACCTCACCTTTTCCCGTTACTTAGGATCTTGGTTTTTGACCCAGTAACACTAGAATTGCCTTTAAAATAATATTTTGCAACTTATTTCCCTGAAATGGAATTTATGTATAATACAATCTTTTTCTGTATGATTTTTAAAAGTCAATGTAATGCCCTGACTGGAATATGAAGGAGAAATTAAAGGAAAGGAATTTATAACAACCTGGTGTGTGTTTCAATATGTAAATGTTAGGACATGACTCAGTGACAATTGGGTGCTTAATGCCTTGACTAGAAATTCTAGCACTACCGGTCCAATTGTCAGATACCCCAAGCAAAGCACTGTACCATTCCTGAAGGGATTTTCTGAAATGGTGAACAATTCTTGGTAATGTTACGTGCAAAACAGTATGGTCGTCTCCCAATTGACAAGGTAATTGCATTCCTGGAAAAATGAGCATATATGGAAACTCTGCTCGAGGTAGTTTATGTGGTGAAATACCAATCGGTTCTAGACTCAGTTAATATGAATAGATATTTTTTACCTACTGAATGTCAGTAGGACTTCAAAAGTCATCCAGGACAAAGATGATTTATCTGTCAGATGGTATAGAGCAGTGCAGGACATCCGACTTTACTGTTAGCCCGCCTCCACCACTGTAACCAGTGGAAATGCCCACCACATGCCCCCGGGGACACTGCTGCCCCTCCTGGACCCTCTGGCCTGAGGGCCATTAGGACCAGCTGAGTGCGTGCCTCCAGAAGTGTAAGTACAGCCTTTGACCGTAGAAGTTACTAGAGCAAGGCATGAAATGGAGACCAGTGTTAGCAGGAGGCTAGGGACATTGCTTCGTGTGACTTGTCGTGTCATCTCTGTGTGTGGGTGTAAGGACTCAGGGTGCTGCAGCTTGGCCTTAATGGGTTCTTTTTTCCAGAAGAAAGTCCAGGATGCCATTATCATTCTGGGGGGCGGAGGGTTTCTCTTCGCCTCCTACCTGACAGCCACGGGGGATGAGCATTTCTATGCTGAACACTTGATGCCAGCTCTGCAGGGGCTGCTGGACCCTGAGTCAGCCCACAGACTGGCCGTTCGCTGCGCTTCCCTGGGGCTCCTTCCTCGTGCCACGTTTCAAGACTCTGACATGCTGGTAGGCGCTTTTGGGATACCTTGTGTGACACATAGAAAGATAAGATCAAAGTCCCCTAATTTACTCAGCTGGGGTTGATGCTTTTGAAAACTGGAGTCCCAAGTTAGCCCCAACAAAAACTGCCATCCCCATCTACAGATCAGGAAAGAGGCACAGAGTAGTTAAATGACTTACCCAAAGGCACACAGCTAGGAAGTTGCTAAGCCAGGATGCAAACCCAGAGTCTGGATTCATCCCCTTAGACACCATCCTGTCTTGCTGAGGTCTCAGTAGCTCAGTTATTCTTCCTGCTAGGTAAGGAAACATTAAACATCGTAACTTCATTAGACATCTAAGGTCACCAAGGCAGGTCTGGCCAAGCCCCCGGTGCAGACATCTGTATCGACCAGCCTCTCAGTCCTACATTTCCCACTTTATCCTGTGGAGTGAGGACTGAAAGATCCCCAGGGAGGTCTATCATGTAGCCAGAGGTGATGGCCACTGTCCTGGGGCAGATCCTGCCAGCACAGCCCCTTCCCACACTCTAGCTGCCAGATGTGGACTCTCACCCTCATTTATTGCTGTTCTGACTTCTTGGAGCAGCCTTGCTACTTCCTGTGTCTAGGACTTGGCAGCACCCACCCTTGGAGAGCCTTGCTATTCCTGGCAAAGGTTTTACTGGCTACACCAGCCACACCAGGGATGGTTCCGTTGGCAGTCGCTGGCTTTGTGATATCTCTTGATTGTCTTGCTACTTGATTTGTTGGCTCCCTCGGGGCAGGAATCCTGAATCACCTTAGGAGTCAGGCTAGACCATAAAGTCATTAGGTCCTGGTCACCTTCACTGTAGAGAACAATATGGAGTCCACCTGACATCTGATGGGGAAGAACCTCTTGATAGGTACAGCCTGGTTCTGGAGCCCAGCATATAGGTCTGCCCTACCAGGCATGTTCCTCCTCCTGGCACCTTGGGGCCATTGTTGGAGCTTTCTACCAGCTGGGCTGCCTTGCTAATTGGAGGATTTAGCTGCTTGACCCTGTGTTTCAGAATAGCTGGGGACTGACACCAATAAGTCACTCTGTCTCACCAAGGAAAATGGATAAGAAGATATTTATCTAAACTACTATTGGAGAGACAGTGCTCATCTCGGTAACTTATCCTGGAAACACTATTTTCCTTCTCAGTCTCAGTGTTGATAAAGCTAATGGTTCTCAGTCTTGAGCCAACATCAGACTTACCTGGAGAGCACTGTTGAAAACAGATTCTCTCAGATCTCCATTCTGCTCCATCCTCCCCACAAAATTATGATTTCTTAGTGTGGGGGTGGGTCACGGAACAACCTTATGTACTTCTGACTTGCTTTTCTCACCCTAGGAGGTGAAAATTCTGGGTCATAAATTCCGAAATCCAGTAGGAATTGCTGCAGGATTTGACAAACATGGGGAAGCAGTGGATGGACTCTACAAGATGGGCTTTGGTTTTGTTGAGATAGGAAGCGTTACCCCAAAGCCTCAGGAAGGAAACCCCAGACCCAGAGTCTTCCGCCTCCCCGAGGACCAGGCCATCATTAACAGGTTGGTGACCGGCCCAGAAGAAGCGGGGATGCCGTCTTCCCAGCAGGGATGTAAGCTCTGCCTCTTTTTTCTGTCATACACTGTGGGCATTTTTCTGTCAGTTGGACTATTCAGGAACCAGATGGAGCATCTCCTGATTACCAGGCAGAAGAGTAGGGTTTTTTGAGTTCAGTGTGATACATACATACATGGGACTGGGCCCTCCATAACTTTGCTACAATCCTGACACCATCATTGGGAGAGCCGGGTATAGACTTAGGCTTATTTAATTTTTCTTGTGGACCTGTATTGCAATTACCTTCCCCCTTCAGAAGGCTTTTGTGGAATCCCATAGGTTCTGGTCACTGTATCCTCACTTTCATTCATCTGCAGGTCTGTTTAATTTATGGTTTGATTTTCTCTGTTGCACTAAAGGCTAGAGTTGATTTCTTAAGAATGTTCGGGAAAATATATTTGTTTATGATTTGGCTGCCACAATAAATTGCAGGTGCTAGGCTGACGGTACTTGGCAGAACCCTACAGAGGAGAGGGGGTGAGAGTGAGCCAGGGCTCTGGGCACGTGTGTGTTCACCCACACGTGGGTGCTCAGTGAATGCTTGCTGAACAGTGGATGGGTTTTCTTAGGAAGTCAACAAATATGAGTGTCCTATAGTGGTTAGGCGTTTCGGTTGCAAGTAACAAAGTGCCACAGTAACAGGTGTTTGTATTATCTTCATCTCCTAGCAGGTGTAATAGGCAGCTCGGGGTTGGCTGAACAGCAGGGCAATGTCAGGACTCTGGCCCAACTCTCCTGGGCCTTGCCTTCTTGCCTGTAAGTCACCTCCCCACCTTCCCCCAGCTGCAGTGTTGCTACCTGACAGGTGGACATCCCAAGGCAGAAAGGGGAAGGGAAGCCTAAATGTGTGTGTATGGGGGGCAGTTTCCAGAAGCTCCCCCATAGGCATCTCCTGTGTCTCAGGGGCCAGGCCCATTTACTACTTCATGCTTCCCAGTGAGGCTGGGAAGGGAGTCAGGCATTTCACCCCACAGCAGGAGAGCGGGGTTCTACTGGTAAGGAGGGAGGGAGTGGAATGGCCTGGGGTCAACAGCCCACAGTGGGGCCAGGGAGGAAGAGATGAGCGAGAGATGAAGTTCCTGCCTTATGGAGTGTCCAGAGGTGGGTGATGGGTAAGGAAGACCCGTCTCTTGTCCTCAAGAAGATGACAACCCTGTAGGGGAACCTGAGAGTATACATACACCCAAAAGCCAAGGCTGAGGTCACCTTTGTGGCTGGAGCTTTATGCAGGACAGGGAGCATCTGGTATAGCTGGGGCAGGGGTGATTTAATAGGCAGACATGGAGTGACAGGATGAACTCTGGAAAGAGTGTTCATGGAACACAGGCAGGAGGTGGAAAGTGGGGTTCTCAGCCTGGCAAGGGCACCCCTGAACGGGAGGAGGGGATAAGGAGGGGGGGAAGCTTGATCCTGATAGGTTTGGGGCAACCACATGGCCAAGGCCAGGCTGTTGCCAGTGTTAGTTGGCTGAGCGGCTGCTTTCTGAGTTTGAATCTCCAGGGGTGTTGATCTCTGACTTTCTTTCCTCTCTGTTTTTGAAAGTCAAAAGCACACAGTGGAAATGGCCACAAAGTCATCTCCCTGAATCGCCACCGCTGGTGAGGGCCCTAACTTGTCCTCTTCCTACACTTATGTGCTGCAGATACGGATTTAACAGTCACGGGCTCTCGGTGGTGGAACACAGGTTACGGGCCAGACAGCAGAAGCAGACCAGGCTCACAGAAGGTAAGGCGGGTGGCCTGAGATCAGCTTTCTTCATGTTTTGGAAGCAAACAAGTGGACCAAATGTCAGGAACATCTCCAGAGAAATAAACATGATTGAGCAATAGGGTAAAGCGCTATGGGGCCTAGGCCACCTCTCCTAGAGGGACTGCCCTGGTTCTAGCACAGCTGCCAAGATTTTAACTGAGTTTCACAATCGAGCAGACTTGCTGAGTTTCTGCCTCGTCACGTAACCCATGTTCTGTCACACCTGGGGAAGTGAGGAGCAGAACAGCTGTCCTGCGCCCACATAGGTATGCAGGGTGAAAGTGCCTTCTCCCTTTGTCCTGCTGGGTTGTGCTCTGTCCAGTAGAGGCACAGTGCATGTTAATTACAGGAGAGCGATTGGTAAATACAGAGACACGTGAAGAAAATTAAAATTACTCACAGTCCTCCTTTCTCAGAGATAACCCCTCCTGGCATGTGGGAAACATTCTCAGCCTGGTGGGATGGCACCCGCATTTTTGAAGACCGCCTTCGGAGAGGCTGGTGTTTATTCTCTGGGGCTCTCCACTTTGCCTTTGCTCAGGATGCTGTAGGTCTATGCTGTCTTGACCGTACCTGCCCAGGTACACTCTGGGATTGTGTAGGAACACAGCCATTTTCCTCTTTGGGTCCTTCTAGAACTCTTTCCAGGAGTTTAATCTCATTAGATGTCCTGGTAATGAGATGAGAAAAAACTATGGATAGATTCATTTCAGGGCAGAGGCGATTAACAATCTTATCAGTTTGGGTAGATGACAACTAAGGAAAGATCCATTTGCTCCATGAAAGTGATACTTTCTTTCAAGCCAGTGGGCCTGGGTGGGAAAGCTTAAAGGTGATCTTAGCTTGACTTTGGGGAGCTTGCATCTAAGTCTTGCTCCCCACTCCTTCTCTTCCCCCATAAAATTAGCTACATAAATCTCATGCATTTTCAGGGTGAAATTAAAAGGGTGACTGCATGGAGCTGGGAGAAGGTGGTTAGTGGTAGTAGATGCTGTTCTTTGAACCTCCCTGACCTGACACATGTGCTGCAGGTTTGGGACTCACTTGCCATTCCAGGGCTTTTCCCTGCTGCTAGATGGAGGAAAGCGGCTGGCACCCTCGACGTACCGCTGACCTTTTCAGATAAGATGGTATCGTGGAAGAAGTCAAGCATAGATGAGACCTTGCTTTTACATGTAGCCTGATTCTGAAATGTATTTTTCTGCAAGTTGAAATTGCAAATCTAGTGATAACCCCTGGATGTTAGAGGAAGGTGGTCATAATACTTCCTGTGCAGGTTGAGATGCTGGTGAGGGTGAAAGGGAGTTAAGGTGTTACTAATGATGCCCGGGCTGCAGGAGTAGTGAGGACTGTCCAGCGAGCACTGGGGTGCATGGGCACCCTAGTTATAAGGGGAAGTCCCTTTTTGGATGACTGAAACGATACAATAATGATACCACTACATTTTAGGCATGATAATTGAAAATATTTTCTAGTATTTTCTCTAAATTGGCTTTTCTTCATGACTGCACACCCCGTCACTTGACTCAAGTCCAACAAGCAACCCTTGATGTTAAACAGTTACCCTTTCTGACCTGCGGTTGATTTCTGTCTGTTGTGACATTTATGAGCCTTAGCTTTAAAACTAGCATTTGCACTTCTAATTTCTCCATTTTCTGTTAAATATTTTTTAAAAAGGAAAAAGGCACAGTGCAATAAAATAGCCTACAGTTGCAGGGGTCCACATTATTGGTCAGCTGGTACTTCTACCTTTGAGGGTAGAAGACCTAGAAGGCTGTTGTCCAGTGCTATTTACTTAAGGACAACCTCAAAATATTGCCCAGGAAATGGCGTCTGGGGACAAAACCTTGCCCGGCAATATTTACAGATGGGCTGCCGCTGGGAATAAACCTGGGGAAGAATAAGACCTCTGTGGACGCTGCTTCGGACTACGCAGAGGGGGTTCGAGTCCTGGGCCCTTTGGCCGACTACCTGGTGGTGAATGTTTCCAGTCCCAACACCGCGGGGCTGCGGAGCCTTCAGGGAAAGGGTGAGCTGCGCCGCCTCCTGACCAAGGTGGGCCATTACACCTCCAGGCCCCATTTCACCAGCCTGCCCTAGCGACTGTTCATTCCCAAAAGGGAGGTCACTGCTGAGGAGCTGTCCTTAACACTGGGTCAGTGAGGACCCTGCGCTGTACCTCTACTCCCCTATCATAACACTGGTTATGCCATCCGTCTCTGCCTTTTAGCCACAGGCCCGTGAGGAGAGGGGCTTTGTCCCTCATTTCCCACCTGGTGCCTCTCATCTGACACACTGCATGGATGACCCAATGGCTGTGCATTGGACTGAATGTCCTTTTTTTTTTTAAAGAACATAAGCCTGAATAAACCTTAACATATTACCTGATGCCAGTGAGAACATTAGGGACCCCTTGGTCAAGAGAATAGAACCAGATCCATCTTGATGGGGTCATTAGCATAACCAAGAGCTGTATCCTGAAAAGGAGAAATTGCTGGGGCTTTCCTTTGAAGGCTGGTGTGAAAACGTGCTGATCTGTGGCTGTAGGTCTTGGTGCCATTAGGCTGTGCTCCTGGGGGGGTCCCCATCTCTGGCCACCTGTCGCTCTAGGTGCTGCAGGAGAGGGAAGCCTTGAAGGGAGTGCGCAAGCCAGCTGTGCTGGTGAAGATCGCGCCCGACCTCACAGCCCAGGACCAGGAGGATATTGCCAGTGTGGTGAGAGAGGTGCGAGTCAGGCCGGGGCCGGGGGATGCCCCTCGTTGCTTGCAGAGGCCGTCTGTGGCAGCTTTTGTGCTGTCCTTACGTTGACACCGAGGGTTGGTTTGTAGTCAGATCATATAATAGAGAGTGACTGCTTGAGTGAGTCTTTTGCTCAGGCTTCTTTCCTCCTCTTCACCCTGTGGGGATTTATGGTTAGTGCTGCTCCGTGGCCAGTATTGGTCAGACCAGAGCATGTCTCCAGCCTCTGGGTCATACGAGAGTAGTGGAGACAGACTGAGTCTGGCAGTCCTGGGTTGTAAGCCTGATTTCACCTCTTGCCATTGGGAGGCCTTGGTCTGGACATCTAAAGTGGGTGGTTCTAAGGATTAAGCTGTGTCCTGGTGGAACCTGCTGGGTGGTCGGTATGTGACAGCTGCTACTGTTACGTGGAGGCTCAGTCTGACTCCTGTGCTGGCAGCACAGGGAGGTCTAGGATAGCTCTTCTTCTGGGAGGCTAGAGAGTGGGCGCCAGCCCCCCTGCTCACTCCGACCCCCAGGGAAGCTTCTGCTGGCCCATCAGTGCCAGGACTGGAGGGCTCTTACTTATCTCCCACTGCAGCTGGGCATCGATGGATTGATTGTCACAAACACCACTGTGAGCCGTCCTGCCAGCCTCCAGGCCGCCCTGCGCTCTGAAACAGGAGGGCTGAGTGGGAAGCCCCTCCAGGACTTATCCACCCAAACCATCCGGCAGATGTACACGCTTACCCAAGGCAAGTTGGTATCTGTGTCTTCAGATCTATGTGCAGCCCACACTCTGGGTTGTGATAGGAATCGTGGTCCCTGAGTTGTTACATTCAGCTGAACTGGGGTCCTGGTCCTCATGTCATCAGCCTTCCTCACAGTGGTGCGTGTGCTTCTCTGCAGGCAGAGTCCCCATCATCGGGGTTGGCGGCATCAGCAGCGGGCAGGACGCACTGGAGAAGATCCGTGCGGGGGCCTCCCTGGTGCAGCTGTACACGGCCCTCACCTACCAGGGCCCGCCTGTGGTGGGCCGAGTCAAGCGCGAGCTGGAGGCCCTGTTAAAGTGAGTGAGGCTGGGAGCTGGAGAAGCTAATGGGGGGGTTAGTTCTGTGGCTCATCGGTGGGGGGCTATTCAGAAAGGATTTGAAGGGTACACTCTGAATGCAGGGGGAGATTACTCTTGCTCCTCTGACAAAGGACAGAGCCAAGGGGTTCACGGTGAACTTCACAGGCCTGCTAGTGAAGGAGGAGCTCTGCGAGTGCCCCATCAATTCAGTCACATTGACACCATGCCAGCGAGCTGGTGGGATTTAGAATCAGTTCCTTTTGTCTGAATACCCAGGTGGAAATGCCTCTGGTTCCCTGGGCAACATAAAAGGCTTGAGGTACAGGTTTGGGAGAGGCAGGATCGTTGTGGGACAGCCATGCCTAGGTGAACATGGCCTTCCAGTAAGATCAGGGTTCCTTCTTCACTGTTTGCGGAAATTTCTTTTTCACTTTTTCTAGGGAACAAGGTTTTACCAGTGTCACAGATGCCATCGGAGCAGATCATCGGCGGTGAAGGTGGTGTTGGTGGGAAGCCTGATCTGGAACTCTCCCACCAAATTTGGCAAGTCTTTGAGGTTGGGTTGAGAGAAGGGGGACTGTATCTCCAGCCTCACCCCCAAACCACAAGAGCCGTCCCTCCAAGGCCTGCTGGACTGTCAATCACAAGGGTCACCAGAATTGATTTTTCCGTCATTTAACAGAGCACAGACTGCATTCATGAATCTTTCTAGATTCAAATTCCAGGGTCCTTTCATGTTGCAGGGACATCAGATATTTTTGGGGGGGGGGTAGGGGGAATAAAACCATTTAGAGCCTGGATTTAAATCCCAGCCATTTCTGGAGGCCCAAGGGCTGAGTCTGAAGTGGGCTTCCCAGGAGCTTGACCCTCTTTCATTCTACCTTTAAATTTTCAACTTTAGTTTGAAGCAACTTCAAACATAGACAAGACTTCAATAATAGGTCGACCGTCTTCTGTGTCCTCACATGGTCCTCCCTCTGTGTGTCTGTCACCATCTCTTCTTCTGAGGCCACAGCCCGACTGGACGAGGGCCACCACCTCAGTGACCTCATTTTAACTTGATCACCTTTGTAAAGACCCTCTCTCCAAATGAGGTCATGTGGGGGTTAGGATTCCAACATGCCTGCTCTGGGGAGACACAGCTGGACCCATCGCAGGAGCTGTGCTTGCTGTGTCCCCTCTCAAATACCTGAGATCTGAGTGCCACCGGACAGATGGGCCCTCAGGGTGCTTGTAGACTCTAGACAGGGAGCTAAAGAGGGAGGCCACGCTTTTCCATACCAAAAAGCAGATGGTGATGAAGCTGGGAACCTTGCCTGGGAGGTGGGGTGGTCTGTGACTCCCTGGAGGGGCCTGTGGGTGCTACAGAGACGACGTGCTCTGGTTCTCAGCGTTTCATCTCCGCCTCAGCTGCCAAGAAACCCACGGCCAGTCTCCTGCTGTCCTCTTCAAAGAACTTTTTCCTGGTGTTTATCTTATACTTTCATGAAAATAATACCTACTTATAAATAAACATAAGCAGTATATCCCCCAAATAAAACGCGTCTGCCTCTTACCCCCTCAAACCATTCTACTACTCAGAGATAATCACAGATGGCTTTTGTATCTATCTAGATTTTCCTTGATTTTTTTTCTTTGTATATACAAATACACATACCCGTCGCTATCTGTTATTTATCCACCTGCACACACACACATATAGAAATGCTACAAGTAGAATATGGTTGTCTCCCCTTGCCCACGGTTTTGTTTCCTGAGGTTTCAGATACCTGCTGTCAACTGCAGTCTGAAAATACAGTTAGATACAGTAAGTCCCCACCTAACCTTACTCTGGGTAGGATCATGGAAACTGACAGAAATTAACCAAGCAACATATAACACAATTTGACCCAACACTAATTGAGTAAACAAGAGTCAAGTTTCTGTAGCATATTTATGGTCTCAGGTTATCCCCAAACTCTAAATAAAGATGCAAAACACTTCTAATATTAAACAATTGTTTGTATTCAACCAACCCTGGAGAGGAAGCCCTTTCATCACTTCATCACTTTTTGGCCCTGACTCTTTCTCGGAGATGACAGGCCCAGTACTGTGCAGAATGCCCCCCCACCCCCTTGGGTTTGTCAGTGCTGCTCCGGCAAGCAAGGCAGAGCGATGCTGTGCTCTCGCTGCTTCCCACCAGGTAACGGGTTTGTGTGTTCCATTAGTGGAAAAGCTCACTTGGCTCAGCTGAAGCTTTATTTCTTATTTTCATTGTAGCCCATTACGGATCTATGACCAAATTCTACTTAATGACATATATTTGAAAGTACAATGTACAATTGCTAAAAAGTTTCCTGCTGCCCAGAACATGGGTATGGCTGGAGCTGTGAAAGCCATGTTAGACCTGAAGATCAAGGTCACCCCAGAGGCAAAAGCAGGAAAGAACTTCACAGAACTGTCAATCCAGCTCTGCTGACTTTCCTGCTTTTTATTTGAGAAAACAAAACCTTGTGTGGTTAAGTCATGGTTTATGGGGGTTTTCACTCATATCTAGCCAAATTTTACCACAGCTCATAAGGAAGCCAGGTTGCGGTTGTATTAGCCTGGGAGACAGGTTATCTGCTTTCCTCCTTGGCTCAGGCACATTTCCTCCAGGTGCCACCGCACCGTGAGAATGTGCTCAGACTATCATGCTACTTACCTCTAGTGTCAGAAGAATCTTGGCGGTCAGGGAAAATTTCTGTGAGTCCCTTGTGGTTTTAAATGTGGGAAATCAAGTTAGTGTGGCTTGTGTGTAAGGGGATACTGGGTACTGGGCTGAGAGATGTGTGTACAGGAGCAGAGTGGGAATGACCTGGAATTGGCACACAGTGGGCTTGTGAAATACTTGGGCAGCAGTACAGGGGCAAGTCTCCAAAGGTCAGGCCCCTTAGGAGATGAAAAGCAACACGCTTGCAAACTCCTGGACTCTTACCAGTCGGGGAGGTTTCCTGGGTGTTGAAAACTATTTGGAAAGTGTCCCACAGGAAACAAAGGGGTTACAGTGTGGGAAAGTGATCTGGCTGCACCCCATGATGCCTGTTCATCACTGGGTTTGACTTAGTGGGTTGAGGAACAAAGCTGGACCTGGGGGTCAGAACTTTCCTGGATCAACATAACCCCCTTACTGTGCTGGGCATGTGGAAGGCATGGAACCTTAATTCTGCCATTTTAGTCCTCAGTTATTTGAGCAGCTGGCTAGCCTCTTGGGTTTCAAACATTCTCTTGGATGTTGAATTTGCAGCCTTTCATGGATCTAGTGTCATTTTTCTGCCTAAACAGAGCAAAAACTATGGACACTGTCTGGAACCTAAAATAAATCACTTTGCTCAGGTCAGAATTTGAGACTCTGCCACAACCATTAAAACAAACAAACGCATACAAACATATACATTTATATATACATACATGTAGGGGTGTGTGTGTGTGTGTGTGTGTGTGTGTGTGTGTGTGTGTGTGTGTGTGAACAGGGTGAAGCCACATTCATTTATTTTTTCATTCACTCTCTTACTGAGATCCTACTTCCTGCCAAAGGCCGTGCAGTGTGTTGGGATAAAGATAACAGTGTCTCACTATTTCTGTGTCTCAGAAGAGCAAATACAAACACAACCAGCCAGAGCCCAGTGAGGTGCAGCTGCACTGGCTTCTCAGTGTGCCCAGCACTGATTTGGTATATTTCTCTGGGGCCATAATTGTGCAAATCTCTGATTTCTTTAACTAATGACTCAAGAGCAGAGACCCATTTTAACATTTTTCCTTCTATTGATATCTAGATGGGAACAAGAGACTGGATTTGGGGCCTCCCTGGTGGCACAAGGTGTTAAGAAGCAACCTATGAAGCTGTTGGCAGCCACTGCAGCATGAGTTCGATTCCCGGCCAGGGAGCAACCCACACGGTGCAGCAGACCTCTCCAGTTGTGCCTGCTGCTCCCCTCAGCAGTGTATTTCGGTTGATCTGCCTGTTCTGTTCCCCACTCTGTCTCTGGTGAATCCTCTCACCCCCCACCACCTCTGACCTGTATGCATAAACAAATCTTTAAAAAAACAAAAAGACAGTTTAAAAAAAAAGAGAGAGACTGGATTTGGTCGATGGTTCAACCCATAACCTGTCTGGCAGGGCACACTGTTCACAAATGCTTTGCCAAGCAGTTTCCTGGTGCTATTTCCTAATGTGTTTCCCAGCCATGGCCCATGTGGCCTTTGCCTGCTTCCCCAATGTGATGCCCTCACACATAATTAAAATATCAGTATGGTTGTCTGCCAGTGGTCCAGTGTTCCAGAAGAGAATTGCCGGCACTAAGGCAGCACAGTTGGGAACCAATCTCCACATTCCGGGCACAGAAGGACCTCCTAGTCCCTGGTGCCTGGTGACTGAGGACAAGGGAGATACCCTCAAAGGAGGTAAATGGGAAATCTATGTTTAATTTTCTTATTGAAATAAATGAAATTTTGAACAACATGAACTGTTTTGAACAACACAGAATGTTCCAACACTTGGCTGTTCATTCTGTTCTGAGGTCATGTGCACCCCGGGGAATATCCAGTGTTTCCCATTCCATGACTATACCTGTTCTTGATGGAACCACAGGGTTCCATCAACTCTGAGGTGCTGATTATTTATTTCATTTTTAATATGTCTGAAATTGAGATATATCTTATTACAGTGACAGATTCTGAAGCATTTTGTCAGAGTTTAACTGGCAGTTTTCTCTTACAGTTCACAGCATATTCGCTTTGATGAAATGTGGCTGTGTTTCCCAAACTTCCCTGTCTTTATATAGATACCTGGAGTCTACCCCAAAGCATTCTGATGTAAAAGGGATGTGCTATGAAGTAGGCATCAGGATTTTTAAAAGATCCCAGGAAATTCTAAAATATAACAAAGTTTGGGGACCACTGAAATAAACCATTTCTACTTTATCCAAGATTTTCCCAACTCCTAGCTTTCAGCGAGGGCATCCTTTCAGATTCTGCTTATTATACAAGGTGTGCTCCTCCATCTCAACTGAGACCTTTCCATTAGGTCAGCTCCAGGAGACCATGGATTTTGTCTAAATCTGTTATAGCTTCAGCACCTAAAACACCAAGGCACTTTGCAGACACTCGATAAATATTTGATAAATGAATATACCTTCTTTTATAGTTTTAAATGCATGTATTAGAAATAAAAAGTTAAAGCTGATAACAGTTTCTACTTTAAGAGGCCCAAATAGAAGAAGCAGCACAAAGCATGGAAATGAAAGATAATCTAAATAAGTGAAGATCTATACCATGTTAATGGAAGGGAAGACTCGATATTGCTAATTCTCCCCAAACTGATCAGCAGGACATTTTGTGAAAACTAAAAGCTGATTCTGAAATTTTGGTGAAATGTAAGGGACCTAGAAGTTTCAAAATAATCTTGAAGAAGAATGAAGTTAGAACACTTACAATACCAGATAGCAAGCTTTACTATAAAGTTCCTTGTTAAGACAGAGTAGCACTGGCCCAAGATTAAACAAACAGGCTCACAGAACTGAATAGGGAACACAGAGAGACCAACACACATGTGATCACTTAATTTCTAACAAAGATAGTACTATAATGGGGCAAAGGATGATAATTTTAGTAAATGACATTGAATCAGTTGTATGTGTAGTTTTAAATGCATGAATTATAAATGATACGGGAAAATTTTACTTGAACGTTTATCTCAAATCGTACACAAACATTCACTTCACATTCAGATCTAGATAGGAAATTAAGTTAAACAACAAACTTCAGAATAAAACATAGGGGAATATTGTCATGACCTTGTTGGCAAAGATTTCCTAATCAGACACACAAAAGCATTAACCATAAAATTGAAAAAAAAACTGATAAATTAGGACTTATTAACATTAAGAACTTCTGTACTTTTGTTTATCAAAATGCATGATGAAGAGCGTGAAAAGACAAGCCACGGGATGGGAGACAATGTTGACAGAACATACATCTAACAAAAAACACTAGTGTTCAAAATATCTGAAAAAAATTCCTACAAATCAACCAGGAAAAGACAGTTCATAGGATATCTCTCGGAGTGACAAGAACATGTAAGTGTTCTTCATCATTCAATATCCAGGAAATGCAAATTGAAGCCATTATTAAATTTTATTGCATGTACACCAGAATGACTAAAGTGTGTTTGCAAAGAGCAAATGGAAGTTTGATATATTGCTGGTGGGAGTATATGCTGAACTGTTTGGCAGTATCTATTAGAGCTAAACATATGCCTACTCTATGACACAACAAGGTAATTTATCCAAGAGAAATGGGCACATAGATCCATCAAAAGACATGTTCACAGCAAGAATGGTCACAGCAGCTTTATTTATAAAACCTCCAAGTTGAAATCAATTGAAACATCAATAAGCAGGAGAATGGGTAAATCAACTGTGGTTCATTCATCCAATGAAATATTCCTCAGCGATAAACATGTAAACTAATGTGACAACAGGGCTGATTCTCACAGACAAGAGAAGCCAGGAATAATAAGTGACCACTATTTGATTCTATTTATAAGAAATTCAAGAATTGCAGCAGTTACTTTTTGGGAGTGGGGTACTGACTGGAAGATACCCAAAGCAGTCTTTTGGGATGCTATAAATATTCAATATCTTGATCTGAGTGCTGATTACTCAGATGTTATGAATATTAAAGATTCATATAGTGAAATAAATCAGACAAGAAAGACAAACACCATTTGATTTCATTCATATGTAATATATAGAAAAAATAAGCAGATGAATTAAATAAAATGAAAACAAACTTTTAACTGTTAAGACCAATTCATGGTCACCAAAAGGGAAGAGTGATGGGTAAACCGGGTAAAAGTGGTGAACTGTGTGGTGGAGGGGAGAAATGGATTAGATTGGTGAGCTTAATGCAGTATACAGAGAAGCTGATTTTCAGTGATGCACACGGAAATGTTCTGTTATATATAATGTAACATTTTAATTTTTTAAAAAAGTGAGATTAGTTGCACTGTAGGTGCTCATAGGGTTGGCAGAGGTTACACTCAGTTAAAATGCAGATCTGGAGCCTCCCTGGTGGCTCAAGGGATAAAGATGCAGCACTAAGAAGCTATCTGCAGCCACTGCAGCACAAGTTCAATCCCTGGCCAGGGAGCTACTCACATGGTGCAGGAGACCTCTCCTGTCTCCCCAGCTCCTCCCCTCAGCAGCATACTTCAGTCAATCTTCCTGTTCTGTTCCCCACTCTGTCTCGGGTGAATCCTTTATTCCCCCACCCGACACCTCTGGCCTACATCCCAGCTCCTGTATGCATAAATAAATAAATCTTTAAACAAAATAAAACAAAATAAAATGCAGATCTTCAGACCTGCTCAGACTTGTCCATCTGCAACTCTGGAAGGAGGGGCCTGGGCTTTACCTGTCTTGTTGGTGTCTGTGCCCATGCCGTAATTGTTTTGCCTGCTTTAAAAAGTTTTTTGGCTTCAAGGAAATGAACTTTACTTTCTTTTCATTGAAATTTTTTTTTTTTTGGTAAAAATGCAGGTAACATAAAATTCAGTGGGCATGAATTGCACTCCAACATTGTACAAGCATCACCAGTTTCCAAAATTTTTTCAACGCCCCCAAACAGAAACTACATCCACTACACAATAGCCTCTTCCTCCCTCCCCATTCCCCAGCTCCTGGTTAACTCTAATCTACTTTGGCTCTAGGAATTTGTCCTCTCTAGCTATTTTCTGTAAGTGGAATTACACAATATTTGTCTTTTGGTGTCTGGTTGCTTTCATTTAGTATGATGTTTTCAGCAGTTAAAGTGAAAAATATTCCATTGCTCATGGATAATACAGCATGTTGTTTATCTATTCATCTATTGATGATAGTTGGACTCTTTCTACTTGTTGGCTATTGTAAATAATGCTGCATGAATAATGGTGTAAAGTGGCTGTTTGAATCCCTGTTTTCAAGTGTTGGGGTCTACAGCTACAAGTGGAATGGCTGGACATAGCAATTCTATAGTAAGTGTTTCCCACAGATATGATACCATGTTACATCCCCCACAGTGAGGTATGTAGTTCCTTTCATTTGTAGCCATCCTAGTAGGTGTGAGGTGGTCTCCTGTGGTTTTGATTTGATTATTCCTAGTGACATTTTCCAGTACTTATTGATCATTTGTGTATCTCCTTTGGAAAAACATCATTCCAATCATTGCTCACATTTTAATTGGTGTGTCCTTTTGTTATTCTTGTGGGGATTCCTTATATATTGTGGTTATTAAACTCCTCATCAGACATGATTTGGAGATATTTTCTCCCATTCTTAGGGTGATTGTCTTTACTTTCCTGATCTTGTCTTTTGAACAAATTTTTTTTATTTTAATGAAGACCATCTTATGTTTTTCTTTTGTTGTTTGTGATTTTGGTGTCATAGCTAAGAATCCCTTGCCAAGCTTTGCTTGATTTTTGAGCTCTATAAAATGTGATCATCCTGAAAGTATCTTCTGGAATTTAACAGCTTTCTTTCAAAATTATGTTTATTTTTTTAAAGATTTATTTATTTATGCATACAAGAGCTGGGGTACAGGCCAGAGGTTTGGGAGGTGAGAGGATTCACCAGAGACAGAGTGGGGAACAGAACAGGCAGACTGACTGAAACACACTGCTGAGGGGAGCAGCGGGCGAGACAGGAGAGGTCTGCTGTGCCATGTGGGTAGCTCCCTGGCCGGGGATTGAACTCGTGCTGCAGTGGCTGCGGATAGCTTCATAGTGCAGTGCTTAACCCCTTGTGCCACCAGGGAGGCCCCTCAAAATGATGTTTATATATCATCCAGGTTCTTTCATCAGAGTGCATCCATTTTCACAGTTTTCTAATATTCCATCATGTGAATATACCACACATCATTTACCCATTTTCATAATAATGCACATGTGTGTTGTTTCCAGTTATTTTGCTACTACATCAATGCCACCATTAAATTCTAACACAAGTTTTTAATTTTTATTTTATATATATTTTTACATTTATTTTTCATATTTGCACAATGTATGCATTTTCATCTTGGTTATCGTTCCCATGAAATCCCCCCCTTTTTTTTAAAGATTTATTTATTTATACAAGCACTGGGTACAGTCAGAAGCGCAGGAGGGTGAGAGAATTCACCAGAACCAGAGCAGGTAGCAGAACAGGCAGACTGACAACTACACTGCTGAAGGGAGCAGCGGGAGTGGCAGGGGAGGTCTGCGCTCCATGTGGGACTCTCACCGGTGGCAGGGGATCGAGCCCTGGTGCTGCAGAGGCTGCAGGCAGCTTCTCAGCCCAGCGCTCAACACTGTGCCATGGGGGAGGCCCCCACCCACCTTGTTTTGATCCTACTCCCTCCTCCCCCGCCCCATAGTGTGTCCCTGGTTTATAGTTGCTTGTTGATTTTGATTTTTACTTTATTATATTCATCTTTTTCCTGGTCCCTTATTTAGGTTTTCTAAATTCCTGCTATAAGTGAGACCATCCGGTATTTTTCTTTTTCTTTCTGGCTTAGAAAGAAAATGATCCCTTTCAGCTGCATTCATGTTGCTGCAAATTGCATGAGTTTATCTTTTTTTAATTGCTGAATAATATTCCACGGTGTATATGTACCACATCTTCTTGATCCAGTCATCTATTTTTTTGGCATTTGGGTTGTTTCCAAAGCTTAGCTATTGTAAATAGTGCTGCAATAAACATATGGGTGCAGGTATCCTTTTGAATTAATGTTTCTGTATTCTTTGGATAAAAACCTAGGAGTGGAATTGCTGGATCATATGGAAGCTCCATCTTTAGCAAGTTGAGGAACCTCCACACAGCTTTCCATAGTGGTTGGACCAGTTTGCACTCCCACGAGCAGTGCAGGAGAGTTCCTTTTTCTCCACATCCTTGCCAACATTTGTTGTAGCTAGTGTTTTTAGTATGTGCCATTCTCACATATTGAGATGTGAGGTGTAAGATGGTATCTCACTGTAGTTTTGGTTTGCATTTCCCCCATTACAAGTGATCCAACATGATTATTTTATGCACTCTTGAATCACTGAACTACTTTTTTTTTTAAAGATTTATTTATTTATTTATTTAATTTATTTACTTATTTATACAAGCACTGGGTACAGTCAGAAGCGCGGGAGGGTGAGAGAATTCACCAGAGCCAGAGTGGGGAGCAGAGCAGGCAGACGGACCGAAGTACACTGCTGAGGGGAGCAGCGGGCGGCAGGAGAGGTCTGCGCGCCAGGTGGGACCCTCCTCTGGTGGCTGGGGAGCAGCCGGGGATCAAACTGGCGCTGCAGAGGCTGTGGGCAGCTTCACAACCCAGCGCTCAACCGCTGCGCCACCAGGGAGGCCCACTGAACTACTTTTAATGAAAAAAGCAACCTCCTATTGAGTTGCTATTAAATTTCAGGTGAATAGCACGTGCTATTAAATACATAGATGTAGATATTTGACTGAAGCATGTTGATTTTTCCCATCTGCCTATTTGAAATAACTTCTATACTGTAGAACCTTGAAATCTATGCCACTGAGTTTGGTATACATCAGTTCACACTGTAGCTTTAACCAATTTCTGTGATTTTTTGCAAAGAGCAATCAGAGAAGACACAAGTAAACATGTCTTACTGATTTCAGGTTGGAAAGCTTTATGCAACAGGGAGATGCCAACACATTGTGGGCACAATTGTGAAAAGGAAATGCTTTCTTTAGAGCCCTATTTCAACCAGCTTGCAGGGGTGTCCAAAGGGGGTTGAAATAACCCTAAGAGCTTTCATCAATGCTGAAAAGGTTCCAAAACAAAGAGACACAGACTGATGGTAACTCCCCCAGCCCTGGACAGTGGCTAGTTTCGGGAAACACTTTGGCAGCTGCACAGGTCTATAATGCTGCCAGGTTTCTCTGGGGCTTGTAAAAGAACACCAGGGGAAACTCAAGCATGAAGCAAGGGTTCCACTCTTCACAGACATATTTGTGGCTCGGTTACTGGAAAAGGCAAGTGACCTTAACAAGGCCACAGTTGTGTAGTGACAAGAATTACAAAATCAAGAAAGGGGTGGGGTGAGACATGCAGGCATAAAAGCATTAGCAGGTGCCTCCACAGCACTGCTCTTCCAGAGAGAGGACAAACCAAAGATGAGGTGAGTCCACAGCTCTGCTGCTCCCTGCTTTCCTCTGGCTGATCTCATCCCTCTTTGCTGTCATCTTTTATAGAAGCCCATAGAAGAGTTGCAAATTAAATAAATATGGCAAATGGCTAAACAACAGTGAATGGAAGTGTTTAGTGAGTTCAATCCTATGCTTTTCTATGTCCATAAAAGATAAGGCTTTCAGACAGAGGTATCTTTCTCAGGAGATATGACTCACTCTAAGAACATTCTCTTTCCTTGAGGTTTTGAAGTTTTCTAGCAGCATCCAAGACAGGCTTCCCGACATTTGAAAGATATTTACTAGCAGATTATTCTTCATCAAAATAAAATGAATTTTTGTTGAAATGACAAGAATAGCAATGTAACAAGAATAGCAATGTAACAAGCAATCTTTGAATTGTTGACTTTGGTCACGAGATGGTGGCCTGGCAAGTGTCACATCCACATGGGGTCACGCTTTCGGATCTGTTATCTCCTCAGTCATCATCTAGCATTTTCAGAATTGAGGTATCATTTCCTGAAGGCAAATGATCATACAATAGAAAGAACCATATAATTGTTTTCAATTATGTATTTCAAAAGCTTCTTATGGAAGATTCCCTTCTTATGGGGGAGAATAGCATGATTAATATTACATTCCCATCTTTATTCTAGCCACATTTTAAAAAGTATCCTTGTAGCCTGGCACCTTCCTTAGAGGTGCCCGAGGGAGCATTCTCTGCTGAAAGGTCACATGCTATTACCAATGTAATGGTCCCCTGAATGCTGCCAGAAATTGAGGCCCCACACCTATGTGCCTTCCGAACTTGGTGCTTCCTCTCTGAAGCTTCTTTTGAATTCCTGGCTATATAGAACTTGCTGGAACTTGGGTATAATGGGAAGCTGTAAATATGGATGTGGGTGGGTGGGGGGCAACTTCTTGGTCCTAGTTCTTGCATGTATCTAACTTCTTTCCCTACTGGCGGGGGGAGCATGTGTGCTGTAGTGTGCATGGTGTGATATGTGTACGGTGTGTGTGTGTAATGAAGCAGGGCATCACTTGTGCACTCCTTCCTGTCTCCTCTCTGCAGGGTGCTGGGAGCTGTGGTCGCCCTCTTGCTCTGCGGGCAGCTCTTTGCAGCAAACGTTGGCAATGAGGTCACAGATACGGCAGGTAGGCCTGTGGGCGTGGGCAGGAACAGCACATCTCAGCGCTGTTGTGTCCCATCTTGACCCACCCTGCCCCTCTCTGGGAAGATCCAGTTGTCCCTTCTCATCACTAGTCTCTGGTCTTTCAGTGCCATGAGGGGCACTGGGGAGCCAGCCAGAGACGAGGGGTGATGGTCCTCCCTTCGGCTTCCATTTGTGGGTAGAAGGAGATTGACCTACAGAGTGGCTTCCTCTCATTTGACTTTTCATGAGTCTCTGGGAGCAATTTCTCATTTTGCTCTATTTCTTCACAGATGACAGCTGCCCAAAGCCCCCTGAGATTGCAAATGGCTACGTGGAGCACTTGGTTCGCTATGGGTGTAAGCCCTACTACAGACTGCGCACTGAGGGTGACGGTAAGAGCCGGGGGTGGGGGGGGGGGCTTGCTGACAGCCTGTATGCGCACATGAATGGAGTGGGCGACTGGCCAGGAAGCGCACCTGCTCTTGGAGTTGTAGACAATCATGAGAATTTTGTCACCAGGAGTTGTGGCCTTTTGAACAACTAACTTTCCTCAGCTTTAAGTTTTCTCTTTTGTTAAGAGGAGGGGATGCATTCTTCACGCAGCTGACCCATGTCAGAGTGAGAACCCCATCTAGCTGGCTGCAAAAGAGGAGGTGTGGCCAAGGAACAAGGGATGGAGATGAGGCCAGGCAGCCTTTCCTAGTGCTGGCACTAAGGGCTTCACCCTCACGTGCTCACCTAGTCCTCACAACACCCTCTGAACAGATACTATTATTTCCATGAAGCCTGGAGAGACCGAGACTGAGAAGCTTGGCTAAGATCAGAGAGTCTGTGAGAGGGAGAGTCAGGATTTGAGCCGATCCCCACCGTGTATGCCTGCTGTGGTCACTGTTCCATGCTGCTGGACTGCGCTGGTACCCCCAGCTCTAGGCTTCCAGGATAGAGCGCCCCTCCCCTCCAACCTCTTTCCCTTCCTTCTCTCCTTTCCCTTCTGAGTCTTCTTTTTCAGTTCCTTTTCTCCCCATGCTGGTCCAGATTCAGTTTCTTGCCCTTTGTTTCAGGAGTGTACGCCTTAAACAGCGAGAAGCAGTGGGTCAATAAGGCCCTTGGAGAGAAGCTTCCTGAATGTGAAGCAGGTAGGAAGCCTGTGGCACTGGGCAGCAGGGTGGGTGGCGAGGGCAGAGTGAGCATGCACCTCAGTGGACTATCCAGAGAGCCATCCTTCCTGCGTGGCCGTGAGCACATGAGAGCCAAGGAAGGGGCTGGGGAGAACCCAGATGGCTGGGTGGGGAATTGAGCTGTTCGATGATGACCCTGATGATGTTCACTGAAGCTTGTGGTCGTGTGGGCCTGAGGGGCATTAACTCAATCAACTGTAGATGCTGCCCTGAGAGGGCCAGGAGACCCTGCGCCCAGACAGCCTGCCTAGAGTCCAGGGCCAAGGCGAAGCAAGAATCAGGAAGAAGGTGGCAAGGGAGGGCATGACAAAACATACCCGTGGCAGTATGACACAGGAGGCCGGGAAGGTGTGAACATGTGTGCTGTGTCCTGTCATTAGGAAGAGCTGTGACCTTCGCCTTCCCCTCCTGGGACAACAGGACTGCTTCAGTGACGTGGAACTGCCATCCTGTCCTGATCTGTCGTGAGGGCTCAGACACCTGAGGCAGAGCCGCTGCTGCTGCTGCGGATCCCTCTATTTAGAAAATGTTTTTTGTTCAGATTGAGTTTCTATAACTCTGTGCCTTTACAGTGAATTTCAGTTCTTTGTTGTGTTAAACACATAGAATGTCCATCTGCTAAGGTTTTAAAATCTTGATTTTTTTTAATGAGTTAGAAAAGCAGGAAATAGATCTTAGTGATGTAAACAATTTAAAAAGGCAATCATTTAAAAGTGCAAATGGTGAAAATGAGAGGAATAGGGGGTAGGGACTCAGGACAGGGTCTCTCTAGCTCTGCATCAGTGAAATGATGAAGAGTGTAGACTCCACCGGTCTATGCTCTCAGCCTCTTTTCCAGATCAGGAGACTGTCATTTCTGAGCCTGACTTTCTGCTTTCTTGGACAGTGTGTGGGAAGCCTAAGTATCCAGCGACTCAGCTGCAACGGATCATAGGTGGATCTCTGGACGCCAAAGGCAGCTTCCCCTGGCAGGCTAAGATGATCTCCCACCATAATCTCACTTCGGGGGCCACACTGATCAGCGAACAATGGCTGCTGACCACAGCTAAAAATCTCTTCCTGGGTCACACGAAGGATGCAAAAGTAGAAGAGATCGCCCCAACTTTAAAACTCTACTTGGGGAAAAATCAGCTCGTGGAGATTGAGAAGGTGGTTTTCCACCCTGACATCTCCAGCGTGGACATTGGGCTCATTAAACTTAGACAGAAGGTACCCATCACAGAGAAAGTGATGCCCATCTGCCTGCCTTCCAAAGACTACGCAGAAGTGGGGCGTGTGGGCTACGTGTCTGGCTGGGGGCGGAATTCCAACTTCAATTTCACTCAGTTTCTGAAGTACGTCATGCTGCCAGTGGCTGACCAAGACAAGTGTGTGGAGCACTATGAGGGCAGCACGGTGCCCGAAAAGAAGACACCGAAGAGCCCTGTGAAGGTGCAGCCCACACTGAATGAGCACACCTTCTGTGCTGGCTTTTCCAGGTATCAGGAAGACACCTGCTATGGCGATGCTGGCAGTGCCTTCGCCGTTCACGACGTGGATCAGGACACCTGGTATGCAGCTGGCATCCTAAGTTTTGACAAGAGCTGTACCGTGGCGGAGTATGGCGTGTATGTGAAGGTGTCCTCCATCTTGGACTGGGTTCAGAAAACCATGGCTGACAACTAGTGCAAGGCTGGCTGGGAGCACTTAAGATTTAGCTCTGGATGGAGGGCAAACTGGATGGGAGTAAAGTGGATGAGGGGATAAAGTAGAATGGAGCTGGTGGGCCCCTGTCCTGCACTGCTGAGTCAATTAATAAAGAGGTTATTTAGCTTCATTTCTGTGCTGTTTTTAGTCTTGCGTCTTTTCTAGTCTCACCTTTACATTACAGCAGCCCCGGGGTGTGGCAGAAAACACCATGCCTACAGAACCCCCCACCCCCTATAGGTGATACAAACTGTTGTGCAGTGGGGACTTGCTCGCTGACTAAGAGCTCACCTCAGAAAGGCCACTGTTATCTTTGTTTACGGATGAGTGTAGAGACTCTGCTGAAGGTCACACAGCTAACTGATAGCAATGCTGACCCTTGAGCCAATGTCTGCCTGAATACAAACCCTGAACCTTTTCCTGAGTCCTTTCGCCTCCTTGAAGTAAAGTGGGAGGAAGGATGCCCTGATAAGGAAGATGGTAGTCAGAGTGGTATGCAAACAAGTGTGTGGCAGACAGTCTTCCAACACACCAGCGCTTCAGAAAGGAAAGCAAGGTGGTGACATAGGCTAGCTCTGACTCAGAGCGTGGCCACACAGGCCTGCCTAGGATCTTTGCTCTCTGCCCACCATCCCCTGGTCTCTTCTATGAGGGCTAAAGCAGGCCATCTCTGCAGCCCCCCGCAGCCCTAACATTCTGGGATGTGGAAAAGAGGTAGAAGTTTCTTCCTTGCATGGGCTGCTTTTCCTACTTGGGAGAAAGCTACCTTTTACCAGGAGTCAAACAAGCTGCCCAAGCTATCTTCTTCATAAAGATAAGGGTCTTGCTTTTAAGTGTCACTCAGAAGAAAGACTCCAGAACCCTTGTAAACAGGAAGCTCTTCTAACTACTGTCCTGCTAGAAGCCATCAATACACTGACCCTTCACAGACGCACCTACTTGTGCACAAAGATTTCCTGAAGAAAAAACCACCCCAGTTTTCTTGAAGAATTATCTAATGGTATTATGTGGCATTGGTCACCATGTCAGGAAGAACATGAGAAAATCTCTGGCATTTTCTCAATTCACTTATCCTCTCTGCCTTCCTCTCAGCAGCACCTCCTGCTCTCTTCTCCCTTGAGTTTAGGTAGCTTTCCTTGCCATCTCCAGCCTGGCCACCTCCCCTACCCTCCCAGAGCCACCACACACACAAGGCCCAGGCCCTCTAGTGAGAGGCCCTTCCCCTTTGGCACAAGTAGCTCTTACTCTCCTGGAGTTCAGGTGCTGCCTCTTCTGACAAGCCTATTTCCCGTGCAGGAATCTACTGTCTTTGTGCAACATGCAGCATAGGATGGGGCAGACAGTGTATACTCAGCAAACACATGTGGAAGAGAAGGAAGCTAAAATGGGACAGAAACATAAGCCAGGAATTCAGACAAGGATTCCCAGAGGTCCCAAGGAGGACTGAAGATGTGACAATGTTATGCATGAGAGTTCTGAGTGTTTGCTGGTATGAGTTCTTGCCACACATCAAATACTGAATGACTCAGGCATTGACAGAAAATCCAACTAACAGTGACAGGCACCAAAGACGTTTCCTTCTTTTGTGCAAGTCTGGGAGGCAGGTCTACATTTCACTCAGGAGCTCAGTAACATCACTGGGGACCAAGGCTTTTCTGGTTCTTCTCAGCATATTCCTTTTTCACGCCAGTGCTGGTGGCCTCACGGTGCCAGGATGGCTGCTGAAGTTCCATGCATCATGCTTGCCGTACAAGTGGGAGGGGGACAGGAGACTATGAAGGTGGTGGTGGAACGGTTTTGTTTTGACTTATTCCTGGAGTGGCTCTCTCTGTCTATCAGTGAAGGACACAAAAATGTCCAGCCACCTCCCTCCTATGCCACATTAGTCAGGAACATTTCTCCTGGCAGAAAAGGCTGGGAAAGGAAGTACCAAAGGAGATGGACTGGCCCTGAACAGGCAAGGAGGCCGAGAGCTGCCTCGCAGGTCACATGCTGCCTGGCCCACTGCCCTCTGGCTTTGCATCTACTCTCCCATTCCAGAAAGTCAGAGCCAATAGCCCCATGAGGTTTTGAGAGGAGCAGTAACTTACCTAAGTGGTGGCAGGTTGTGAAAGAGAATGAAAGAGAATTCTTCATGAGAAAATCCCACAAAGATGATCTTTCTTTCTACCTATTCCGCTATCTCCTGCCAGTCTTGAGTCCTTGAAGTCTATTTTTCTGCCGCAGGAAGAGGTGGAACTCTGACTCCTGGGAGAGGTCTGCACCTTCTCAGTAAAGGTTGTGAATTCTTTGTTTAGGTAAAATTGGACGTAAGAAGTTCAAGTTCTTTGGCAATTTACTAACATAAAAACTAGTAAAACGAGCAAACCAGGATACTCTTTTAGAGGTCAAAGTTAGAAACGCTCCAAAATAAAAACTTTTCTACTATCAATAGTGAATTAATTTACTCCAAGAACTGGGGTCAAAAGGACTGAAGACAAGTGAACGGGCAGAATATAAATGTGAGTGGAGGAACTGGTGAGGGTAATGGTGGGGGGGGGGAGAGAGAGGGAAAGAGAGAGAGAGAGAGAGAGAGAGAGAGAGAGAGAGAGAGAGAGAGAACAGTGAGGGGAGGGACACGTTTTTACTCTTTCAGGAATTTGCTTCTTTTCTTTCAACTTGCATATCAAATGAAGATCGTTAAATCAGTCTCTGTTAGCCAACATTTAGGAAGAGTCTATTATCTTAAGGAATAAAAACAAGCACAGCATAGAGTTACAGGAAATGATGCTGTAGAAACTGGCCGTGGCTGCTTGGAGGACAGCAGGGAGAAGCCAGGCAGGCATCCCAGGTCTTTTTTGGGGGGGCCGGCGTTTTCTGTGTTGGGACACGGTGAAGGACTCCAGCCCAGCAGCACAGCTAGATTTGGGCACTGTTTCCAGATGTGTCTTTCTCTTCAACTCGGACAGTAGTTAATGTGTTAGATGTCTTGATAGAGAAGGTCATATTTGGGAATATTCTTGGGGTCAATAGGACTTTGCACAATAAGCTTGCCCCGCATTGCCCCTCGGTAAATCACTTCGATCAAATCTATGAAGTCTTGTTTGGTTTTGAAACTTCCCACAAATTTAGTGTGATCTGGAGACCTAGATAGCACAGAAGAGAAACAATTTCTCTCAGAATTTTTAACAATTACTTGCTGAAGAGCTTCTGGAGAAGTAAATGAGTAGTAGGTCGGTTACTTTCTTCCTATTGGGGAGATTCAGACATAACGCCTGATACTGATTTCTCCGTTTGTGATTACAGGGCCATTTCATGTACCACTGAAACCAGCGCTATGGCTGCTGGGAAAGCAGATAAGCCCCACCTGTGAAAAGCTTCTGCATCACAGTCTATTTTAGGAGGCCAATGCCTTATCCAGTAGGCCACTGGGGCATACGTCGCTGTCTATTTTAATAACATCTCAAGTCATGACTAAATAGAATCCCCTGGGTATTGATGTGGACATAGTTTCTTTACTTGTTTTTGGCTAGGTGCTGCACTCAGCCCATTAACTAGTCGTCCTCTCTGAGTTCTAGTCATTCGTAATTTTGAGTGGTATTAAAATTTACTTTAATTTTTATATTTCAAACATTAAATATACTTATTGTAGACTTTTTTTAAGAAGAAAAACTTGTTAGGCCAGAGGTCACATATTGGTGTATATCCTTCCAATCTTCTGTCCATGTTTATTCCTCTTTGCACAATAATGTAAATCATAATGCAAGTTTCTTCGGAATGTGCTTTTTCAAACTGACTATAACATGTTTCTTTCCTGCATTAAAACCTGCATCTACGCGGGCCTCCCTGGTGGTGCAAGGGGTTAAGACACAACCTATGAAGCAATCTGCAGTCACTGCAGCACGAGTTCGATCCCCTGGCCGGCCAGGGAGCAACCCACATGGTGCAGCAGACCTCTCCTGACTTGCCCGCTGCTCCCCTCAGCAGTGTATTTCAGTCAGTCTGCCTGTTCTGTTCCCCACTCTGTCTCTGGTGAATCCTCTCACTCCTACAACTCTGGCCTGTACACCAATTCTTGTATGTATAAATAAATAAATCTTTTAAAAAAACCCTGTATCTACAATATCACATTAGGTTGATATCTAGTATCGCTCTGTAGTATTTTGCTTTCTAAACAATGGTGGCATGAACCTGCATGCAGTCAATATTGCCAGCTTTCATAATTATTTTCCTTCAGACAAAATCTTCAAAAATACTGGGTTAAAAATTTCACACACTTTTAAGGTGCTATGTAGTGTCACACTGTCCTCTGAAAAGGCTGTACCAAATTAATACTTTCATTGACTGCATTCTAGCAGGATAGCTTTAAAACACATAACACTGAGTACAGTTTCAAATAGATAATAACAAAGTCTGCACACAGAGCTAGACAGTGGACACCCAAGACAGTGAGAACTGATAAGAATTATGGATATGTTCAAAGTAAATACTGAGTACTGGGATGCTGACTGGACGGAAAGAGGAAAGATTTCACATTACCTATTCTTGACAGACTTTGTTGAAGAACAACTTCAAAATTCTCTGAGATGCAAAAGAGAGGCATGTCTTATTTTGCTGGATGGAAAACCCCCTTTTTTTTTAAATAAATGCAAACAACCAGTCCCAGAAGTTAAGAACGACATATTTTGTTCTAAGTAATATTCCCAGGAAACTTTCATAAAAGCTGTTCTTATTTTCTGTGCTGAAGGATGGTTAGTGTTTCACAAACTACTCTATTCTTTCACTCTGAAGTAGGAAGTTAAAATGCGCCCATTTTACCATACAAAAATACTCATTTTGTACCAAAGTTAGAGAATGTGTCAGCTAGGAAACACCACCACTATGAGATCCACAATCACATGCCAAAAAAAGATGAGGTGCTAAAGCTGCTTAGGTAAAAGTCACTTTGAAGATGGCAATAGCTTCATCTCAATGGAACTTACCCATAATCCACTTTCATATGCTGCCCGTTGAAGAAAAATACAGTTGATGGAATATAACTGATATCAAAATAGTGTGTATAAACTGGAGTTTTGTCCACATCCACCAGGTAAATAGCAGCCATTTTACTCAAATCAGAAGAAGTCTTAGAAAGCTGCAAATGAAGAAAGAGATGTAGATTACAATATTAAAGGCAGCTAATGTTTCTCTTGTGAAGTTTTTTTTATTATAATACAGTAGTATTTTGTTTGAAAAAACTGGGGAAAGAATTTAGTCTGTTTTGAGTTCCAGGTAAGACACAATGTTACCTTATCATTCAAAATCTGAGTCACTGCTGATAAAGTTAAGAGAGGGTGCTGGGTAAAATGTGCAAAGTACATTTCTTCCTTTGTTTTTTAACTTTGTATGAATTTACAAAATCCACATTCACTTAAACAATCAAACAAACAAACAAAACATCCCAAAACACCTCAGATACTGAAATTCCTCAAAATCTTTCCTTCTAATCGCTCCAGAAATGATTATAATAGCAAACACTTGTCTGGCACTTATGTGCTAACTGTTCTAAGTGCTTTTCAATTTTTTTTTTTTTTAAAAGATCTATTCATTCATTCATACAAGAACCCGGACACAAGCCAGATGTGTGGAAGGATGAGAGGATTCACCAGAGACAGAGTGGGGAACAGAACAGGCAGACTGACGAAATATACTACTGAGGGGAGCAGCGGGTGAGACAGGAGAGGTCTGCTTCGCCATGTGGGATTCTCCCTGGCTGGGATCGAACTGGCGCTGCAGAGGCTGCGGACAGCCTCAGCGCTGAGCTCAAATGCCTGCGCCACCAGGGGAGGCCCTGCTTTTCAATTCTTAACTCACTTGATCTTTACTACATTCCTATGAGGTATGCGCTATTCTAGTTCCCATTTCATAGATGAAGAAACTGAGGCCCAGGGACATACTTAGTCCCTGGTCACACAGCTAGCTAGCAGTAAGGTCATTTGGCTTCAGAGCCTGTGCTCTTGACCTCTATGATAATCCCTCTTCTAAAGCTGAGGGCATAAGCCCCTGGTCCTTTGCTCCAAGGTTAACACATCACACACTCATTTTTAAGCCATTATAATGATGACTTTTACACTAGATACACATAGTGGGTATAGTGGGTGTCAGCAGTAGAAGTGGTAGAAGAGCCCTGGATGTTGGGGTAAGTCTCTCTCCACAATAAAGAGAGGCAAGAATAAATCTGCTCTGTCCCCTATTCACCTGTTTGTGAAGATGTGACATTGGCGATTATCATCAGGCACACACTGGAGGCAGCACACTAGAAAAGTGTATTTTGGCAGAGAAAACAAAGTTCAATCCCAGTCCTGCAATTTAGTGGTTCTGTGCCCAGGGGAAGTCACCAGACCTTCCCGGTACTCATCTCCCTATCTGGGATAGTAACGGTCATTATTCCACCAAGTAAGATTATGTTCATAGACGCCTGTTAGTAATGTTTCTGCTGTGCCAGGGCCTTGTTGATGAAACGGAGTTTCAACAGCTGCTAATGTGGAAGGGCAAACAGGACAGAAAGAGCACAAAGTTTGGGGGTTCAGCTGCGGCAGGCACATGATCAGCCTGAAAGTGTGCTAATACATGCACAGATATACTCCTGGGCCCTGCCTGTTCCCTTTCAGGTTCGAGGTTGAGGTGAGAATGTACAGTTTTTTTTTTTAAAAAGCTTCTTATTTAATAAATTCACTTACAATGTCATCTAGTTGCATACAGACGGGATCCTCATCTCTCCCAAACCTGAGGACCAACACTTTCTCTGCAGTACTTTTTATCGCCTGGTCGACTTCTTTTTTGCTAGTCAGCTTGGGTAACAGGAAGCTCATTTTGCAATAGTCCAGATGTTACTACTGTCAGTCCTGAAATAAAGTCCCAGTGTTTAAAGACAGGTAAAGAGCACAAGCCCAATTAAAAAAAACAAACAAACTATAAAAACATTTTGGAGCAGGTAATATAGTTACATGGTTTGAAAAGAAAGCTACAGAAAGGTATACTATGTAAAGTCACTCTCCCTCAGGCCCAGTTCCCACTGTCCCATTTCTCTCTATACACCTGGTGATTATTATTCTTAGTTTCTTATGCATCTTTCAGAGTTTTCTTATGCAGCCACAAGAAAATACAAATATGCATTCCTTTGTTTTGTCCTTTTAAAAAGTTAATTAATTATATATATATATATATATATATATATATATATATATATTTTACATCATTCTTCATTTGGGAACATGTATGCTTCCTCCTCTCAGGTGTAGTACCTTTAAAATTCCCACCACCAATTCACCCGTGCACCATCACCATAGTACGCTGTGCTCTCCCCGCCCCCCCGTTTTGATCCCTCTCTCTCCCCCTCCCCTGCAGAATGTCTCTGATTTATAGTTGCCTGTTAATTTTGTTTTTTATTTATTATAATTATTTTTTCTTGATCCCTTATTTGTGCATAGTTACACCATGTACAAAAAATGACTCAAACTGAATAAAAGACCTGAACATGAGACCTGAAACCATAAAATATATAGAAGAAAATATAGATAAAACACTACATGACATATATCTCAGAAACATCTTTAAAGACTCATCCCCCAAAGCAAAGAAAGTGAAGGAAAAGATAAACAGGTGGGATTACATCAAACTGAAAAGCTTCTGTACAGCAAAAGAGACATTAACTAAAACAAAGAGAAACCCTACTGATTAGGAAAAAACCTTTGCACCCCATACAACCAATAAAAGACTGATCACAAAGATCTACGAAGAGCTGACACAACAAAAACAAAGTAAATAATCCAGTCAAAAAATGGGCAGAAGAGCTAAAAAGACACTTCCCCAAGAGAAAATGCAAATGGCCAACAGGTATATGAAAAAATGTTCAATATCCCTTATAATCAGGGAAACGCAAATCAAAACCACAATGAGATACCACCTTACACCAGTACGAATGGCACATATTAAAAAAACTAGTAACAACAAATGTTTTGTCCCCCCCTTTTTTAAAAAAGATTCATTTATTTATACAAGAACTGGAGTACAGGCCAGAAGCGTGGGAGGGTGAGAGAATTCACCAGAGACAGAGTGGAGAGCAGAACAGGCAAATGGACCGAAAACAGTGCTGAGAGGAGCAGCTGGCGAGACAGGAGAGGTCTGCCGCGCCATGTGGGTATCTCTCTGGCCAGCTGGGAATCAAACCCATGCTGCAGAGGCTAGGGACAGCTTCACAGTGCTGCGCTCAACCCTCTGTGCCACCAGGGAGGCCCTTTTTTTTTTCTTATTTTTAACCTAAAAGATAGCCTACTGTATTAGTCAGTATTTTAGCAGAAAAGAGTTGACAGCCATCCTCACATTTGGCAATTTGAAGAGGCTTCCATTGAGGCAGGCAAACAACAGGGGCTCGTCTGGGGTCTCAAGGAGCCTTGGGAGGGAGTGGCTACAGAACTGCGTGGCGGAGAGAGCTAAGTGCAGAGGGCTGCTGTAGAAGAGGTCAGCCTGAGTCAAGGGAGACAACCCTCTCCCCACTTTCTGGCTGACTCCATCTATATCTAGAGGGCAAGGAGCTGCAGAGTCAGGTGGGCCTCCTGGCCCAGTATAGTCTAGAGAGGGTGAAAGAGTGGATCTGCAGGGACAAATGACAGAGGTCCAATGCACATACTTCCCTACTCTTCAGCACTTTGTACTTTACCTGACAAATGAAGCTCTTCCCATATCTCCATATAGAAAACTTCCACAGTCTTTCTCATTGCAGCAGACCATTGCATGCAATACCATACTTTTAAAACAGTTCTTTACTGATAGACATTTGTATTACCCTAAGTCCTGGCTTAAAAATTGGTATATATCTTTTTTTTTTTAAAGATTTACTTATGCATACAAGAACTGGTGTACAAGCCAGAGGTGTGGGAGGTGAGAGGATTCACCAGAGACAGAGTGGGGAGCAGAACAGGCAGATCTACTGAAATACACTGCTGACGGGAGCAGCAGGCGAGTCAGGGAGGTCTGCTGCACCATGTGGGTAGCTCCCTGGCCGGGAGTGAACTTGTGCTGCAGTGGCTGCGGATAGCTTCATTGTGCTGTCTTAACCCCTTGCGCCACCAGGCAGGCCCAAGATTGGTATGTATCTTAAGGTACACCTAATCATAGCGCAAACAGGTCAGAGAAAAATGTGTATGAAAACCACGAGTGAGTAAACAAATTATAAAATACTGTGATGGAAGGGGCCAAATTCAAACCCCTTGCTTTTCAGACCAGTTGGGTTATAGTTAACACCTCTAGCTGCAAGAACAAGGACTTACAAACAAGGTGACCAAATCTCTAGTCAAAAGTTCCTTCTATTACCGTCAGTGCCTGTTTTTATGACTGGATGAAATTTCATTTTTGAGAAACTCAGTGATCCAGGAGCAATACTTTTGTGTCTATTGAGATACTTAATATTTTAGAATTCAGTTCCAAAGTTGGCTGACACTATGAAAAGGAAGGACTTCTCCTTTTTTTTTTGAGACAAGTCAAATTTTAAGACATAGATTAATAAAAATTCACATAGGAAATGAACTGCTCCAGCAGTATACTTCATACTTTAAACAGGGAAGCTCGCTGTCACAAAGGATTCATCAAGTAGGAGTGGTGCAACAAATTACTGAGGAAAGGCAAAGTCAAAAAGAGGATTTCTGTTCCATCACTAGAATTCAAACAAATGACAACTTCTGCATGTTACCGACAAAGAGGAGGAAGTCAGGAGGAGAAAGCTTTCATCAGGGAGAAGAGGGTATTGGATAAATGTTGGAAGGAGGAAAGGAAGATTGAGAGCCGACCTAAGAAAGTGTCCATAAATGGCACAGGACACCCACAGAGAATTCACAAGTGGGACAATGGGAAAGGAATATATTTGGGGAATTAAGCTTTACTAGTAAGCAAAGAAAAGTAAATTAAGAGATATACTTACAAATTATTAATTTGGCAAAGATTAGACACTAGTGACAGCAATGCCGAGAAGAGGCAGGCATTCACGGTCGCTGCTGGAATGTGGAGCAAACCTTTTCTACAAAGAAAGTTGAAATACTCTTGGGACAACAGTTCCCTTTCACTAATTCTTAGTGAGTAATTAGACAAGTGCACAAAGATTCATGTCCAAAGGATATTGGTGAAAAAAACCTAAATAGCTATCAACAAGGGATTGGAGAAAGAAACGACAGTTCAGTCCCTCAGTGGGTTATTTCACAGCCACTAAATACTGTGCTGGAGAGGAACATCTGTCACTGAAACGTTTTTCTGACAGAGAAAGAAGTTAAAAAGTGTGACCCCCACTTCTGTCAAAAACCAAAACCAAAACCAAAACATGTCTCCATGCACACTTTACATGGAAAATTAACTGGAAATAATTATCCCAAAACACCACCAAGTGGTTACTTCAGCCTGTGAACAGACTACTGTGAACAGACGAGTGACTTATTTACAGGGGCGCGCGCGTTCTTGTTTGTCCAGAACCCCCAATACACACATATTTTGAATAATGCCATAGCTGAGCTACTCCTAGCCCCAAGTGCTAGGGAAGAAGGTACTTACCTTATTCGTACAGGTCTCCTCTCTTCCACTTCAGGGGTGCCCGCAACTGCGAAGTCTCCTCAGGAAAGCAGGGACGCCAGTAGCTCTTTTTTCCCGCTGAAAACCCGCAGCCACCGGCAGTTGCCTAGCAACGCCCGCTGACCCTTTCGGGGGCCGGAAACGGAAATAGGAAACGCTTAGGCGCAGCGGTACCCGCTTGGCAACCCAATAAACTAAAGTTATTCTAGTCACCGCCCGCTATGGCCGGCCTGGACCGGAAGCCCTACAGTCACTTCCGCCCTTACTAAACATGGCCGCCCTCTTCCCCTCCGCCTTCTCGGAGTAGAGGCGGGGTCTCGTCTGAGCGTGTTTGGCCGCAAGGAAACTCGGAAGTGGCTGTGATCGGAGACCCAGAGCGGTCACTCTAGACTTGGGGGCCGGCTCCCGTTCCGTTCCACACTGGGAAACAGGAACCGGGGTCTTCCGGCTGCTCTCGATGGTGTCTGCGGGAGGATAGAGTGGACCGCGCAAGGTATTATGGGACAACGATGGCCGCTTTCAAGGTGTGGATTTTGGCTCGCTAATGCGATCTGAACGAGGACTGAAGGCACCGGCGCCCCAGAATCCGGGACAGACGGTCCCGAGAGTCGGCCTCGGCGAGGTGAATGTCCCTTCTTCCTTCCTGACCTGCGTATCGGCAGCCGCGGCGGCTCCAGGATACGGGCTCCATAGCGGCCCCTCGCTCAGGGTCGGGCCTGCGTTTGGGAAGTCTCCTCCCTGTCTCCCCGCTTGCCTGACTCACCTTAGGGGTGCAGCGCCAGGCTTGCCTGCCCCAGCGCTTCGCTTTGCTCCGGTCCGATCTTGCTGCCTGTTGTGGCCTCGCAGAGGTCGAGGGATGCTGCTTGGGGGTCGGCTTCTGTCAATTCTCCGGCCTCCACATTACCCCATTCCCAGACGACGCTGAGTCCGCATAGGGCTGCCTCTTCTCTCACTGCGGGAGCTCGACCAGGCAGTCTCCGTTGCTAGAGGGTGCCAAGAGCGCTGGATTGCTTGTTTTGTTCTCTGCTCTGCCTAGAACAGCGACTGGTTCCCACAGGCATTCACTGAATAATTGTCGAATGAGTACATGTAGTTTCTTTTTTCATTGTTTTTCTTCGTGCCCCTTGTGGCTTTTTTTGTTGTTGTTGTTGCCACTAATCCTTCTCTAGAATCCAGCCCTGAAGTCCTTGTTTCCAGCAGTAGTTGAATCCTATCTGACTCTCTCTGACGCTTTCCTTTTGCTGTCTCTAGAAATGTCTGATTTCCTGTTCTCCTTTACTCATTATTATTTTCATTAAATTCATTCATCCACGTATTTTTCAAACGTGTATTTTGTGAGGCACTGGGTCTGGCAGTCAATAAGGTTCTCTCTCCTGCATAGACTGACGTGCCCGGGGGTATATTTCCAGCAGTTCTGGCTACTCTTGAGCAGAGCCTGTGTTATCTCTGCCTTCTGTTTGGATTGCCTCACATTGGGCGGATGTCACCTATATGTAGCTTTCCCTTTTCTCTTCTGGCTGGTGGCATTTTTCAAAATGTGACTCTTGTTTCTGTGCCTGTATTATGTGTCTAGTGTATTTGGCAATACTCCTATAGAGCTGTGCTTGTTGATTAGAGCTGGGCAAAACATTCTGCAGTCTGGTGGTACTTTTCTCCTTCAGAGTTTATTTGCTCCATTGATTTTTTGGAGTGGGAGGAATTATTTAAGCACTAAGAACTACTGTATGTTTATAAGTGGATGGTGTGTAGCGGGAGGTAAAGGGGGCTTTGTTAGAAGTTGAGTGACAGAAGATCTTATAGCCAACTGAATACATTTTGGAAACCCACTTCCTAACTTAGTGTTTCTTATTAATATTTTTGAAGAACATGTACTGTCACTAAAGATACATCGGCTGCTGTGAGGTAAGTTTTTTTCTATAGTACACAGCTGGCTCATGGAAAAAAAGCTGAAGTATGTGTTGATAGATCATACCACAGCCTTAGACCCCAGCAGCTCTATTTGACTGTCTCTGTGGTTTAAAGGGAGGGAGAGGTATAAGTCATGTACTGTTAGTATATGGGCCCATGGCAAATAATGTAACCCATTTTTTTGTAATTCCTTATGGTTACAGAATTTTCATGTACATTCTCTTGTTTAATTCTCAAAAGAACTTCATGGATTAGATAAAGCAAAAGTTATTCCCATTTTACAGATATAAACATGATATCTGCTAATAAAATTAGGTTATGTGCTTACAGTCATTTAGGAAGAAAGTGTCAGGACCCTGGAATCCAATTCAGGTTTCTGACTTCTAATCTAATGGTTATTTCCCCTGATACTACTCCCTTTATAGAGGCCATCATGGTCATCTCATAGTGAGAGCTCTTCTTGCCTGGATGATAGTTTAGATCCTAGTGTTTGGGGTGTGTGTGTGTATATATATGTTTCTGATATGTATGGGGATAATAGGAGGAGAATTTTTGAGATTTCCAATGGCTATAATGCTGATATCCTTGATGGAAATGTCTTGGTAAGAGGTAGCTAAAGCGATCCTAATCCTGAGCAGGAAGTTAACCTACTGACTATACCTATAACTACAGTTTCTGGGATACAGCAGAACTGAGCCTTCTCTCTAGTCCAATGCCAAATGGTTTGTCTTTCCGTAGAAACCCTAGAGCCTGTTATGGAGGACACCAGTGAGGATGCCTCAATCCATCGACTGGAAGGCACTGATCTGGAGTCTCAGGTTGGCGGTCTCATTTGCAAAACCAAAAGCGCAGCTAGTGAACAACATGTCTTCAAAGCCCCTGCACCCCGCCCTTCACTGCTGGGACTGGACTTGTTAGCTTCCCTGAAACGGAGGGAGCGAGAGGAGAAAGATGATGGGGAAGACAAGAAGAAATCCAGAATATCATCCTATAAGGACTGGGAAGAGAGCAAGGATGACCAGAGGGACGCTGAGGAAGAGGGCGGTGACCACGCTGGTCGAAGTAACCGGAAAGACAGGTAAAGGCTTTAGGACGGGTTGATCCAAAGGGGATAAACATGGAGGCCAGAAAATAATGTCCCATGTTAATCACTTAGATTTTGGTTGGATATTTAGGCCTTATGATTTTATTATGATTCCGTACTATTGAGGGTAGGGAGGGATTGGGATTTTCTTCAGATCTGTGGGGAACATTCAAAGGTAAACATTGAAGAGTAGATAATGGAGGTGATAGATGATAGAGAAATGCTTTGGGTTGTTGTCATATGTAAACCCACAAAACCAGGGGGATAATGCAGAAAAAGGCAGGCAACTTGTTTGGTGCAGTCAAAGGATTTGAGGCAAAGTTTTTCTCTGATGGAGGACAGACCCTTTACCAGTTGTCTTCTCTGTTTCAGACATTATCGGTCTGCTCGGGTAGAGACTCCATCCCATCCTGGTGGTGTGAGTGAAGAGTTTTGGGAACGCAGTCGGCAGAGAGAGCGGGAGCGGCGGGAACATGGTGTCTATGCCTCGTCCAAAGAAGAAAAGGATCGGAAGAAGGAGAGATCACGGGATCGAGACTGTGACCGCAAGAGAGACAGAGGTAAACTGCCCAGGGTGGTTTCTGTGGCCTGTTAAACATTTGCATGAACACATCAGACTCTTGAGTTTTCCATTAATTAGGGAGCCCAGGTTGTATAGTCATCCTGGTTGGTTGTGACCTTTTTGGGATTGGGAATACCAGGCAGTTTAAGGAAAGAGCTGTTACTTGCAACATTGCTTCTTTGCTTGAGTTTGTGGTCCTCATTTTATTTTGAAGAGTAGTGATAAAGGTGATGAGGGGTAACGTGTATGAGAAACTGTAGATGACAGGATGTTGCTGACAGGAAGGATGATGTGATAGAACAAAACTAAACATAAAATCCAACTCTGACTTTTCTCAGTACTGCTAAAGTTTTATAGTTTATAGACTTGTAATTAGCTATTAAGTATAGGCTTGTAACTATTCTTTTTTGAATTCTTGCAGGAAAATAACTTACTATGAGTTTGAAACTTTCTAGCCAGTAACTATTTTTCCCCCTGAAAGAATGGGGATATGTGAGTTTCAGGAGCCCATGGACCGCATTAGAGCAGTGCAGGTAGCACCTGTGAGTTGGAAGGCCTGTCCTTCTATAGGGTGAAGATGGGTGGAAGTTAGGATGGGGCACATGTTTGCTAAGCTCTGCGTGTGACTCTTGACAGATGAACGGGATAGAAGTAGGCACAGCAGCAGATCCGAGCGAGATGGAGGGTCTGAGCGAAGCAGCAGAAGAAGCGAGCCTGAGAGCCCACGGCACCGACCTAAAGGTAGGCTGAGTGCTGTTGGTGCAGGTTTTTGAAGGGTCAAATGTATAAAAGCAGGGTCAGTGATTCCCAACTTCAGTGGGATTGCTGTGGGCAGAGTTAGAATTTCTGGAATACTTGGTTCTGAGTCGGGTGGGAAGGCCCTGGTCCTCTCTGTTGAGATACATTTGCTCCTTTGAGGTCAGTGAACTGAATGACTTGTATTTCAAACAACAGGAAAGAATTGGGGTTGGGGAAGGGATGGGGTAGAAGAAGGATTTATTACAAAGAAATACATGTAGTGAAGGGAGGCATGTTTGCAGAGATAAATTGGATTTCCTTAAAATGTTATGAATGTGGATGAAAACTGGATTGCTTTAAAAACTGTTAGAGCCATCTTGTCCATTATAAATAGGTCAAAATCTATAAGAAAGAAATGTGGGCAGGTGACTTTTGGCTAATAGTTCTAGCGTTGTGTCCTAGTTAAATGATTTGTTCCCTGTGGTTGTGTCTGTTGCGGCCCCAGATGCAGCCACCCCTTCGAGGTCTACCTGGGAGGAAGAGGACAGTGGCTATGGCTCCTCACGGCGCTCGCAGTGGGAATCACCCTCCCCGACACCTTCCTATCGGGATTCGGAGCGGAGCCATCGGCAGTCCAGTCGCGATCGAGACAGGTGGTGTTCCTGGTAGAGTAGCCCAGTTTCTCTGGGTGGGAGGGGGTGGCGTGATGAGAGCAGAGGGGTCGGGTGGGGAGCGCACATTTTAGCCCTGGCCATGTGTCTCAGCTTGGTGCTGGGTAGTGAGGCAGATTTTGCTGTCACCCAGGTCTGTGAGGAGTAAGTACTCGGATGACACTCCTCTGCCAACCCCATCCTACAAATACAACGAGTGGGCTGATGACCGAAGACACTTGGGGTCCACCCCTCGTCTCTCCAGGGGCCGAGGTAAGGCAGGG